CAAGAACTCGAGGAGCAATTACAAAGGTATGTTAAACTATAACATTACTCTCTTTTCCACCATAGAAGTCTCTAAATATCTCTAACCTCTCTTCTCTACAAAACTTCAGGAACAACCAAAATTGCCCGACTTGTTCAGTAACTGAAGCTGATCCTAAAAGCAAACAGGTAACTTCCGGGACAAACCCATTTATTATCTAAACGAAACTGCGATATTAAATCTCATGTTTATCGAATGTTTGCAGGACAATGAACTAGCAGCTGCTGCAGAGAAGCTACAAGAGTGTCAACAGACTATATTGCTTCTTGGGAAGCAGCTCAAATCCATGTGTCCTCAAACAGAACAGGTTGCTTCTTCTCCAAGCCAAGATCAAGCCCTAAACCCTGAAGAAGACAACGAATACGCAGCTTCTTCCCCAAATCGTCAAGACAACAAATTGAGTTCGCCTTCAGACAAAGAAACACCAATGATGGCTACAATGAGATCTCCGGTAGGGTCGAAGCATAGACACACCAAGTCAAACTCATCGTCGTCCTCGTCTGGACTTACTCCTGAGAAACACTCTAGAGGATTCAGCAGGTTCTTCTCCTCCAAAGCAAAGTAAAACAAAGGAATAAAAACGTATAAATCTAACTATGCTGTATATCGTATCTATTGCTATATATATGGTTTTTTTACTACATGTGGAAATGTTTGTTTAACTTTAGTTATTTTTTTGTTTTTCTTTCTGTACTGACAACAATTTGGTGTTGAATTTTACGGCGTGTAAATGTCAATCTACCCATCTCATTTTCTCATTTCTTTGCTCTTTTTTGTTTATTTTAAATATCAATCTTTGAAATCACACGTTCTCTGCTCTTCTGTAAACATATAATTGGTTACCAATGGGCCAATTAAATCTTGGTTTTTAACTTAGCCCAGCCCACTTATTTTGTCTAATGGGCTACTTTATTTTATGAGGCTGATGCTTTACCAATCGACGATCGCTATTTATGGTTTATACAAAACTAGAATTTTGCCCCCTGCTTATGCAGGGGGATTTGTATTTAATTAATAAAATTTAGATAAAATTAACATAAAAGATAATAAGTTTAAAATCAAAACAGTTTGATATGGTATTTAAGTAATAACTCTTTTATTTATAAAATTGATAAAAAATAACATGTTTGAAATTAAAAAAGTTTAACATTTTTACTATTGAAATATCTTAAATTTGAGAATTGGATAATAAAAAGACAAAGTAAACATACTTATCCAATAGTAGTAAGCTTATGTGTTTTATAAATTTAAAAATATCCATTAATTAGTTTAAATAAATATATAAATGTCAATTAAATATAGAATAATAATAATAATAATAATAATAATAATATATTTTAGTGTTTGGTATATAGATAATTAAATATGTACTAAATGATTTTGGTTTGTTACTTAACTTTCTCACGACAAAATATCTATTAAAAGAATAATAAGTAAAAAATTAAAAATAAATGTTTACTTTGCATATTATTTTATCGTTTTGACTTCTTTTCTCAAACTCAGAAAAATAAATCACAGAAAAAGAAAAAATATATATCATCCCAATATATTTGATCTATAAATGTTATCATCATTAAGTAGAACTTAGAAATTTTTTGTAGGAATAATAAAATTTGCATCTTGCCATTTTCATAATGGTGTGTTTCTAGTAGTTATTTTATTTTGTAAATAATCACACTAATATCTAGATTAAAACCCAAAAATCAAAAAATCAATAGAATACCTATAGTAACTGCTTTGTTTTTGTAAATTCTTAAGAGATTATATGGGTTAAACATTTCTGATATAAAGTTAAATTAAAGATCATGGATAGTTATGTGAGATTTTTTTTAAAAAAAACATAAATTGCTGTGATAAAAAAATAAAAAAATAAATTAGTTTAAAACATTAAAAAAAGACACTTGTCAATTTCACAATTGCCAACTGACTTGTACTTTATAAATATAAAGATATAATTACATCTCGTCGGTTGACAAAATGCTCACACAACTCCTACGTGAAAGTGAGCTTTGACTCGATTGTTTAATCATCAACAAATCCAAGATTTAAAGGCCAGGAAAAATGGTTCGAACTTAATAGTTTTTTTCGTCAAATAAAATTAATGGGTTTATGTAATTACTAATAAATTATTGTAAACCCAACCAAAAATTCATGTATTGACTAGGGTTAGTGCAATAGTCCTAGTTTGGAACTATAACTATTTTTCAGCAATTGGATAATTTAATCATAATCGATGTTTTGACATCTAGCTTAATTAATGCTTGATTTGATAGGGTCATCACATGTTCATGTACCAGAATAAATCGACCTATCAATATCACTCTGTTACATCTGACCTATCACATAATATACCCCTAGCTAGTTCAATTCAAAAGACATAAATAAAGATAATGAAATTATACTTATCAAAGCTTTTTCTATTCTTTCAACTGTTTACATTAAGATCTTTATACCATTACTATAACTTAAAAATCTTTAGTTGTTAGAATATTTCCAAGAGCTATCTTAATTACCTTAATACAACATTTAGAGTCCTAACTATCGATGATACTCGCATTCGTATAATGTTTTGAAGAAAATTACGAACTGTTTGGACCAATTGAACTGACAAATTAAAAAAACACGCCTGACCAAGTGTGTTTGTGTGTGTTTGTTAAGTCATTGTCATTGAAGACAGCTAATATTAGATTTTGGTTTTGTCTTACTATTAGCCCTACATATAAATATTTTGCGATGTTAATTAAGTTTTGTTCAACCACATATAGTAAAGTTTCTGATTATGATATATTACCGAATGTATTATACAATGTGGCGTTGAATGAATCTTTGTCGTTTTTCTCTGTTTTGTTAATCATTTTTTTTCGTTTTCTAGGATTTTGGTTACGTAAATTTTCGTACGTACATCCATTAAAAATTGAATGTGTCAGTGTTACCAACTTGCTAGTTATTAGTTACCACGATATCTACTCTTTTGTAATAAACATTCTTCGTTTACGATCGTAGACAACGGCCAATCAACAAAAAACCGTATAGATTTTTAATTTTACGTTTTTAGGGAAGTAGGAAAATATAACTGGTTTTAACAAAAAGTTATTATTAGGCTAGATTATTGAATCATGCACCTGATTTCACACTACTTTTATGGTCAATATACACATTCATTGCAATTACTATAGACCGTCCTTTCTTTTGGGGGAGAATTCGATGTCCGCTTTATTTTTAAGTTTTCTTTTCAATATTTACAAACGTAAGGGACTTTTTCATCTTTTGCAAAAACATTTAGACTTTCAGTATTTGAAATATTGAAAAATTTCAGAGAAAAATAATTATGGCATAGTATTAAGTCATATGATGCGTCGCTATAACATCATTATTTATGCTCATACCCCTATTAATAGTGCTCACAATAAAAGTTGTTGTTTACACCATGATTTTAAAAGTTTTGAGAAATCCTTTTTGTTAAAAAAAGTTAACCTCAATTATTATAATTTTAAGGCTACCCCATTTTTTTCGTCAAATATTTTGAAGGCTCTCTAGAATCTTGATTTTCTTAAACTTTCAATCAGTTAATATCTTCGTCAAAATATGTTGAAAGAAAATAAAATAGAACGAGAGTTCCCGTTCTTTTTGTAAGGTTTTAAGGATACTCGACCGTACGGTCGGGGAAATGGCATTGATACTTAGGTGAAGATAAATGAAAGTGCATGCGATATGTTCAAAGTTTGCGTTAAATCTGAGCCGTCAAAAGCTTCCAAAATGTGGGACATCACGTACCATTACTGATAGTGTATGATCATAACTCCCAGACACATATTGTAGGGATCTAATTTCATCAGATTTCGAAAGTGTGGGTACCACTTGCATGTGCCATCTCTCAGACATTTATATGACATCTACCATATTTCAAAAAGGAAACAAAAACAACATACCGGTTAATTTTGTTTTTGTCGTCCCTAGTAGTAATTTATAAACCCGTTCACTCTTATAATAGTTTCATACATCATTGTTATCATACCGTTTTTCCTTTTGTAATAAAAGTTTGTTTTCTAAAGATTTTACTAATGAAACTTGTCGGCTGACTAAATTTACAGTTAATAGTCGGTGATGTTAATTGTAATCATTATATTCGTAGTTAGATGTTAAGATCGACGAATTGTGATGTATGTATATTAAAAAAACAAAACTATATGTCCTGCTGCTGAATAACAGAAGTGAATAGGGCCAGTAAAAGCGCATGAGATCTGCTGAATAATAAAATTATATGTCATGCTTCTGCATGCCGTGCGTGTGTTACGGACAGAGGATCATGATATCCTCGTGAAGAATCTGTGATACACATTTCAATACTTTCTTAAATTTTAATTTAATTGGTTTCACCAGTTTTAACGGCTTACAAAACTTCCGATTCCGAAAGAAAGCATACTTGTGATTACTTTCTTGGACGAGCTCGCACAGTAACGTACTAACTAACGTTCTATAGTCTTTTTAAGAATTTTTTTACAAGTAGAAATATAATTAAGTTTTGCGACGAACCAAAATGATTTCATATTATATGCAAATTTTATTCCACTTGTGTTATTAAAATAAATCAGATTATAAAATATAGGTTATATCATTATATTAAGATTTGTTCAATTTATATACACATAAATTTAACCGTTGAAACCTAAAAATCAAGAATAATATATACATAGAAAATGGCAAAACAAATTATAAGAGGAGAAAAAGCATTCCGTGATATAATTTATAACACCACCATGAGGAGAACAAAATAATTAGATTATTACTTATTTCCTCCATACAAAATCCAAGATAATAACCAAAAATGGTTTTATTGATCTCTAGAATTAGTCTCGTTCTAATAGAAACACTAACCCAATTTACCCCAAAATTATCTAAAAACCTAAAAGCTAAACAAAGCTTATTCCTCTAAAAGAAGTACTAATTAAAAACCAAAAACCCTAAATATATGTTGATCTGAACATGGAAGTGACGAGAGATTTAAAAGCTACTTCCTCACAAGGAATAGTGAGACCCATGTCGTGATCGAACCCAAACTCTTCCTCAGCTTGTTGTAGAAGAAGCTGAAACTCGGGTCGGGTCAAAAATAAAATGGGAATAACGTACCTGACCCGATTCTCCCCTATGTAGACCACGAAATGACCTTTGGGCACATCCAGAGGAAGACATTCTCCATCCTGTTCGTGTTCGTCGTTATATTCACTGCTCTGTTTCTTCCCCAAACTTGAGCACCTCTTCAAGATTTGCTTTATCATTGTCGTTTGTGTTAGCTTGGTCCGGTTTCTAATCGCCATTTCCTTTAAATCCCTCAGGAATGAAATGGGTTTTCTTTGATTCGGAAAAATAATCTCGAGATTTCTTTGTTTTTTTTTTGAAGATCTTCTTTTTGGTTTTTGTTATTTTATAACTCTATAGCTTCTTGTTGTGGGTGGTGGCTTTAGGTGGGAGGAGAGAGTGAGGAAGGGTTTGTTGAATTGTGATTTTGTGGTATTTATGGATGGTTTTTGTTACATTTATAGAGAGAGATACCTATAGAGGTCATTGTGATGGGTCTATAAACGTCACTAGACAAATCCGACTATTAACTATTAGACTGGGTCAGTTTTTAACGGTTAATGGAGTGTTGGCTACTTGGCTTGCAGCCTTGTATAAGTACGTGGTCGGACCAAACCGAACTTCAAACCTTAAAAAAGGGATAAACTTGAAATAATTTACAGAATCTGGCGAAATCGATTTTGGATGGATTATCCCATGCCAACATCTCTATATAAAATAAATATACGACTGTATATGTTTAGCCACGTATATATATATATATATATATATATATATACATTGAGAGAGGTGATACTGAGGCGTGAGGTAAAGTTAGATGTGTTTGTCTCGATATATGAAGTGTGTGCCTGCTACGGAATAGATATTTTTGTTGTACGTTATTTATTTAATTATTTGTCAATTTGTTGTACGTTTAGTTTATAATACATTTTTGTCTAAGACTCTAAGTTCAATAGTAATATCATATTAAATTAGTCCGAGAATCGAGAGAACTTGGAAACTAGAAAGCGACTCATCATCTGGTTTAGTTTGAAAAATATATCAAAGATAAAAATGTTATGTGAATGCAGATTAATGGCATATTAGTTGCACTAGAGGCTGTATCTAACTTTCAAATTGGAATCGAAATTGTAATTTTTCTAACTAACTTTCTGGTCACACAATAAAAATGCTCTAGATATACTTTAGTTCTCGACATATGTCCTTATACTGAACGCACATATTCAATTTTAATAGTTTTATTAGTGACAAAATGAGTATTTGTTGTTGTTGTTGTTGCTAAATGGATCTTTTTTACTAATTCATCTACCGTTTAAGCAGCTCGTTGATATGAGAGCAAATGTGAAGCAAAAGCTGACAAAATGAGTTTTTTTGTAAAATAATATAGCTCCAGAGTGAGACCCACGCACGCACGGTTACGTATGAGAATTTTAGTAGTGGTTTGTCTGCATGTCTACAAAAGTAAAATACGGAACAAAATATACAAAACTCGACGTAGTTTCTTAGGAGAAAATAATAACTAAAAATAGGAAGGTGATATAAACTAATGTTTCTTTATATTCATGAAAGCTAAACGAATTACATCATTTTAGTAGTATTGGTTTTTAACGTAACTAATTAATTATGCAGAGACGCACAGAGAGTGGAAATCATGACGTTTTGTGTTTTGAATTTCAGCATCGCTAAGCTGAGACTAATTGATGATTAGCAACCAAAAACGGTAGCATATATCGATGAGATCGTCAAAAGGACAATTTAATGCATACGTCAAGGACTAAAGGACAGTACCTAACCAATTAAGGCTTCCTCAATTAATATTCCTGCCACGATGCACATGCAAGTCCCAAAACAGCAGTCCCAATTATTTTCTGTATATTTTATACGTATACTATTGTTTTGGGAACTGGCAGATTCATGTTAAACCCAACAGGCGAACATTGTTATAAAAATTAAATAGCCGCCATATAATTTTTGGATTAGAGAAGAAAAAGATGTAACAAAATTCAGTGTTTAGTTCGACCAAAAAAAGATGATGATGACCAATAAATCATCTAGTATGATTTATTATTATTTTATTACTTTCAAGTAGATAGTCCTTATTAATCTATCATTCATTTTATTTAATAGTTTAACAAAAATTTTTTTATATTTTCATATACATACATATAACATGACTACTGCATAAGTCGTGTTAACTCGGTCGTTAAGCTAAAATGAAAATAAATTAATCGTGCACATGTCGTCTTCTCATCGCCCTCCCTCCACATGAAATAACAAATATTTTCGAGGTAGCAAATATTACTGATGTTCAGAGCATTGGTTCTTATTGTTGATACGGTTCTTAAGCAATGCTTTAATGGGCCTTTTTGGTAAGAATAACAACAATGCGTCGTATTTATATATTTTGTTGGTCAACATCTATAGTAAATAAAATAAACTATTTAGGGCTCCTTAAGCTATTTACCTCAGCTTTTCAAACTACTCTAAAAATATGACACATCAGCAAAAAATAATAATACAAATTTCCACTTTAGATTTTTTTGAAATACACATAAAGTAAATAAATAGAACCAAAATTAATATAGTTAAATACAAGAGTAAATAAAAATAAAATATTATTTTTTAAATCAATAAAATAAATATTATTTAAATCTATAGCATCAATATATACTCCTTTGTTTGTAATATAACAAATTAACAATAATGAAAATTCTCACTTTAGATTTTTTTGAAATACACATAAAATAAATAAATAGAACCATTAAATTAATATAGTTATTAGCAAAAACTAAATAAAACTATATATCATTTTAATCAGTAAAATAAATATCATTTAAATCTGTAGCATTAATATATACTCATTTTTGTCACTAAAATTAATATAGTTACGAACAAAAGTAAATAAAATTAAAATATTATTTTTTGAATCAGTAAAATAAACATCATTTAAATTTATAGCATCAATATATACTTCTTTTGTTTGTAATATAACAATAATAAAATTTTTTAGTTTATATCTTTTGAAATACACATAAAATAAATAAATAGAACCACTAAGTTAATATAGTTATTAGGAATAAGTAAATAAAACTAAATATCATTTTCGAAATCAGTAAAATAAATATCATTTAAATCTGTAGCATTAATATATACTCCTTTTTGTAATATAGTGAATATATTGGACAAGAAATTGCTCTAAAAAACTTAAATAATAGTTAATAGAAACAAGATTACAAAATAATAATTTCTAAAATAAAATTTAAAACATTTACAAATTATAAAAATCTAAAACATTCACCTTTTAGAAACATAAAGATTAAACATCATAGTACGTTAGATTTATGACAACCAACAAGACAACATAAATTATAGGAAGCTTTTCAAAGCATCTATCTATATGAAGATTTCGATCATCGTTACTATTTACATTGCAGAAAATGATAGACAAAAGAAGAATTTCATGCACTGATATTTATTCAATGTGTGTCTTAGTTGGCTTAAGGTAGTCAAGTTACTACAAGCGATACATGTCAGCGCATGAGTTAAACAGTTTATAAAAAAAAATTAAGTTTTAGATGACAGTTAATTTTTATATATATCAAGTTAGTAAATTTTTAAATTAAATAATAATGCATTTTTGAAAAAATAACATACACATTTTTATGTAGAAGAAAATGTCTAAAAAAATCTATAATTATCCACATCAACAAAATTCCTTATAAACCCAACTTGAATGAAAAACTACTATGGTTTTTTTTACTAGGTTAAGAAACTCCTTTAAAAATAATACAATATATATTATTAGTTTAATTATAAAAGCTCATCAAAATATATATGTGTAGTTTAAGAAAAAATGTTTAAGTTAAATTACAAGCAAAATTTTTTACATCTTTTGAGTTTTGAGAAACTCAACATACTTTATTTAACATAATGAGTTAGTATGAAATTGTATTTTTATATGTATTACTTGCCTTATTCATCTATATTTTTATAGTTTACGTATACTTCATAGACCAAATCAAAATTGCATTTTATCAATATGATTGTGATTTTTTATACTATGTAAATATTGTTTTTATTTATATAAATCATAGTTATTTTATAGATTTATAAGAGATTAGAATATTGAGTGTTGTTTGTATTTGAGATTGCTAATTAAATAAAAACACTACACGAACACAGTTGAAATAAAAATAAAAAAACTAAATTAATTAGAACAATAATAATCAAATTTAGTCAAAACAAAAAATAATTTTAATAATATTTTGAAAGTTAGTAGTGAATAACAGTGAGTTTATATACAAATATTAAATTTTAGATTAACAGTTAATTTTAGCATATATCAAGTAAGTAATTCTTAAAATTATATCATGATACATTTTTTTGAATACATTAAAATATTTTTGATGTATAATCATATCAAAACAATTTTAAAAATTAAATATTATATTTAAAATATTAACTTAAAGTGAAAATAATTTAACTTAGATAATAATCAAATATCTATATAAAAACAATCCGCGCGTAGCGCGGAAATATTCCTAGTACTGTATAAAACAGATAAATGAAAGAAAAACACCTAAGGTTCCCTCTGACTTAGCGTCTGAAAGCAAGTAGGTAATTTTTGTTTTCTTTCTTCAAATAGACTTTATATATCTTTTCAGTTTGATCCAGAATTCTTTATCTCACACCGTCGTGTTTTTGCAGATTTTGCAGTAGGTATGAATGTATCATCTACATTGGTGGTTGATGCTTCTTGAATCTTGAGTTGTAGTTTATTATTCATACTTGTGCTGCACATTGTAAAATGAAATCCAATAACTTGTTAGACATTTGGAAGTTAAAATTTTCTCTTGTGCAGTGAAACCGCTTATATATTTTTATTGTAGGGTTTTTGATAAGTTGTATAATTTTACGGAAATTCCTTGAGCAACAAAGTGATGTAAAAGGAAAAAAGGCTTCACGATATTTTATAGCCCAATTCGTTATTGGGCTTCGCAACCCATTATAATATTAGGCGGCAAAAACATTGATTAAACCTAAAAATCAGTGTTTGTTAAGTTGTTACTCTTTTCAACTAACCCACGATCACGTCTCAGTAATCCTACCCTCTCTGTGTTTGACACGTGTTTTTTCTCAATCTTTATTATTTTCTTTTTTCAGTTTTTTTTTTTTAATCAAAATTTACACGGACTCGAGAGAAACCCTTTATAAATCCTTGAGAGTGGCCGTTAGAAGGAGACTCCAGTTCCGAATCCTCTGAAACTCGACGAAATCCTGAAATCGGAAAACGAAACCCTAATTTCCTTTCCGGGATTATGGCGGCGAACAAGTGCAGCCGGTGTGATGAGGTTCTCAATTTGTACTTAACCGAGTGCAGGCACTCGACGGTTTGTTTTGGTTGTGGTAAGACTATGGCGGAGGAGAAAGAAGCGTGTGCGGAATGTGGAACCATTGTCACGCAATTGGTGAAGGTGAGATTTTTTTTCCCCATTTTCCTTTAGGGTTCTTTTGATTTTGCCATTTGCGCTGAGGAAAAAAGCTAATTCGTCTCGTTGAATGTCGCAATTTAGGAATTTGATCTTCGTATTAGCTCGCCGGACGATAAGAAGTTCTTTTTCGGAAAATTCCCTCTTGGCACTCCGTACCCGAACTTCAAGAACGATCACGCATGGTCTCTGAGCAAAAACAGTCTCCCAAATGATAATGAAGCGGTACTTGTTTTCTTGCAATATACTTGTTAATTGTGTTTATGTGGAGAATCGGAGCAAGATCTGTTAGTCCGTGAGTATATATCATCAGGGATCGTCAAAGAATGTGTCGTGGGTGTTGAAAGATGAAACCGACAACACCGAGTACGTGGGACGTTGTGAAAAGGCAGGCTCAACATCAGAATTCTTGTTGATGCGAGCACTTTTGTGGCAATTCCGAATGTTGATTGGTATGGACGCCCCAGAAAATGTGTGTTTGTATAATTCTTGGTGCAGAGAAAAGTGAATGAACGTTCTTGTTTACTTTTACAGGTTTCGCTTTGCGAAAGTAAGAGATCTTGATCGACTTACCATTGAACAACTTAGAGCGGACGTGGCAAAGCGCGAAAAGGCCTTGGCTAAACGCGAAAAGCTCTTTAAGAAACACGAGGAAAAGTTTATGAGGAGGTTCGCTAAGAAACGAAAGCTTTCCAGCAAGAAAGAAGCAGGCTCATCTCCCAGCAACGAAGAAGCAGGCTCATCTCCCAGCCGCGAAGAAGCAGGCTCACCTCCCAGCAACGAAGAAGCAGGCTCATATGAGAAAGGTAATCCCGTGCAGAGAATCCGCTTAGTTTCCTTTCGAGCAGTCTGTTCAACTGATGTTTGTTGTAGGAGAGGATTGGGAACATGAGGATGTTTTCACTGATGACGAGGAAGTTGATTTGGGTGAAAGCCTCGAGGCTCCAGAAGAATTTCAAGTATAGTTTCCCACAGTATACAAGTTGCAGTATTTGAGCATTAATTGGTGATAATTAAAGAAGCTGAACATCATCCCTCCCTCTTCTGAACATAGGATGAAAACGATAGAGAGCCATCATTCCTGAGCCATTCCGGTAAGGATATGCAGAATCTGGTTGCTGTGTCTGAGAAGAATCAGAATGAATCTGATGGAATGAAAATAGATGTAAGGCCCTCTCAATGTCTTAACATATGGTTTCTGAATTTGAGGTTTAGCAGGAACGTTAATGATACGATCTGGGCTTAACAAGTTGGAGTTGCCGTTTCTGATGACAAGGTTAAGGGGAGCACAAGTGCAGCAGGATCGAGCGAGAAGAAAACGGATGTTGAGGAAAAAAGTGATGTTGCGATGGAAGATTATCAGGTAAAAGTTGCAACCTTGTGCTCTGTTTTCCCTTGTCAGTGTGCTCGTGGATCTTTTTTCTTCCAGATAAAACGTAGCAATATATGATCTGGACTTTTAACACGTTGGAGTTGTGTGATTCAACAATGGTGCAGGATCGCAATACTTGAGTCTGAGGATCAGAAGGAAGGGGTGTATATAGTACGGAGATTGAGGAGGAACATTGTACATAGCTATGAGATAGAGAGAGCGATTCTTTTAGTCATGAACACGGATATAATAGTCTTGTGAGGAAGAGAGTGCTTGATGGTTTTTTTTTTTTTTTGCATTTTGTTGCTATTCAGAAATTCATACATGGCCTGATATATAGGAACCAAAAACCATAGTCTTACAGTTGTTTGATATGCTTTGTTCATACACACACTCATTAGTAATCTCCTGCGTGGATCTACTTGTATTCAGAAATAATTGTCGTCTAATGTTGAGCTTACATTCACAAGTTTTATGTTGTTCACCATTGGGATGGGAATTTTCTAAACCATTCCACTTGCTCATTGCTCACCTTTTATTTTTCAAATCTTGTTAGCCAAAACTAAACCAGAATCAACTAACAATGTTACAACTTACAAAACATTTTTTGGGGGTTTTTGTGTAAGCATTTTATCGACACACACACATGCAAAGTAAAAATATAAACTTTAAATCTAACAGAGCGTTAAGCAGTGCAAACCAAGCACTGGCTCAACAAAGTCCAATCGGATTGCTTACTAGAATCGGTGGTATTCACGTCACATTCCGACTGCTACGATGAGATGATTCTGAAATGCGTGAGATGGAAGAGCTCAAGTTGGTGCTGCTAAGTTTCAAGAGCTTTACGATTTTATGGGCCTTCGTGCCATGAATTATATGGGCCGTGTTTATATTGTTGGTCCACCTTTATAAGGAAAAAAAACATAAAAAAGTTAAGGAAAACTTTGTCACCAGAAGTATGATCGTTTCCTCCGTCTGAGGCTCTGAGCGTCTGAAAACAGGTACCGTATGTAATTCGTTTTTTCTTTCCCCAATCTTCTGATCTTAGGTTTTCTTCTACAATAGAATTTATATATCTTTAGTTTGATCCATATTTATTTATCTCACATACTGTTTTTGTATTTTTTTTTTTGGTAGTGGGTATAATCTACATTGGTGGTTGATGCTTGAGATGTAGTAGCTGATCAGCTCTATTCAGATTTATATTGGGTTTAGGGTTATGATGGATAGGATCAACGGTCTATCGGATGAGATCGTTTGCCACATTCTATCATTTCTTACGATAAAAGAGTCTGCTTTAACATCTGTCCTCTCCACTCGATGGCGTAATCTGTTTGCCTTGACACCGGATCTTCATATAGAAGAAGATGATCTTCAAGAGGGTTGTGGACAGAGTTTCATGGATTTTGTGGGTAGAGCATTGGCCGTGTCAGCCGATTTGCCCCTCAGGAAATTTTCAGTAAAGTGTCGAAAGAGTATCGACTCGGGTCATGTCACCGGCTGGATGTTCGACGTGCTGGAACGTGGTGTCTTAAATCTTGATATAGACGTAATCGCACGCGAATTAGCCATTTTAGTGCCACTTGAGATGTTCACTTGCAAGACGATCGTTGAGCTGAAACTTGCAAGAGGATTTGAAGCTATGGTTCCTGACCATGTCTCTCTTCCATCGCTCAAGACACTCTTTCTTGGTTCGATCTATTTCTACAACAGGGACGATAACTGTGTCTTGGGAAGGCTTCTCGCTGCTTGCCCTTTGCTTGAGGAATTAACCATTCGCAGCCCGAGGTGGCAAAGCGGAAATTTCTGTCGCACCGTCTCCTCTTCGACCCTTAAGAAACTCACTCTCAAGTGTATTAGATGTTATCAGTATTGGGACATTAGTCTCGATACTCCAAATCTTGTCTACTTGGAATACTCCGATTTAGTCCCAAGAGAGTATCCAGTTGTGAATCTTGAATCCCTTGTCGAAGCTAAGCTTGACCTTTGTTCGGACTCTGGTATTCCCAATCCAATAAATCTGATCAAGGGGTTAAGAAATGTTCAAGTCTTGGAGTTATCATCTGTTGAGACTTCAGTGGTAAACAAGTTATCTCTTCTCATTTTTCTTTCCCCTGTGAACAATTATTTCTTGAGGTGTTTTGGATCCGAAGACACTTGCAATTGGTTAATGTTATGTTTGTTTTGTTTCAGGTGTTCCATCGTTGCCGTAAAGCAATCCCAGTGTTGAGCAACCTGCTACGTTTATCTATTACAACTTCTTCAGATTCCTACACTTGGGAATGTTTTCCAATACTCGTACGAAAATCTCCAAATTTACAGACTCTCGTCATCAAGGTAATAAACCGAAACCCTCATTAGATATGTTTATTGTACAAACTCAAAATCTTCTATAATCTTCCCTCTTGTTTCAGGGCCCATTATTGCACGGTGTTAGATCTAGACAAGAATACGGGTTGTCATGTCCTGTCAAAGTATTGAAGATAACTGAGTTTGGAGGAAAAGCTGGAGAGCTAAACAAATTGAAACATTTCATAGAGGTGCTGTCGTCAGGTCTTGAGCTTGTCAAAGTTCGTGCTTTTGCAATAAACGACGAGGAAAAGTCTCGAATCACCAAAGATCTGCTAATGGTTCCGAGATCGTCCAAGTGCAATATCCAGATCAAGTTTTGTGAGCGTACTAAAGTAATGAATGATGATACTGACAGTGTCAGAGATTAAAATGTAATTTCTCCAAGTTGTATGATGCTGGTTTTGCTTCATCCAAATTATATGATTCGGTTTCTACAAAATTGTATTGTTGCTTCTGTTTAACTTCACGATGTTCCTTTTCTCTTTACGGATTACAGAAACCGGTCTAAACCACAAGCATATGAATTGGATCAAGATGACATGAAAAAAAAAAAATGTCACACACAGTTCTTTAAAGAATCTCCAGCACCTTGAAAGAAGAAGGAAGAAAGCACAAAATCCGCAATAAAGATTCCGACAAGAGACATGACAACTGCAGAAGTTGTAGATTCTCCGACACCTTTAGCACCTCCCGTTGTGGTAACTCCCCAAGAACAGCTAATCACCGATATGATAGCTCCAAACACCTGAGATTTAATCATGGCGCTCACAATGTCCCATGGTCTAAGCGCTCGATGGGCCGAGTCCATGATGATGTTGATGCTAATCCCGTAGACCGCGTCAGAGAGCAGAGCACTCGAAGCCATCCCGACAGTGAAACACATGAGGGTCAGAAACGGTAGAGCAAGGCACGAAGCGATGACTCTCGGTGTGATCAGATAATCGATTGGGTCTGCTCCTAAAACACGGAGCGTGTCGGTTTGCTCCGAGACTTGCATCGTCCCTAGCTCCGCTGCAAACGCGCTTCCCATTCGTCCGGCAACAACGATCGATGTGATGACCGGACTTAGCTCTCTAGAGAAGGCCAGAGCCAAGACGCCTCCGATGGATCTGTTAAGGCCAAGTCTGGTGAATTCTCTAACGAACTGGATTGTGAAGGCCATGCCAACGAATGTTGAAGTCAGAAGGCAAACTCCTAGAGATTTCGGTCCGGTTCTCTCGAGCTGTTGAAGAGTGTTTCTCCAGTGGATCTTGCCTTTTAGTATCCGGAGAACGACTTGTCCTGCTATGATTGGGACTGATAAACCCCTCCATAAGTACTTAGACGGCGACCATTTGCTGAAGGGAAGCTCGGCTTCTGGCGTCGGCGAGCTGTTCTCAGTGGAGGTTTCCTCCAACGTAGACATTGATGGGTGACCGTCATTAGCATTCAAGTTCACGTATAATCTTCTCTGCCGTATAAGATTCGAGATCCCCAAAGACTGATTTTTCCCGATGAACCCAACTTTACAAGCTTTCAAGGGCTTAATACCGATGGATGTATCACACCTTGGAACAATCCTGCACAAGATTTTTTTCAAGAACTCAATATAACATCTTGGAACCAATAACGAGAAAGCTTATGCCTACACAAATAACCTGTGAGGGAAGCTCAACGATTGATGGATACAACAAGTCTGCATCATTGTCGCCTTCTTCGTCTTCTTCTTCTTCTTCTTCTTCTTCAGGAGCTTCACTGATTCAGTGTGTTTAAGGCAACACGCAAAACGCGATTAGCCTGTCATTTCAAGCAATATGGCGAGATTTTAACAGCTTTAGCATATTTGACACTAAAAACCCACCAAATGCCATAGAAAACCCAGAATCGATTTCGAATTTATTTAAATCGGAGCAATTAGACAATCACGGAGATCCAAATCGATGCGACGACTCCATAACTAAGTTTTGGAATCTTAGCAATCAACTAATCAATTTCGCATACAATCTATAAATTCATAATCTATGTACAATTTCTACAGTAGAACGGGAAGAACAATTAGATTTATCAATCTTCTTACTGTGAGATCGACACAAACCTTGCAAAGTTTTAACTACAACTTGAAAAACAAAAAGTAGCAGAAATAAATAATAGATTCAAGAAAACTTACGTTTAGAATAGAAACGAAGCCAGGAAGATCAAAGAAGCTTGTTTCAGAGGATTCATCGAAAAAGAAACTAACAGAGAGCTAACAAGAACAAAAACAAACAGTTGCAAAGAGGATGTGGGTTTAGCTAAGCTCGTAACATTTTCTCAGAAAAGAAGCCAAAAAAGTTGCAAAATAGAAATTGGGCCGTAAAGCCCAATAGTGTTTACAATTTCAGGCATGGGCTTACGCCTTCAATTTGTATATATCACATCGCATAATATCATATCTTTTTTTGTAAGCATATGTATAAATAAAATACATGTGTGTACATTTTTTTTTGTTGTTAAAGGGTTAAAGGGTTACACAAATACATGTGTGTAAACCAAATGTCGAAATGAAGGTTATGTGTGTGAAAAGAGAAATGGTGGTGGTCACGAGACAGTGAGTCTTTGTAACCTTTGCGGAGACAACAACGTTAACTTTTTCTTCAGCCGGTCCGTTCTTTAAAGGCACACTCTCTGTATAATATACGCCTCTCTACGTTTTATTTATTCACATTTTACCCTACTCTACACTACAAGTCTACAACCCAAATTAAAATATTTATTTATTTACACTACAAGTCTCCCACACAAAAGTGATTCTATAAAATTGAGTACTCGAATTTGATTTTTAAAAATATCGGAACAAAATTAAACTGCCGTAAAAAATGTACAGAGAAAGCATAATGTGGGTGCATGTGCATGGGATGGGCAGATGGGGCCCGCGGGCTGAAGAAGGCCCATAAAGCTAAAGGAAGAGGAGAGGACCACGTGGCAGGGGGCTAGCTAGTTCTACAAGTGGAGTGGATACTAAGAAGTAAGAAAGTAGGAATGAGTTGAATCTCGTGATATCGCACTGTTTCTACTATTGGCAATGCAGTGTTGCTTTCGTCCTCTAGGGTTTCAGAACTAGCCTTCTTCCTTCCCTTTTCTTTTTTTTTTCAATTTACTTTTCTCACCTATCCAACCACACCACTTATGTTCCCTTGTATTTTTCAGTTATCTTTTGTGTAACTAATATCGTATAAGCTGGTTAAAAGGAATTACATTTTCTTTGGAAGTTACTTTTATCGACCCAAGGATATGCTTCCCCGACATAGTATTGGATAACAAGTTTGGATCTGATAGCATCAAAACACTATCATTATGTGGAGTTTAGCTAAACGGTGTTTACGTACACAAAAAATTAGAATATCTATCTTTTAGAAATAATGTTTTAACATTTTTTATATATGTTTCAAACGATATGTAGTATATGTGAATTAGCAAATATAATTATTAGTGTAAGAAAAATAATATATACGAATATATCAAAAGGATACTTGAGAAGAGATAGATTTTAAAGGTTTATAATATATACGAATATATAAAAGTTTCCTTCAGTTTTAACCTTTAGCAAGAAGCTTTGAGTCACTTCGTTCCTTTATTCAACAAGACAAAAAGCCATTCGTGGCGGAAAATAGCATAATTATCACTTAGCTTTAAGCTAAAAAAAACTGATGGTCACAGAGAAATGTGTAATTACAATCTTATGTTATTTTTTACAAAATATTGATCTACTGGTGGGACTTTATTATCATGTTCTCTCCACCTTCGTGATATAAGGATTATTATCAGAATACTACAGATGCTAAAAAAATTATGCCAATATGGCTCCACTCTGACTGAGTTGATTCTCAAAATTAAGATATTATTACATTTTTTAAAAATATATTATTACATTTTGATCAGAAGATTCTACGTTGAATCCTATACCGGTATATTTTAGCTTCTCGTCAATATGTAAATTATATAATGGCCGATAATATATTAATATATATATATTTTAATCGGAAACGAATCTACAGTTTGGATTAATCCTTGTAACCACAGTATAATGTTTTCGTCATCAATACTATGCCAACTAACCAAAAAAAAACATGTACATACTCGCTAGCAAGGATAATGATTAATGATTGACTTCTAGTTTAATTAAAATTTTGAGAGTGAGAGGTAGAGAGATGAAGCAAAAGGTAAGCACAAGGCTCGAGAGTGAAAGACAAAGACATAATAATTGGGACTTCTCTTCTTCTATAAATTTCCCCAAACAAGTCATGCACTCCCTACTCTCTACTTGCCTTTAGGTGTGTGTATTGACAAATCATAGTAACATCAAGTTCCTTTAATCATTTATAAATTTATAATTTAACCACTAAACATTGTCTTATATGGAGTATATCATTAGCAATAATAGTTCAGAGCACGCAATAGATATATAAATTGTCACCAAATCTTCGTCCGTTGAAAAAATAAATTTGTGAAGGTTTTTTATTTTGTTTTTATATTTTTGAAAAAGAAGTTAATTATGTTCGTTAATACAAATCGATGTCTAATACCACTGATATGTTGATCCCTATGGTCCACAAAACCACTGGGAACTTTCATCATTTGAACAGGTAACACAATCTCATTGTCTTAAGATTCTACTAATTTTTAGGACATTCATTCCGAAATAAAATTCTTGCTGGGATATATCACTTGGAAACAAAACAAACTATATAATGCATGTTAAATCTATACTATATAAAAAAAGCTACAATACTCTTTCAAGCTTCTATTCCTAGCTACCTTTCGCTCACCAAATGTTAGCCTCCTTTTTACCCAAAAAAACCTCAGAACTCAAAGTGAATGGATATATAGTAGAAATTGTGACCAAAACTTTCCCTAAAATTGAGTCAAACGCATGGTTACGAAATAACGTTGTTTTTTGGAATTAATTTAATTAAATAAATCTTGAGTTTTTCTTGTTTGTGAATTAGTTTAGAAATCAGACTTGTATCTGTTATAATTTTCACATCAAACCAAAGATAATTTTTCTAGTTAAATATAAAAAATACAGACCAATATATTATATGCTAATCTGAAAACTTGAATAATATATAAACATCATAGACTAACTCACTCATTTAAAGTTAAATTTGAGTTGAAAACTATACTTTATATAGTATTAAGGATTATATATACTGACCCAATCCAAATCAAAATTTATCAGACCCAAAATTAATTATCCAAAATTGGCTCAACTAATAAGATCTTATCTAGGTAAATGGCTAGACGTCCATCATCTCATATGATGATATGAACTAGTTAAGAATATTACATCATAAGTGGGATAGTTAGTTTGCTTTTTACTAGTTAATTTTGAATTGGAAATTTACAAAATTTAATGATATATAGTTTTTTTTATCAGTATATATAGAAGTTTAATAATAGAATAAAATCAATCTGATCACACGCTTTTTTTTTTTACTTCTGATTAATTTTGTTATTTTTTCCTGTAACAACATTTCAGATTCTACAATTTTCGCCATTTCATAGTATTATCAACTTATTAAACAGAATCTTTATCGATACTAATAATATCACGATCACTTAACATCATTTGTTAATATTTCACATTTATCCAAAAAATAACATCATGCACTTGTTAAGAAAACAAATAGAGAATCAAATGCATATTTGTATCCGAATATTGAGATAATGCATCTGCGTATTGACTATTGACTTATTGAGATGATTGCCGCTACACAAAAACAAATAAAAACTAGCTAGTCATCGAGCTTAACAAAAAATGAATAGAAATGTTTTAGACATAAGACAAAAGGGATATTTGGCAACTAGTTTAATCACGAGGATCCGTAGTCATCTAAGTTAGGAGTTTACGATTAAATTCAGATAACATATTGTTATTTTTGAAAATTATAGAGTAGTCCCTAATAATCGTACACAAGACAATAGTGTACTACTAATTTATCTAGTCCCGTGCCATTTCCATTTAAGCGTAATTGGTGCTAACACAATTAACCCATAATGAAATGTTTTAGTTTTTAATGGACGTTGTGTTATTGATGGGTAGGAGAATGGGAAATGTTTCGTTATATTTATCGGGTATTTATTAGTCAGTTGATAACGATGTTTTTGTTACATCTACGAACAAGTCAAAATCTCAGTCATATATGGGTCGTGACTTATGGTCCAACTACGATCGATTACACCATTTTGTTCGATGATTTACATTGATACATGTCGCGTATTCACTTCCTGCCCACTATAATATTTTTGCAAAGAGAACTTTAAAGTTTGGGTATCTAACAAATAGTTGTCCTTCAATAAGAAATAATTAAGTTGTTTTGAATTTTTGGGCTCAGGTACGACATTTGGAGGTATTAACTTAACTATTGACCTGTGTGACGCGAAAACTAAAAGATAACTATATAGTCTATAGGCTTAAATTTAATTAAATACCAAATGCCGCTAAATTAATAATTAACATAAATTGCGCCGCTAAATCACGCACTTCCACGTGACTAAAGTATTCGGAGTGGATTTGCTTGTTTGGTCTCACTCTTACGCCAATTAAAGTTATCTGTCGAACTTTTTTCTCCTACATAGTTTATAGACTATATATGGCCAGGGATTACTTAATTGTACGAATCAATAATCTCACGGGTTTAGCTTAGCTATAATGAATTTTAATTGTTTCAGTTTTATAATTTCTATATATATATATATATATATATCTAAAACCCTTAAACCATTGCATGGAGTAGTTTGGTTGGAGAACGAAGTGGATCCTATCCAACTGTTTGGATGATAATTATTACTCGTGACCTAAAACTTAGATTATATATAGGGCTTGCTGTCAATCAAATATCCATTAAAAAACGCACAATTGTATATAGTTATTTTGATAAACTGCATTTTCATAGCACTTGTTGAAATTTTAATTAAGAAATCAGTTATAGTCTTATTATAGTGATTATGGTTGCATTATCCTTTCGAAAGCTCATGACATTAATTAAACTCAGCAATTTAGAGATATTATTGGATTAAGGGAAAAACATTTGGGTCGAATTAGGGTTAGAGGATTAAAGATTCAATTTATTGGTTTGCAGGTAAAGAAAGTAAGGAAACATGTCAGAATGGTAAGTTTTAAAAACGTACAAAAAGTGATTTAAGATAGTAGCTAGGATTAATCCTACGGATGAAACCCAGAAGGTTGTGCTGAGTTTTCTCCCGGATATATAAAGCCTCCGGTCCGAAATTATGTATGAAATTTTGTAAATCTTAACAATTTTAGTAACCTATTAAAATATTAGTCCAGCCAAAACGTATTTGCAGCGTTTATCTTAATTAAGCAAACAAATGATGAAGCAGTACTTAAGTATTAAAATATTACCGCACGAGGCGTTTGAAAATAATAAATATCCCATCACATCGGTGAAATTATATCAATGACCGTCAATCGCTATTTGGTTAAGCGCGCGACAACTCTTTTCGGACTGGTAGTTTGTACTTTGTAGAGGTAAGGAAATAATATTGTTAAGTAATTTAGGTTTTTAACTCATGAAACGACAACACGTTTATGTTGTTATGTAATTTTGTGATTTGGAAACCCTTTAACAAAAAAAAAAAAAATTGTTATTTGGAGTATTTCTCATATGAACGTAGATTAAAGCTATATACAATATAAATTTATTTTGTAGAAACAGGAATGTGTAAAGTATCATCAATACAAAAAAGCATATGTGGCGCTCCGTCTACCGTTTGTAAGAAAGAGATCAAAAATGTGAGCTAATTTCTTCCTTCTTTCATTATTATCTTTATCTTTATTATCACTTCCTTATATCTGAATATATAATATGGACGTGATCCAAGAGTAAAATTATAAATATTTTGGATTTTAAAGTAATAAATCAAATTTATAGGGTTTTGTCATTTTAAAATCTTCTCTTCCATACTCATTTTCGTGGAGTATTACCAAGATAACATAGTTCAAAAAAACGACAATAAAAGTAACTCGATCGGATCCTTGAACGTAAATAATTACTCTAGAATAAACTACTTGGAAATAGCGTCAAATAATAGTTTTTCTCAAAACAAAACAAAACACATATACAGGGTTTGATCGTTTAAATTAGTCCATAATATACTATATATTAAGCGATATTTATTGTGATGGGGATTCATTGAAACTGGAAGACAACTGTAGAGAAAGTGCCCCCTAGAAGAAGATCTTCATAGTACTCTTTATCTCTTAACTCTCTCTCTCTCTCTCTCTCTCTCTCTCTCTCTCTCCACAGAGAAATACAGCAGTAGCTGTAAATTGTTCGAGTTCTTGATGAGAGAGACAGATAAATTAATCAAATGTCTTAAATGATTTGAAGAGAAGCAATAAACATTGGCGGCGTTTGCATCAGTTTCTTAAATACCCTCAACATCATTACTCCCTCATCTGCTCCCTTCAAATACCAAACACGTCTCCAAGTCTACAAATTAATGAGCTAGAGAGCAAAAAAAATAAGAAGGTAAACTCGAATCCCCAAAATTAATTTATTCACTAACCCCAAAACAGTCTCATAAATTATTCTCTCTCTTTTCTTTGGTGTGTGTTTTGGATGTGGAAGTAGAAGAAATGGCTGGATTATTCTATCTAGGGGGGAGAGATAACAACAAACAAGATCATCATCATCATCAAGACAAGGATCATAATGAAGATAAGAGCAACAATTATCTTTATCTATACAAGGACGAGATCTACAACAACAACAAGGGTTTTGAGATTTGGCCACCTCAATATTTTCAGCAGCAAAATCAGGTGGCTGCTCCTACAAATCTCTACTCTTTTGGTATGGTCCCAAGTGGTGGCAGCAATAACAATAACCGGAGTAGTAGTCGGAGTTTGTACTTCAACGTCGTCTCCGATCATGAGCCGGTGAGATCCTCAACGGGAGGGTTTACGGTAACAAGGCAAGGAAGCATGAATTGCCAAGACTGTGGGAATCAAGCCAAGAAAGATTGTCCTCATATGAGATGTCGTACTTGTTGTAAGAGCCGAGGGTTTGATTGCCAAACCCACGTGAAAAGCACGTGGGTCCCGGCTGCTAGACGCCGTGAGAGACAGGCTCAGTTAGCTGCCCTGCCAGCTAAGAGAAGCAGAGAGCCTAGCTTAGGCGACGATGATATAGAGGGCGGTGAAAATGGAGGTCAAGGCAGTGATGGTGGCTCGGCTCTTGCTTGCACTACTCGTGTGGTTAATGCTAGCTCTTCAGGTAAAATGACTTTTTAATTAATTAACCTAAATTGATTGATCGATCTTTAGTGGGAAATATTAAAAGATCCAAACCTTTTTATTGGGGTCGTAAGATCTAATTATGATATTTTTAGTCAAATATCATTTAAGTGTGAAATGGATGGATGCAGATTTTGCTGCCTTTTTTCTTATGCTTTGTTCTTTTACTTTGATGATGATTTTTTTTTCAGTCACTGTTCTTGGGTAAACCTTATGACACAAAGTGTTTTAATCGATTTCATGAGTCTATACTTGAATCACTATCAAAGATTTGGTTTTTTATATATTTAATATAGATATGGAAAAAAATAAACAAAGCTTGGGTTTTTGTTTACAAGGATTTGGTTATAACTATTATTCCCTTTTTGGGGCCAAAGGTTATGAATCCGTATAGTATTCAGCAACCAAACCCAGAGTTTTTTTTTACAATTTACAAAATAACCATTCTCTCTCTATCTCTTCCTATCTCTCTCTAAAAATTGGTTAGTTTGTGATTTTGTTTTCTTTTTTGTTTATCCAACAAATTCTCCCAACCTTTTATGTAAACATAAACAAAGGTTAGGTTTTTCTTTACAAGGTTTTGTTATTCGATTTGATTAAAGAACCAAAACTTTATAAAAAAATGTTTTGTTTGGATTTTATAGTAATTTTTCATTTTTATTGAAATTAGGGTTAGAAAGCAGTCAATTACCGCCGGAGATAAGTTCACCGGCGGTTTTCCGGTGTATGAGAGTAAGCTCAATTGACGATGAAGACGAAGAGTATGCATATCAAACGGCTGTGAGCATCGGAGGACACGTGTTCAAAGGCATTCTCTACGACCAAGGCCCATCAGATCACCGCTACAGCTCAAGCCCCGCCGCGGCAACCTCTCAACACCATCTTAACCTCTTGCCCTCGAACGCTCCAGCAGCCACTACGGCCGCCGTGACCACGAGTAATATTAATAACGCATCGGAGGAACCTTCGTCTATTTACACTGCAGCGGCGGCTCCGTTTAACCCTTATGTCGCCGCCGGTACGCCTTTCTTTGCACCTCCTAGGTCTTGAGATTGAAATGTTAAATCTTTAAAATGTTTGTGATTAATTTACTATGTTACTCTTATAGTTATCAGAGAACTTTGAGTACGAAAAATGATTAATTCGAGGGTTTAGTTGTTGTCGGACAATATGGTAACTCTCGTACCTTGCTAGGGTTTGTGAGTACTGAACTACTGATTAATATGCACATCGTACGTTTTTTAGAGATAAATGAGGGTATTTTATTACTATAAACTTTTTGTGTAGAAAGGAGAGATTAATTATCACATTTAAGTTAAATGTCAGAGATTGAAGTTTGATCTTCTGCTTGTTCTTTTTATTGATCTTCCCAAAGCGATCGACATAACTCCTTTGTTTTTTTATCAACGATTTTTTTATAATATGTCTTCTTATTATCTTTTTGAAGTTATATCTTCTGTACTAGTCTGATAGTGGATTCGCTTTCTGGGCGGTGTTGAACTCGAAGCTGCTTTTTCCCAGTTTATCCGTTTGCTTGCCGGATCTAAACAGGACTTAACTAGGTTTCGTGTTCAATTGAGCAAACAATTTCAAATCTATTTATATAAAAAGGTAAAACTTTTATGCCACCCAATCCAACTTCCGCAGAGTAAACCAGTAGAAACCTTAATATGAATTTTTTTTAACATTCATGCAATATTTTATTAGAGAAAAAGGTGGAAAAAAAACCGCAGGCTAATTAAATTATGTAAATGCAGTCGTATCTTTCTATGTATACTATTGTTTTGTATACAAAACTAAAGTATAGCGATGAAATTTCAACTGCCAGTATAATTAGAATTAAGCCTTAAAACGATCGAGTTTCTTGAGTTTCAATGCATGCATGAGACACGATTACCCGAAACAAATTAAATTAAGTTCCTTCCAGAGTTCCAGTAATTGTCGGATAAATACTAATCGTCAATGAAATTTTGTTGATTGGTTCGCTTTACTGTGATCGACAGTAGTTGCAAGTTGTCGTTCTCACATGGAGATGACTTGTTGGGGAAGATCGGACGTTAGCGTTAATTATTGTGAAGAAAAATCATCAACATTATTTATGAGGACAATACATTACATGTGAATTGTATTAATTATTGTAGATGAATCATGAAGAGTATTTTAGGGCATATAATTTACATAATTTGCAAGGATGTGTGTACATGTTCCTACTTAATTTGCTCTTTTGTTAGTGTCTCAAAATTTCTTAATGTATTTGATGAAAATGTCAATATGATCGTCAGCATAATTTTTTGTTGTTATAAATTGCTTGATTTAGGACATGTAAAAGTGACAGAGGAAAATATTGAAGTTTCCCTAATACTGTAGTGTGTCTGACTCGCGACATGTGGTTTGTTCTCGCCATCTATCACTTTCAGTTGTATTATTTTCAGTTAAAATTCATTTTTATTAAAAGTGGTTTGTATATATCATAATTTCGCCTGTTAATTTTGCATAATCTACTAATTTCACTAATGGAGCATCTCAGCATCATAGATTGGCTAATTAGGTTTAATTTGAGATTTACGTCGCCCAAATTGTATAATTCAGCTATACCATTTAAAACTGAATTGATATGTCATCATTTCTTTCGCCAAACCACTTTTTAATTCAACCGAAATCTAATTACTATTTAAAGTGTATAAGTTTGTTTTCCCCAAATTATTTTGTGCATGTTTCCGTTTTAGAAGTTTATTTTTCATTGTTATTCATTTAGTTCCATAAAGATTTGTCAGAGTTTGAAAAATGGAAAGACACGGTAACTTTTGAATTGTTAAAGAAAATGTGTTACATGTTAATTATGTTGGAGATAAAAGAAATGAAATGAGTCAAGAAACATAGTGAAAGTCAATGGTCAAAGTAAAAAAAGACCATAGTTTTAAAAAAAACTTAGGTTTTTGATGGATCCCCACAACATCTGCATACCCAATTTGATTATGACTGATATGACATATTATTTATGAAATCCTTTTTTTTTCAAAAAGCAAATACAATGTTCTCCATATCAAACATGAAACAACGACCATATGATGAAAAGGTTTGATTCGTTAGATTTAATGATTTTCTTCTTCTTTTTTCGTGTGAATAATTTAACAAAAAGCATAACCAAAATTCTGGATGCAAAAATATAAAAAGATCCTTTAGATTTTCGTGCTGAAATAAAAAATCAAAATTTAGACTTTATTTTCCTCACGATATTATTTGTTATGTCAGCAATAAAAACAGTCGTATTATCATCACAACGTGTAAAAAGAAATGGGCCCGGGTTGCATCATTATAAGTAAATCAGAGAGCACTTATGGGCCTCGGCCTAATCAGTCAACAGAGAAGCCGTTTCGGATATAAAGATAATAACCTATCTCTCTCTCTCTCTCTCTTTTCCCGCTTTCGCAGAACAGAAACAAACAATGGGGAAATCCGAAATGCAGAAGATACAGAGAAAGAAACTTCAAGAAGAAGAAAATACTTTTGCGGAGGAGATACAAAGATTGATAGAATTAGCGATGGAAAACGATCGACGGAAATTTCAAGAGCTAGAAACGGAAAAAGCCGACGAAACTGTTTGGCTAATGAAGTGTCCACCAAGGGTCGCTAAGGCATGGCGCGACCTCTCTGCGTCTTCTTCTTCTTCGTTTTCTTCGGATCTTGTTCTCGTGGCGAAGCATGTTGACTCCATTGATCTCCTGCTTCCCGATTTATCCCCTAAGGTAATTCGATACATCTTCGGTTCTGTTTTAGGGTCAGACGAATTTGGGAATCGCGTTTGGATTTGTCAAGGAAACTTGCACAATTCGTTGGTTTAAACCCTAGATTTCTCATGGAGTTATGGTTGTTAGAGTTTTTTAATGTCAAATTTTCGCAATTCTTCATCAACCTGATTCTTGGTTAGTCTCTTCTTGATGTATAAGTTAGCTCAGGCAAGAATCTTATTTCCTTTTTGGTGTTTTGTCTTTTAGTTGAGTATGGAGATGGTTAATGGTGAGTTATGGAACATTTCGAAGCCCTGTTCTCTAAACGATTTTGGGTTCATCTTCTCCGAAGCATATCAAGGTCTGGTCTTTGCTTTTTGGTTTATGTATTCATAATATACCTTGAGTTTTCATCATTTGATGAGACCTCTTCTAAAAATGATGATATTTAGGTGAAGTGGCTGTGGAAGGAACGGTTACACATAAATTCGATTTGAGACCTTACTGTGGCAATGAAGAACACGGAAAGCTTTATCGCGAGAGGAACAAGAAACAGACAAAGGTTTTTGATTATTGCCGTCGAGAACACTTGATGCCCACGCCTGCAATGGTAATGTGTTGCTTCTCTTCTCTTTGATTTCCAGAGAATTGGTTCTGTTATTTGATATTTCACTCTGAACTAAATGATATGTATAGTTCATTGACTGATAAATTCCTCCTCCGTGGAACAGGTACCCAAGAAGCTTAAGCGATGTGTAAAGAGGACTAGAGGCGATCGTAGTAAGGTGGAAGCAAAAATGTTCGAACTATATGAAAGACAACCAAAGTGGACACTGAAACAGCTTGTTCTAGAAACCAACCAACCAGAGGTATGCTCTCTTCTTAAGACTCGTGTCCAGAAATTAGCATCTCATGTTATCTAAAGCTAAATTTCAACATGTTGATAGAAGAAACCCTCTTTGTTTTTTTTCAGCTTTTCTTGAAAGAAATACTCAGAGAGCTTTGTGTGTACAATGCGGGGGGAGGCGACCAAAGAACTTACCAGCTTAAACCAGAATACAAGATAATTGGTAAAGAAGACACAACAGTTGCTCAGTAAAGAGGCATCATCAGAAAATTGTGTGGAGAGAAAACAGAATTTAAAAGTTGTAAAAATTGTAAAAATTGGAGCTTTTCTTTCTGAAGAGGTAAAAATTGGAACTTTGGTCTGTCATGTGAAATAATCTTTCAGAAGGTTGTGTTTGATTTGACCATTCAACTTCGCACTGTTCATAATTTGCAGTCCAAAAAGCATCAACATTCCATTTTTCAGGTTATCTAGAGTAGGAGGATCGACACCATCTCATGACATGCTGGGATTGAATTTGGGGCTGTGGAGCTACACATTCTCATCAATGCTATCTCCATAACCTGTGGAGCTTCTTCTCGATGATTCAAGAAGCAAAATATATCTCTTTCTTTCCACATTCTCCACTATAAGTCAAGGGCACACACACGTTCATGCGATTAAGAAATTAAGACATTTGATACAAAACATTTCATTGTAAAACATACAAATTTACAACTACAAGTAGAACCGAAACTGTTACACTCGCACACAAATAAACATGCTATAATTTTACCCACAAACAAATGAAAGAAAAAGAAACCAAAGAATTTAAGGGAACCAAAACTTAATTGGCACTGTCACGATTCTCTTTGTGAAGCCTATAGAAGTAAGCGGCGGCGCTTAAGGCGGCTGTGATCAAGGCGACACCTTTTAAGGCATCAAACTCATCGTCCATGAAACTGAAGAAGATCACCACAAGCACCGACACGATCGGCCAAGTAATGACGCTGATCACGTTCGCCAACACGCTCGAGACGGAGAAGACGAGTCCCACGATCCCGACCCAGTAGACCTGCCACGAGACGGCTTGTCCCACCATAGCCATCACATACGCACCATTCCCTTTCGAGAAAGCATTCATCTCCCTCTTCAAATCGTGCTGCTCCCCGGCGATTAGAAGTCCCGCGGCGGAGATGATCGTGGCGACGAGGGAGGAGAAGATCAGGACTTCGAAAACGGAGGCGAAGCTCGGTTTCCTGGTGGTCGATTCGGTGCGTTTGAAGATGTAGTTGTCGAAGACGTTCTGGATGTTAGAGAGGAGGAGAGAGAAGCAGATTCCGGCGAAAAGAGCCGACCATGAGCCTCTTGCGTAATCCTCCTCCGCCTCGTCTGGTTCGCCGCCGAATGAGGAGGATAAGGTGAGAGCTCCGGTGACGATTGCCAGAATCGAGGAGATCACGACCCATCGGTTAAATTTGACCGCGTTGAAGAAACGGGCGAAAATCGGAGTGAAGAAGAGCTGTGTTGTGTAGATCAGAGTGAAAACCCCAAACGGAATCTCGAGCTTTCCCATGGCGGAGAGCCTTCCTTGAACCGACATGACAACGCCGATGCAGATGTAGATTATGGCCAAGGATTTGTAGTGGAACCCCTCGGAGGTGATCGGAGGTTGTTGTTGTTGACTGTGTTTCCTGGTGGTGAGGATGAGAAAAGGGAGGAGGAGGAGAGGGAACCCAACGGTTTGGAGGAGAGATTGAGTCCAAACGCCGTCGTTTTGACGGCTTTCGTTGTACTCGCTTCGATTAATTTGGTCATAGTAGAAGTTTTCGAGGAGTCTAGCTATGCTCTGACCTACGATGACGAAGATGATTGAGAGGATAATCGTTGGCCAATGGTTTGGCTTCCTGTTTGAGTTTCCGTTGATGAGTGTGGTTGAATCTCGTTCGATGTTGATTGGAATCTGCACAAAATGTTCTGCAAAAGAGAAGAGGAAAAAAATGAGAAATTAAAAACAAAATTGTTAGCACAAGAGGAGATCAGGAACATAATTATTATTACCTTCTGGCTTGGTCTGAAAAATTGGTTGTTGATTTTGAGCCATGGTTTGGAACTGATTGTCGGAGAATTTTTTAGCGAATTTTGTCTTCGATGTATAGTCGGAGCTCCGATCTGATTGTGTTTGTGATATTTGTTTTTGGGATAATGGAGAGAGAAGTATATACGCAAGAGAAAGTCTACTTGGCGGCGTAATGGTCAATCAAGTGAGCTCATGTCTACGCGTCATTGTTTTTGAACTTTCCCCGTTGTTTCATTATGACCCCCAAAAAAAAGAAGTTGTTCTTAGTACACCATTTACAAATTACTCCCGTCTTAACAAAATTCATGCAATAGCCGACACAAAAGGTTGGTTTGATATTCAGGATCCGGTTTTTTTTTTTTATGTCGACAACGATATTCAGGATTGGATTTACGTTTCCACTTTTAAGCTAAACAAATTAAAGAAAATTGGGATTATATATGTTGACTTGTTTCTTTTCGTCATGGACAAATTAAGATTACGGGACTATCCAACTTGCTACGTTACGGAAATTGGACAAGAACACGGTGCCCATTTTGGCAGCCTCTCGACTTTTAAATATTTCTTAGATGCGTGTCCTTGGTCTTATATTTTAAAGTTCTGAAATTATCTTCGCAACAACAACTTTAAGTACTTTTTATTAACTTGTCATATTATATGAAACAAACTTATTAAAGTCATTAATCTAATACGGAGGTTAACTTTTCCACAACCATTACTTATTCGCAGTAACTACTTAAATTCAGAATTCAGATTCAATGTTCTTCAATGCAGGCCGTACTAGTCATTGAATTTCTGGAGACTTGGATATACCAGAATAAGATATCAAGAGAGAGATTAGTAGAGAAAGACAGATCCTTTGGTGCTACTTTTGGCATTTTTAACAGAGATATGTAGTTCCTTTCGCATTTTACTTAGAATCCTGAGTCTACAATCTGATGCACACACTCTCCTTCAACGCAATCGCCGCGTTTGACCATAAATACGCCCCACACTGTTTCCACGACGCTAATCTATCTTTTCAACATTGATGACTATAAACTATATGCCCCATAGACATCAAAGCTCTCAAACCACACCATAATTCAAATAATACAACCCAAATATCCCAATCAATTTACTCCACTATCCTCCCCAACCTCTAAGCCTATGGCTTGACAAAGTTGCTTAGAGGCATAACCTAACTTGTGAGCTGTGACAATAGATTTACAAAGTCAAAGCAACTAACAACACTAACCTCCATTGATAATACATTTCAGCTTTCTATCACAAACCAAAACACTCCTCATCATCTGGACCAATTTTTTGACATGTGTATAGAATTCCTCGATTCATCATCGGTATAACAATCTCAGTATTAAAACGCTATGGGGCATTGAAACTCTGATCAAGCAAACTTCTTTAGATACCAATTTTTACAGGCTTTTCAATGAAATCGTCAACTCCAGAAGCAAGGATTTTGTATGCAGAACCTTACTTGCACTACTAGACTATTCTTTGATCATAGCAAATTTGTATAGATAGCATTTTGACAGGCTTTCAGTGAAAATGCAACGTCGAGCAAGGATTTGGTATTAAGAACTTTACTTGCATTACTAAACTATTCTTTGATCATAGAGGCAATCAAGTAAAACCATTTTCTTGATCAATCCAAACTATACGATCATCTAGTACCTACGTTTTTGAAACTTTACACATTGATCAAATCTAGTGTAATCCAATAGCTGAAAGCATTGAAGAGAGACCAGAAATTTCAAGGTACCAATGTAACTATGGCGATGGGAAGACATCCTTCACTGCAGAAGCTGCGGTCAAGTAATTGAGTGTATTCCTCAGCGTCTCCCTCTCTCTCTTTAACCTAGCCGCCGTGTCCTCAAGCTCCAGCAGAGCTTGCTGCTCCATTGGAGCTCCTTCGAATGTGCTTCCGACGAAGAACGAGAACGGAGTCGGGAACTGATTCTTCCTCAGATCCTGAGCCTCTTTCTCTGGTTTCCCATTCAATCTGTTCGACAATCGAATCACTTCCTTCATCAAAACCTCAACCTCGTTAGCCAAATCGTCCAGATTCTCCTCTCCCGAAGGTCGATCCTCCAGCCACGTCACCTTCGCGACGAGGTATGGTTTCGTACGGACGAGATCCGTGACGCGGAATCGCTCTTGGCCTTTACAGATTAGGAAGAACCGATCATCGACGAGCCGCTCGTGCTTCACGATCTCTCCGACGCAGCCGATACCGGCGGCGGAACCTGATACGGCGTCGGAGTAGACGACGCCGAATCGGAGATCGGATTGGAGGAGTGTCTGCATCATAACTCGGTAACGATACTCGAAGATCTGGAGCGGTATGGTTGCGCCGGGGAAGAGAACAAGAGGTAGTGGGAAGAGAGGGAGCTCGACGAGGTCATCCGATTTGGGTGGGTTCACGTTGTGGTGCTTCTCGGAGAAGGACGACGATGAGCATCGGAAGGAGGTGAGCTTGCAGCTTCGACGGTTAGTGCTCCGGTAATTAGTAGGGAGATGTAGAGGTTTAGCGTTGAAGGCGGAGAGACGTGGCGGCGTGGATTTGATGAAGGAAGACGATGAGATTGCGCTTGGAAGCGCCATTAGAGTGAAGGGAGGAATGGAAGAGGGTAAGCCACACAAGTGAAGATTAAAATCTAATGATTCCTTTGTTTTAAATTAAAAATTTTATCTGTTGTACAAGAAAAAAAAATCTTATCTGATATTTTTTTTTATTTCATTCGTGTGACTACTGACTAGAGAGTTTCATTTTGATTTTTTCTTGTTCGGAGAAAATAAATAAACAAGTGTAGAACTTGGGACACCGGAGACCAGGAGAGCAGGTGACCTCTGCTTCAGCAATTTTTTTCTTTTCTTTCATAATGGACTTCATCAACATTTTCCTACTAATAAAACATTATACACTTGGGCTGCAAATGGTGGTTAATGGGTGGGATAAGTTGAATTAGGAAAATAATGTTTTTAGTTTGATGCTTTCAATTATACGTACGCTTATACATATATTTTCATACGTACTTTTAATTCATGAAGAGGGATTTGGTAGGAAGGATCTAGAAACTCATAAATGCGAGCAGTTTCCTTCTTATCGTCTGTACATGCATGAGGCGTTAGCGAGCCCACGGCCCAGCTGGATGCCATTTCGTTAATAACCGTAAATATGTAGGGGCAATTCCGTCAACATCGCTTCCTCCTTTATATATACTACGCTACACGAAGGCGAACGGAAGAACGAAAGAAAAAGTAATTCGGAAATTTTGGGTTTCTCCTTTTTCTCAGATTCGAAGAAATGGCGGCAGAAGAAGGACAAGTGATCGGTTGCCACACGAATGATGTATGGACCGTGCAGCTCGACACAGCCAAAGAATCCAACAAGCTGGTGACGATTCTCCCCCTTCGTTATGCAATTTCTGTAAAGAAAATTTGTCTGTTTGGTTTTGGGAATTAGATTTTCGTTTTTATCATGCGTACGATTGGTCAGTTAGGTTATGGATTTGGATCTCAATTGCTGTAAAATGGAATAAACGGATTGATTAAAGAGATCGCAACGTAAACCCGATCCATCTGCGATGAAAAACGATGGATCAGTGATACTCATCATTTCCTGTATAGAGTGTCATCCTTCATCGTCGTTTCTTCACTCTTGTTGATTTTTTTTAAATCAATCTCTGTCGTTCTTCATTGGTAACCCAGATGTGTGACTATTGGATTCTTTTAATTGCTGATGGATTGTGTTCTTTCCTTTGGCGTTATTGCAGATCAGAGTCATCCTTGTGTTAAAATTGAATGTGGATATTTGCTTAGATTATTTACTATTCTGACGGCATTGTAATGTCATTGTTATTCAGATTGTGATCGATTTCACTGCTTCGTGGTGTCCACCATGCCGCATGATTGCTCCGATTTTCGCCGACTTGGCCAAGAAGTTCATGTCAAGTGCCATCTTCTTTAAGGTGGATGTCGATGAACTGCAGGTGAACACAAAACAACACACTTTCCTTTCCCCACTCTTTAATGGTACCACACACACTGATACTGTTCTGTACACTTTTGTGCTGTTTGTTTCACAGGATGTTGCTCAAGCCTTTGCTGTGGAGGCAATGCCGACCTTTGTCTTCATCAAAGACGGCAACGTTGTGGATAAGCTCGTCGGTGCAAGGAAGGAAGATCTTCAGGCGGCAATCGTGAAGCATACCGGTGTTGCCGCTGCTTAAATCGGTTTAGTTTGAGGCATAATAATACTAAGGTCCAGTTAGTTTTCTTAAGTTTCGTTGATCGTATTGGGGGATATTGTAATTGGAGATGAATAATGTAGAAGTTAAGTGATCTCTTATGCATTATAATATACATAAAGACCATGCTTTTGTTATTTTAATCATTGGATTTTTACTTATGTAATTTGTTGATGTTCTACCTTCATAGACCACAATATCTGTCGCGTTTTACAAATCAGCGAAACGCATTCTTGTGAATTGTTGGTTCCATAAATATAATTTGAATATCTGAAATCGAATTACAGAGAGCTGTAAAACTCTAATCTCTGAGCTTAAAATTGGATTAATTTTGTGCGAGCGCTCATGTGCCACGTGGCGGATTTGTATTGGAAGTTGAAAATCTTATCGCGAATTGATTCATATTTTTTGCCAAAAGGATTTCTTCCATTTACCGAGCTTCTGTAATCTGTATCCTTCTTCCTTATCTTCTTCCCCGTAGATAACTGTGTAATCTGCAAACTCTCGTTGTAGAACCAAAGAGTGAACAGAGGAAGAAGAAGAATCCTCGTATAAGTTTTAACAGTTTCCTTAGATATAATGGAGAAGCTTTTCATACCTTCATTTCCCAAAACTTGTTTGAATCATCCAATTCCAGCAAAGGTAGAGAAATCGCCAGAAGTTCATCCAAAATCCAGAAAGAAAAACCTGTCTTTCACCAAGAAGAAAGAACCCAATATCATTCCCGACGAGCAATTAGACTACCTGTGTAGAAACGGAGGCCTGCTCGAAGCTGAGAAAGCTCTGGACTCGATGTTTCAACAAGGATCCAAGGTGAAACGAAGCACTTACCTCAACTTACTGGAATCGTGCATTGATTCTGGTTCTGTTCATCTGGGTCGTATCCTTCATGCTCGGTTCGGTCTGTTTCCCGAACCGGACGTCTTTGTGGAGACGAAGCTGTTGAGCATGTATGCGAAATGCGGGTGCCTCGTAGATGCCCGTAAGGTGTTTGATTCAATGCGTGAGAGAAACCTGTACACGTGGTCTGCCATGATTGGTGCCTACTCGAGGGACCATCGGTGGAAAGAAGTCTCTAAGCTCTTTCGTCTGATGATGGAAGACGGAGTTTTACCTGATGATTTCTTGTTCCCCAAGATATTGCAGGGATGTGCGAACTGCAAAGACGTTGAGACTGGGAGGTTGATTCATTCGGTGGTCATAAAACTCGGGATGACTTCGTGTCTGCGTGTAAGCAACTCGATTTTAGCTGTGTATGCGAAATGTGGTGCGTTGAGTTTAGCGACGAAGTTTTTCCGACGCATGGAGGAGAGAGATGTGGTTGCTTGGAACTCAGTGCTCTTAGCTTACTGCCAAAACGGTAAACATGAAGAAGCTGTAGGATTGGTCGAAGAGATGGAGAAAGAAGGAATCTCTCCAGGGTTGGTTACTTGGAACATATTGATTGGGGGTTATAACCAGCTAGGAAAATGCGAAGCTGCGATGGATTTGATGCAGAAGATGGAGAGTTTTGGTGTAACTGCTGACGTGTTTACATGGACAGCGATGATCTCGGGATTGATTCATAATGGGAAGAGATATCAGGCATTAGAGACGTTCAGGAAGATGTTTTTAGCGGGTGTAGTGCCGAATGAAGTCACTATTATGAGTGCCGTGTCTGCTTGCTCGTGTTTGAAAGTTCTGAACCTGGGATCAGAAGTTCACTCTATTGCTGTGAAGATGGGCTTTATGGACGATTTGCTCGTGGGAAATTCACTGGTTGATATGTATTCGAAGTGTGGGAAGCTGGAGGACGCGAGGAAAGTTTTTGATTCGGTGAAGAATAAGGATGTGTATACTTGGAACTCGATGATAACAGGGTATTGCCAAGCAGAGTATTGTGGGAAGGCTTATGAGTTGTTTACAAGGATGCAGGAGGATGCGAATGTGAAACCAAATATTATCACATGGAACACGATGATCTCAGGGTATATTAAGAATGGAGACGAGGGTGAGGCTATGGATCTGTTTCAGAGGATGGAAAAAGATGGGAAAGTTCAACGGAATACTGCTTCGTGGAACCTGATTATCGCGGGTTACATACAAAACGGGAAAAGAGACGAGGCCTTGGAGCTTTTCCGGAAAATGCAGTTTTCTCGCTTCACGCCGAATTCAGTTACCATACTAAGTCTCTTACCTGCTTGCGCTAATCTTCTTGGGACTAAACTGGTAAGAGAGATACACGGTAGCGTGTTGCGGAGAAACCTAGACGCTGTTCATGCTGTTAAAAACGCTTTAACAGATACTTATGGTAAGTCAGGGGATATAGGATACGCAAGAACCATGTTCAAGGGTATGGAAACGAAAGACATCATAACTTGGAACTCGCTGATTGGAGGTTATGTTTTACATGGTAGCTATGGTCCAGCTCTTGATCTTTTTAATCAAATGAAGACACAGGGGATTAAGCCAAACAGGGGAACTCTTTCGAGTATCATCCTTGCGCACGGTCTAATGGGAAATGTAGACGAAGGAAAGAAAGTCTTCTCCAGTATAGCGAATGATTACCATATTATTCCTGCTCTGGAACATTGTTCTGCTATGGTATCATTGTACGGACGATCCAACAGACTTGAAGAAGCTGTGCAGTTTATCCAGGAGATGAATGTTCAATCAGAGACGCCGATTTGGGAGAGCTTCTTAACAGGCTGCAGGATTCATGGTGATATTGACTTGGCAATCCATGCAGCAGAGAACTTGTTCTCCTTGGAACCTGAAAATCCAATCACTGAAAATTTGGTTGCGCAGATCTATGCACTAGGTACAAGACTTGGGAGATCTTTAGAAGGAAAGAAACCGAGGAAAGATAAATTGCTGAAGAAACCTCTAGGGCAGAGCTGGATTGAAGTCAGAAATTTAATTCACACATTCACGAGTGGTGATCAGTCGAAATTATGTACTGAGGTGCTGTATCCCTGGGTGGAAAAATTGTGTAGGCTTGATGATAGAAGTGACCAACACAATGGAGAACTTCTGATTGAGGAAGAAGGAAGGGAAAAAACTTGTGGAATCCACAGCGAAAAGTTTGCAATGGCTTTTGGTCTAATTTCCTCATCGCGTGCATCTAAGACGATAAAGATCTTGAAAAATCTTAGGATGTGCCGAGATTGCCATAATACTGCAAAGTACATCTCCAAGAGGTACGGTTGTGACATATTGTTGGAGGACACAAGATGCTTGCACCACTTTAAGAATGGAGATTGTTCCTGTAAAGATTATTGGTAGAGTGATGAATCAACCATAAGGTACGACTTAACTTGATTTGACCAATCTATTTAACTACACAACCACATAATGTATCATCCTATGTTTTCTGCGGTTCAAGAGAACTTGTTCTCCTTGAATAAATTTAGTTGAAGTTTGAAAGCTCCTAAACTCCAGTGATACCTTGAAATTTACTTTCTTACTAGTATGGACACCAGCTAGGGAACTTTAACAAATTAGGAAAGGTTCAATAGTGCGTGTTTTCGTCTCTTAGGAGATATGATTCTTTGAAGAATATGATTCTTTTTTCCTTCCATGACTCTCCTTGATAGTGGAAACGAGAATGAGTTGCTTGTAATGACGTGTATTCTGCATCTTGATTTTTTATATTCCAGAAAATCCCAACCACAAACGTAACCTTTTCATCCACCATAAAATGTCTAAGCTATGTATTGCAGTAGTCAGCGATCTCTTTACTCGAGCTTCTTACACTTGTTTTGAGCCTTTAGAGATCAACTTAGTCAGAGGATGGTATTGGCATCATCTTTTGTTTAGCTTCATTTTTTCATTTCTTTATATATGAATTTCCACTTTGGAAAGCTGGTATTGCTGTTATAGTTATGTGACATTAACTTGAAGTTGTTGCTGCAGAGTGTTCAAGGCAAGCATGCATCAGTTGGCCCATGGGGAGGCCAAAGTGGTCATGCCTGGGATGATGGAATGTTCACCGCAGTAAGGCAAATAATTGTCGCCCATGGTTCTGGTATAGACTCCATCCAAGTTGAGTATGACAAGAATGGTAGCTCGGTTTGGTCTGAAAAACGTGGAGGAAAGGGAGGCACGAAGTTTGATAAGGTAAGACAAAGAGACTCTTTATCCCTTGAGTAATCTGTAATCCTCTCAAGTTTCAGAAATTGATCATCGTTCTCGTGTTGTTCAGGTCAAACTTGATTACCCGCATGAGTATTTGACTTCAGTAAATGGGACCTACGGTAGCTTTGACGTCTGGGGCAATCTATGTGTCCGGTCGCTTACCTTTGAGAGTAACCGCAAAAAATATGGACCGTTTGGTGTTGAGTCAGGTACGTTCTTCTCGTTGCCAAAATCAGACTCGAAGATTATTGGGTTCCATGGGAAGGCTGGTTGGTATTTGGATGCTATTGGTGTTCACCTTCAACCAATTCCTAAAGAGAATAGTCCCTCGTCGAAAATGGTTTTGCACTCACATCAAAATATCCACCATGGTGATAAAAAATTCGAGTACTCGGTGATTCAAGGAAGTGTAGGCCAAAACTTTGATATAGTTGTTGCACTCAAACAGAAAGATTCAACTTTGCCTTCTTTTGAATCCCGAGATCACGCAGCTGCTGAGATCACTAAACATAAGGTGATTTCAAGACTCTTTTGAATTCAGGTCTTTCGATTTTTTACTGGATTTTTGATCAAGAAAACATCGAATTTCTATTTATCAGCTGGTGACAGAGACTGAGAAGCCAAAAGCTGAAGGTGGTGCGAAAACGTATGGACCATGGGGTGGAATCGGTGGTATCATATTTGACGATGGGATATATACCGGAATTAGACAAATCAATTTGTCACGCAGTGTCGGGATTGTATCGATGAAGGTCTGTTATGATTTTAGAGGACAAGCTGTGTGGGGAAGCAAGCACGGTGGTAGGGGAGGATTCAAACATGATAAGGTGTGTGATTTTGAAATCTTTTCTTTTTGGTTTGTTTATGCTAAATTACACTTGATATATCAATCTCTCTGTTTGAATATAATTTTCAGATTGTATTTGACTACCCATCAGAGGTTCTAACACATGTAACGGGAACATATGGACCGTTGATGTACATGGGACCTAATGTGATAAAGTCACTGACTTTCCACACCAACAAAGGAAAACATGGACCTTTTGGAGAAGAACAAGGACCTTCTTTTACACATAAAATCGACGAGGGTAAAGTTGTTGGGTTCCTTGGAAGAGAGGGTTTGTTTCTTGATTCCATTGGTGTTCATGTTATGGAATGCAAAATCAGTCCCCTTAAGCCCTCTCCTCAAAATGCAATTGTTCCTCATAATAACTCCGGTGTCGCGGAAATCCAAAATTCCCCATGGGCTAATAAGCTAGTCCTTGCAGCAAACGGCCATGGTGAAGAGGTAACTTGTAGATTCCTTAACAATAGCACAAAGCTGCAGTCAATGTAAAACCAACTCTTCTTTGGGTTGGTTTATGCGGTTTTCAGATTTTAATCCGTACTTAAAACTATTTTCACAGTTCGAGCGTGGAGTCATCAAAGAACCAACACCGAGCGGGCCTGGACCGTGGGGAGGCGACGGAGGTAAACCGTGGGACGATGGAGTGTTTTCAGGGATCAAACAGATATTTGTAACAAGAGCAAATGATGCAATCTCTTCAATACAAGTCGAGTACGATAGAAATGGACAATCTGTTTGGTCCGTTAAACATGGTGGTAACAGTGGTGGAGTCGCCACACACAGGGTAAACAACAATCGATTCTAGGTCTCATATATACTGCCACTTCTGGTTCTTGATGCATCACAGCCATTCATATATAATTGCTGATCTCAAATCTCTCTGTTGCAGATTAAACTCGAGTATCCAAACGAGATGCTCACCTGCATCTCAGGGTATTACGGACCTTTGAACAATTCGGAGAGATCTAATGTTGTCAAGTCTCTGACCTTCTACACGAGCCGTGGCAAGTACGGTCCATACGGTGAAGAGACTGGAACGTATTTCACTTCGACAACAACACAAGGTAAAGTGTTGGGGTTGCATGGAAGAAGTAGCTCTTACTTGGACGCCATTGGAGTTCACATGCAGCATTGGCTTGGCAACAATAAGCCTAATTTCAACAGGACTTCTTGTTTCAAGCTCTACTGAAAATCTTGTCTGCACAAAACCAGAAATACATCTTATCTCGTACTGTTGCAAGTAAAAATAAACATGCGCCTAGACGCATTGAATTTCCTTTCCAGTTAAGATTTTTGTTTTTATAAACAGAATAAATAAGAAAAGCTATAGAAAAACATGAAGTGAGTGTACAATAAAATGAAGCAAAGATTGGCATTTCCTTGCTCAATTACGTTTAATGATCCGAATTTGTTGTTCGTGAATGAGTTTTGGCGTGTTGCAACACTTCCTTTAGCACAGAAGCTATTCGATGAGACATATGATGTTCCAAAAACATCTCTTTTACCCTCTCATACCCTTTCTTCCCCATTTTCGTCCTCATCTCCACGTTTGTTGCCAGCTTCACAATGTTTTTGGCAAGAGGTAAGACGCCATCTTTACCGGTGTTGTGTAATAGACCAGTTGTTCTGTTCACTACAATCTCCATTGTTCCTCCTGCGGCGGTACCAAGTACAGGAAGCTTAAAGGCCATGGCTTCGATTGTTATTCTCCCGAAGCATTCTCCTCTGGCTTGCGAATTTTGGACAAGAACGTCAATGGCTGCTAGATATGGTGCTACTTTCATTGTTTTGTTGACAAAGTGGACAACTTTCTCAAGTTTCTTATCTCGGACAAAGTTGCGGAGCTCTGTCTCGAATTTCGTCTGTGCGCTCATGTCGCTTCCTACTACCACTGCATGCATTGTTGGTACCTCAAGTCTTTTAGTCCCTTTGACTATTTGAAGACTTTCATGGAAGGCTCGGAGAAATAGGTCTTGGCCCTTTCCTCGAGATACACCTGCGACAATATAAGCACCCATCAAAAGCAAATTAAGTAAACTTCTTGGTTTCGAAGATGATGCTCTCTAGGGAAACTTAAATGAACGTGAAGAATGTACAGAGATGGCTTACTGTTAATAATGCCAAATAGCATGTCTTCATTCCGCACTCCAAGAGATTCCCGAACTTGCTCACGGAGAACTCTCTTGGCGAAACCATCTTCAGCAACTTCCATCAACTCCTTGCTATTTCCTAGGTGCACGACATAAGTTTTAGGCATTTTAATCCTGTGTTACAAATAGTTCAGAATACACATTAATGTCAAAACCGAGATCAGATCAAATCAGCTGAGCGCAAAACTGAAATGTTGTCAAGACTCTACATAGTTGGCTGTAAAAGGAATAAAAAAGAAGTGTAAAGAGAAGAAACCGACCCTAAGCGATCATGCGTCCTGTTCTTCCAGTATTCAGCTGTGGCGTGCGAATCAATCATTGCGCCTGCGACGAAAGGGAGGTGCTTGACTAAATCCGGTTTGAAATAGTGACCTCTCATCTCATGAATCCACCAGAGGATCTTAGGAAGAACTTTAGGAACATCGTCCTTGAGAACCGCATCAAGCCATTTCCCAGCAACAGCAGTATTCAAAACAACCAAATCAGACTCGAGAGCTGTATCTATGGCTTTCTTACTCTTTGCTGAGATGACCTGAAAAGGTCAAAAGATTGATCACTACGATTATACAATAAGAATGAAAAAGAAGAATCAATGGAGGTTTCTCCAATCTTAACCTGCACTCCTCGATCCAACATCTTGTGCTCCAAAACCTTGATCACTTCATCTGCTTCAACTGGTTTCTGATTCGTGATCCAAACAACTTCAGCACCAACTCCTCTCAACAAGAACGCAAGTTCCATTAACAGTAAAGGTCCACCTAAATCACACGCACTAACTTCTATCATTTCAAAAAGCCCTGAGTTCGCCCCGAGAGTCAGGTAAAGTAAGATCGAATATATCACCTGAGAGCGAGAGTTCGTGAGAGACGAGCAGGACGAGCTTCGATTTCATGAAACCGAGAGGATTCAGCAATCCCGAAACCGATCGGATCTTATCGCCACTGATCTCTTCCTTCTCCACCACGAATCGGCCGCATCTCTTTCCAGTAACACTGCAGGAATCAAAGGCAGATCTCACGAGGATCATGCCCACTGTTGATACAGATAAAACCAGCAGAATCATCAGAGGCCATCTCTTCTTCTGCATCGTTACCCACACACTCGTCGACGGCTTCCCCATTGGTTAATCTATCTCCAGCTATAAATCACATCCTATGGTTTCCACAGTCACACAATCGATCTCCAATTCCAAGGATCTCTCTTTCCTCTCCCAAGTAGGTAACTACAGAAATCGAGAGGGAAATTGGCAGCAGGGAGAAGATGGAATCTCACACTGTCACTTTGATTGGAAAAACTCGCTGATCAGTAGACTCTTAACAAAACTTCGCAATTCAGGCCGTTTTGAGTATGTAGAAAGAAGTGCTTGCCGTTTCCTCAGCGGGACCTTTTCTTTTATCTCTGGGCCTTAAGAGAACCGACGAATTTATCTTATTGCGAATAATAATTGGCCCAATAGGCTATTCTTTTGGGTTCCTTTTGATGTGAGTGAATGAGAGAGTAATGACTATTAGCTTTGATCTATGATGTATCTAGTATCTACTAAATTTTACAGAGTCAAACATGAAACTTAGTGGCGATGATCCGTCGTCGTATGATCCAACAATGTATGTGGCAATGAATACATTTACTTCTTCTTCTTTTTTTCCTACGGACTATATATATAAAAAGCCATATAACTTGTGGCTATTTTCAACAGTACGTATCGATATATGGAATCTAAGTTTTTGTAATTAATACATTTGGCAATTAGCAAGAATTTGGACTTTAACTTTTTCCTCCAAAGGTCTTCGTTTCTTACTCATACCATTTCCTGATTTAGCATCATCGATTCATCATTCATGAATCACCATCATCTTAAGTTATTATATTTTTATATTAAAAACTCACCATTATTGTAATACGTTTTTACAAAATCGTAATCATAACATTTTAAAGACAGTTAAGTAAAAATATCATTACATTTAATCCATACATCATATCTCACCAGCTAACCGTCTATATTTATTTTTAATGAATCAACCTACACGTGGAAACAAAGTCAACATAATCATCTCAAAGACTTAAAACATATGAATAAATTTTCAAACACAATGGTTTCTTCCCAAATGATTTTGTGTCGGTTGCTCGAAACCCAATCTCCAACAAACCAAAACGGAGATTAATTGTTTTCTTGTACTCAAAAAGTTTCTTATTTACAAAACTAACTTAAAAAAAAAAAATCAGAGGAAAAAACTTTATACTAGTGTAGCTACAAATACGAATTACGCATTATGCATTACGGAATATGCAAATAGAAACATAAAATAGGTCGAATACATACGCATGCCTAGCTAAAAGGCTTTTATAACTAAAAAAAATGAAAAAGACAAGAAAATAGGAAGAAATTGGGTATAACAGAAGAGTAAGGAGGGACTCACCAACTGGTTGTTAAGTCATTTAATCCCTCAATTAAGCAATTGAACAGACACACACCCACCTTTGTTTTATAGCTTCTTCATTAAACCAGCTTCTCAGGGACACTTTTGTAAATTCTATGTTTCTACGTTTTTTTTATGGAGTTTTATTTCCGCTACCATGTAGTACTCGTAGTATATAGTATAGATCCTTTCTATCAAAAAGAAAGTTGGAGAAGACCTTAAAGAATATTTTAATATAATTATAAAGTACTTATAAGCTGTGTAAATGTTTGAAGTTAACTTATCGAACTTCATGATGGCGATGAGAACACGGAACAAAGAACAAAACTAGACTGTAGAAGATGTGGCAGGTAATCATTTCAATCTTTAGGAGCCTCACGTACACAAATCAGAAAGTCGTTGAAGTTTCGCACGATGAGGATTGTTTTGTAGATTAGATTATCTCTCATTCATTTTGCTATTTTTTCCTCTAAAATAAAAGAATTTTAAAATAAAGGTAGATTTCTCTCTAATCCACCTCTATTTTAGAGAAATACCTCTACTTTAAAAGAAAATATAAAGAAACCTATTTTTTCTTCTATATTTAGAAAAGAAAATAGCATTTCTATTTTTTCCTTTAAAATAAAGGTGGATTGGAAAACAAAAATGACACCTTTATTCTTTTATAAGAAAAAATAACAATAGATTAGAAATGCTCTTAGACTATGGTTATGTCTTTCGTAGACTATACTTCGTTTTGTAAATAGTTATATTCGATTTGTTTTTTTTTTCGTAAAAACTCTTATATATTAATAACATTCAGCTCTTTCTGTATTAGCTAACATAAAAATACGAAAAAGTAGTACAATGGTACTATGAGTCAAGTCAATGACAACACGCCATCATCATTCAACTATTTTATAATCGATGCAACTCATATTTGTGTTGTCATCAAGTAAATATTATCCCTAATCAGAGAAAAATATTAGTGATTTTCATGCTCTCACGTGTTTATCTAAGAATGGTTGACACACAAAAAATCATTTAATACCCTTAATATATTTATACTCGAAGATACAGAAGCTTCTGCCGGAAAAGATTAAAAATTACAGGTAGCGGTTGTCAAAATTATCCGGTAGTGTCATTATTTTATTGTTGATATTGTTGCATAGTACTAATAAAAACAAATTAAATTTTTAAAATTGGGTTGGTGTCTAATGTCCCAATGATAAGATGAGTTGGTTTTGTTCTTGTGGAGTGAAATTTTTTTGTTTATTTGAGAATTTCCATTTATTAATCGGCTCTCTCTATCTCTCTCTCGGGATTGGGTCTCAAATCTTTTTTTTTTTTTGTCTCCGACTGTTAGAAACTCTTCTCCTTTGTGTTTCCTGATATAGCCACCATCCACACTCACAACAATCTCTCAAAATTTCTAGGGTTTTTTTTAAATTTCATTTCTCCCTCAGGTAGTTTCTCTTTTACTTTAATCCAAGTTCTAAGTTCTTGAATGTTCATTCTCTATGATTGATATGTACTGTATATCTTGTTTACTTTCTGGTTTCTTATTTTCTCCCTTCTTTTTGGAAATTCTCAAAGATGAAATCATCAAAAACACTTTGACTTTTCTTCTAGTATGTAATAATTGATCTTCTCTGCTTTTTGAGTCATTGAGTTGAGCTACAAAACTTCCTTTACTCTGCATTTCTTTCGTTCATCTTCGAATTAGGGTTTTTTTTATTTTATTTTAATTTCCAATATAATATCGATTGATCCAGTTTACTATTCCTCTTCGATTTTCTGAATTGGGTTTTCTGGGTTTCTTCAGTTCTTGATGAAAAATGCTTTATCAAGATTTTGACTTTAATCCTCAGAAAAAAATTGGTCCGACGAATTTTTCTCTCTGTTTGTTGCTTCGAAACTTTTGACGATTAAAATTATTCGGTGTAAACGATTACGATGTTTCAACCTCACTCAGATTCCTCCAGAAACCTTTTTTAAAAATCCCACCTTACACGACTCTTCCTCTCTTTTTTTGCAGGATCTCATTTTCCGACCAAATTCATCGAACTAAGACCTCAGTGTAAGAAAATTTCGGCGACTTCACTAAAAAAAAGCTGTTGATAGACAAATGGCGGTTTATTACCCAAGTCATGTCAATTGTTACCAACAAGAACCAATCTATCTCAATCATCAACAACAACAACAAGCCTCTTCTTCCTCCGCCGCCGCACCATTTGCCGGCGACAACGTTCGAAACGAGATGGTCTTTATCCCACCCACCACCGGAGACGTCGTAACGGGTCTTCAAAATCTCAACGGAGACGTTACAAGAAACGGCAGCAGCGATTTAAGCTTTCACGACGGTCAAGGACTGTCTCTAAGTCTCGGCACTCAAATCTCTGTTCCTTCCTTTCATTATAATCAATACCAATTGGGTTTCACTCAAAATCCTTCAATCTCGGTCAAGGAAACGACACCGTATAACGTGGATGAGATCAGTGTGAAGAGCAAAGAGATGTTGTTGCTGGGTCAATCTGATCCTTCCTCGGGCTATGGCGGGAACGGTTTCTACAACAATTATCGGTATAATGAAACATCAGGAGGGTTTATGAGCAGCGTGTTGCGTTCTCGGTATCTTAAACCGGTTCAGAGTTTGCTCGATGAAGTGGTTAGTGTCAAGAAAGAACTAAACCAGACGAGGAAGAAGAAGAAAGGTGAAGACTTTAACAATGGTTCCAAGGAGACGGAAGGAGGAGGAGGTGGCAGTGGCGAATTATCAAGTGATTCGAATGGGAAATTAACAGAGTTATCTACAATTGAACGTCAAGAGCTTCAGAACAAGAAGAACAAGCTTTTAACAATGGTCGATGAGGTAATTATTTAACAAACTTACATCTCTTAATACTAGTTCTTCGTTTGGAACATGATCTATTGTTCTTAGTCAAAGTAGGGATGCATAATCCAGTATTTTGCTTTGTTAGAACTTAGAACATCAAAAATTATGAAACTGAATAGGTTTATGTCCTCTTTGATTTAGCTTTTTCCGAAGATTAATTCAGTTGAGATAGCTGATGCTTTGCTTGTTGTGGCTGTGTTGATGAATGCAGGTAGATAGAAGATACAACCAATATTACCATCAGATGGAAGCATTAGCTTCATCGTTTGAGATTGTAGCAGGACTTGGATCAGCCAAGCCTTACACATCAGTCGCTCTCAACAGGATCTCGTGCCATTTCCGCACTCTTCGTGACACGATAAAGGATCAAATTCAGGTTATCAGAGAGAAACTTGGGGAGAAAGGAGGAGAGTCGTTGGATGAGCAACAAGGAGAGAGAATACCAAGATTGAGGTACTTAGATCAACGGTTGAGACAGCAAAGAGCTTTGCATCAACAGCTTGGAATGGTTCGACCCGCATGGAGGCCTCAAAGAGGTCTCCCTGAAAACTCTGTCTCTGCTCTTCGCGCTTGGCTCTTTGAACATTTCCTTCATCCGTATGTGTTTTCTTCTCTCACAAGTCACACAACCTTTTCAGTTACCTATTTCATAACATTTAAGAGGCTTCATGTTTTCTTTTCTGGGTTTTGTTTGTAGATACCCGAAAGAATCTGAGAAAATCATGCTTGCGAAACAGACAGGACTATCGAAAAACCAGGTAAAAAAACCGAGCTTTTTTTGTCTTCCCTTAAAGTTGCAATGTTTGTGTTCTGCTTAAGTCACTATGGTTTCTCTGATCTGTAATTAGGTTGCTAATTGGTTCATAAACGCAAGAGTTCGTCTATGGAAACCGATGATCGAAGAGATGTATAAAGAAGAGTTTGGTGATGAGTCTGAGTTACTAATCTCCAAGTCTTCTCAAGAACCCAACAGCACAAACCAAGAAGACTCCTCGTCGCAGCAGCAGCAGGAAAACAACAACAACCTCGCTTTTTCATCTGCAGATACAACAAACGTTGTCTTCTCATCAGAAGCTAAACCAGGCCGTGTTTCAGGCAATGATGGTGAGCCAGAACAACAACAACAACAGATGAACCGGTCAGCTGATTATGATACTCTGATGAACTATCACGGGTTTGGTCTTGATGAATACCGTTACATTGGCGGGAACAACCAGCAAGACAGCAGATTCTCCAATTCCCATCACTTACACGACTTTGTTGTTTGATACTATCGTCCTTGGAACAGAGGACATGATTCTTGAAGCGCAAGCAATGTGCTTTGCATTTTTATAGTTAGGCATATTATACACCCATATCTGTGGCATATAAAGTAGATGTGTAGGTTGCTTTTGTGTATAGTGCACTTGTCACGCCAAATATTGATATGTGTGTATACAAGACTCATGGTGGTATAAAGAATACTTGCAAAGGTGTGAACATCGTTCTGGAGATAATATTTGATTTTCATATGTGAATGAACAAGCTTTATGTGCTTGGAAGTTTCTGGTCTTGAGGTATGTTAAAGATTCCTCTATATATATCACTGGACTGTAGAAACGGCGTGCTGTTCCACGTTTTGAAAACAAAACGGCGCTCAAGCTCGTTTTTTTTCTAGTGCACCATGCTACTCAGAACGGCACGAAGTTTTTTAGTGACTGCGAGTCAGTGTCCAGTACGAAAGACCTCGGACCATCATCATCAGTCCACCGGTTTCAATGGAGGTCTGTTCTTCTCTCATACCGCCGGAGATTCCTTTCCGGTTTACTCCGATACCACTGAAGTCTTCAAATTGCAGTAAAATCAAAAATTTCCGGCCATTGTCAGCGATCGCCGATATTCGATCCGGTGCACCAGATTCAGATTCCCGGAACCGGATGTTCATTCTCGGGATGGGATTCGTCGGAAGTTTTTTCGCGGAACAGCTCAAAGAAGCAGACTGGTCTGACACCAAATCCTCTCCTTCTCCCTCCTTCTCTCTATCTCTTTCCTCTTTCGCCGATTCTAATTTTATGAGGGTTAATGGTGTGATGCGTTTAGGGTGGTTTCAGGGACTTGCCGGAGTGATTCGAAGAGAAAAGAATGGGGGAAGAGAGGAATCGATCTCCAGCTGTTTTCTGCAGATTCACCTGAGTAAGTGGGGTTTCATCAGCACTTCCTCTCGATCATCTGAATCTGATTCTTAAAGCTCTTTTATGATTCCTTCTTAATCAGATGGAGTGTGCTTGATACCGTGAAAGATTACTCGCACCTTCTCATTTCCATTCCACCTTTAGCAGGCATTGGTGATCCGGTTAGCATTCGCTTTTGCTTCTTTCCCCAGATTTTAGCTTACTTCATATTTGATATGTCTGCTAAACTGACAAAAGTTTATCACTTTTCCAATAGATGTTGCGGGATGTACAACTTGTCAGAGACAAGCTTTCGAGTGGAAATCTTCGATGGCTTTGTTATCTCTCATCAACAAGTAATTTACCTTTTTCATTTCCTCATTATACCAATGCTTTTGCTTTCACTTTTGGTCAGACTCTTTCTTGGTTTCAATCTCTTGCAGGTGTGTATGGAGATTACGGTGGTGAATGGGTCAATGAAGAGTAAGTTTTATATTTTTTCATAAATAAGCTTAAGATGGTGACTATAATAAGCTCGTTCCGTTGCAGTCATACCCCAAATCCTAAAACTCAATCAGCCAAACTGAGACTAGCTGCAGAGGAAGGATGGTTAAGCTTGGGTCGTGATCTTGGGGTTTCCACTCAAGTTCTTCGACTTGGAGGTATCTATGGACCTGGTCGAAGGTAATTCACAGCTGCTTCTGCTTGTGTCTACTGTTGTCAAATAAAGGCTTTTAAAACTGATTTTTTTTTTTTTTTTTTAAAAAGAAAAATTTGCTTGCTGTAGTGCGATTGATACTTTGTTAAAGCGGGAGCATTTGTCTGAAGGTCAAAGGAGAAGAGCTTCCCGGAGATTCACATCGAGAGTCCATGTTGAAGACATATGCCAAGCTCTTCAAGCTGCCATTGAAAAGCCATCATCACTAGGGTATATATGTATATATGCATATCCATTCTTCATATTCAGTTTGTGATATCAAATATGACCATTCTTTTGAGGGGCTGATGATTCAACTGTTATCGCAGGGAGGTTTACAATATAGTTGATGATGATCAAGCACCAAGAGAAGAGGTGTTTGAATATGCCTTGGAGCTGATTGAGAAACGCTGGGCAAAGAAAATTGAAACAGAGCCATTTCTGTATGAATATCGGGAGGAGATTTCGTTGAGAGGCGAGAAACGAGTCCGTAATGAGCAGATGAAGAAGAAACTAGGAGTGAAATTGATATATCCTTCGTACAAGTCGGGATTGCAAAGCATAGTTGACAAGATGGAGAACCCTTTTTGAGTCTAACCAGAACAAAAAAAAAAAAGAATGTTGATGATCATATAAAAAGCTGTGCTTAGTTTATCTTCATCTTTTACTAATAAGATGTCTAGACAAAAAGCTCTTCTTCGATGTAGAATCTCTTCCTAAGGGTTTACTCCACTTGGAGCTGATGGAACCAAAGTTCCATTTTGTATATGACTTAGAAGTGGAGCCTCTGGTACTCGAACTAGGAGGATCCATCTTCACATCTTTTCCTTCTCGTTTCCCTATTTTCTCCTCCTCACATTCACTGGGTACATAACTATCTATCACTCGGCTTCTACATCTTCTATAGTTCTTTGCCTTTAGAGCTTTCCTCGATATTTTCGCAACTTGTTTCTCACCAACAGTGCATATGGGACACAAAGGATCATACTTTTCAGTCTCACTTGTCATGCTCTCTAAGCATTCCGCATGGTAGACATGGCCACACGCTAGAACAGCAGCAACCTGGAGGTCAAATCTGGCAGTCCTTCTCTCGGTTAAAAGCTTCGAGCAACTCCCACAAATCTGCTGACCAACGGAAGGCGAGGAAGAGAATCTGCTACTACTACTACTACCCCCACTGAGTCTCCTTCTTCCAGAGCCTAAGTACTCGCTATCAAACGACCATCTCTCCCTCTGAGATTGAGCCATCATCAGCTCGTAAAAGGCGTTCATGGACCAGCCACCTTCAGAGGAGCCGTTATGGGAGACGGTGGCAGTGTCATTGCTACAGGTCGAAAGCACAAAGGACGACCTTCCTTCAGATGCTGAGTAATCACTGGGAGATTTCAATCCCAAAGCTTTACTATCAGTAAGCGAACCTCGAGATCGTCTAGATGGGGTTGATCTAGGAGGAAGCGAGTGTGTGTGAACTGATGGAAGATCACAGGCCAAGGAGGTGGAACTTGAAGGCTTAGGTAAAGCTGATGAAACAATATCTGGTGACTCAACTATATTCTTCACCTGAAGAATCAAAAGACGAGAGGGTTAAGATACACATGATAAGGTACAACCCAGCGATAATATTAGACTCTAGCGATTGGAGCAAGTAAAAATGATCTCACCTCAACACAAACAGGGCTTGCCAAAGATTCATCTGCAGCTAAGGAAATAGATACATGAGAGACTGCAAAAGATGTCGTAAGCAAGAATCATTCATAAGAGTAAGAAAGAGAAAAGCTTAACAAATACAAAAATTAGACTTCTAACTAAACAAACTATCTGGCACCTTTATCCAATCAGACATTGGGAAATTAGACAATGATAACTAGCTATCCCTACCAAATGATGTAATTGTCTCACAATCTTTAGTCATAATCATCCTATAAGGAACTAAACCTGACTCAAATTAAAGTGTAGTACATTCCCAAAACGAAGAATTTGAAAGTCCTGCACTTTCCTAAGAAAGTCTACAACTTGTTTAAACGAAAATTACCTGAAGGTGCTCGAATCGTCGAAGTTGTGCCCATCTCTTCTGAGTTTGCGGATTTATGAGAAACAGGAGTAGCTAAATCCCCAGGAAAGCTTCCTCTTTCAGATGGCGGTAATGACATTTTATTGTGATGAGGTAAATCTTCAATCTTATCAGCCACGCGCCTCCTGTTGTCACGGCGAAAACTCCACGGTGGTGAGCACGCCGGATTATGATTAGCATCACCTCCACGTCCACTCGGAAGATTTCTCTCCTTTGCAGCCACACAGCAAGCTGACCCCATACAAAAATGACCTGCTACTTCTCGGAGAAGTCTACTCTTTAATATAGCTATTGTGATAAATATGTCTTACACGATCTATGCAACAGTGGTGACAGCCATCATCTTCTTAATCAAACACTGAAAGAACATATCACAGTAACCCAACAAAGGAAATTAAAAATGAGTGGCAAAACCAAAGAAAGTAGAGTTTAAACTCAAACACTGAGACTAATAGATCTCTTATATCAAAATCACACTCGGAAAACATCTCCCCAGGTACACTCTGAATGCTAAAATCTAGAGCATAAATCATCTACTAAGACGGGAAATAAAACCAATAAATGATTCCTAAAAACAAAAAACAGATTCAGCAACGAAGGTAGAAGAAACAAGGACTCACCAGACCAACTAGGGTTCCACAGGATTGTAACGAGGTAATGTGAAGATGCTGCGTATACCACAGAAACGGAACCAACGGCTGAGAACGGTTTCAAATAGTTGACGGAGATGGCCGTCGATCGGAATCAATCTGAGATATATATACAAGAGAGATCACTTGTTTGGGTGCGCGTAAAAAAGAAACACGCACAAGGGAAAGTGCTGCCACGTCCTCACCCTTCCTCTCTTTAATTTTCGGTGATTTTCTTCCTTTTTTGATGCTTTTCTATATATACTAGGTATTTATCCACGCTACGCTGGAAGATATTTTTTTAGATTTGTATATAACTTTAATATAATAAAATTATTTATATATTTTAAATAAATATTATATTTATTTTTTATTAGCTTAAGTTATATATTTATATGTTTTAAATCTGAATAAACATTATATATCATTAAGTTTTTTATTTTTAAAATTATAATTTACTATCAAATTTGTTTAGCTAACTATCTATAAATGTATATGTAAGAATAAAACAATACATTTTTAAGTACCTTCAAGCTAATGGTAGATATAATTTATTTTCTCTACTAAATTGCTACTTGATCCTCCTTTGAACTTATATAAAGCAAATTACCATTTAAAAAAATATTAATTAATATGATTATTTTAAATTATAAAATTTATTTATTTATCAAATATTTATTATAGACATATGTTTCTAAAACTACCAAATTATAATCAATAACATTTATATCAAAATCATTACTATTACTTTAGAACTAAATAGAAAGTTCTATTTGAACTGTTGAAATATCAATTTAGTTGAAGTTAAATAATTCAATTTTGGTTACTATAAACACATTATAACTTGAAAATTTAGCACAAAGAAATTTTATCTTTTTACAAAAGCCGAGAAATTACATTTTCTGACAAAACAAAAAAAAAATTATTTCCCACGAAACTGAGAAATCGCTTATTCCCGCCAAAATAAAAAAAAATTCATTTTCTCGTCAAACCTGAAATTTCATTTTCATACCAAAACAAAGAAATTGCATTTTCCCTCAAAAACCAAAAAATCACATTTTCCCGCGAAAACCTGTGTTTTTCCGTCAAAACAGAGAAATCAAGTTTTTTCACCAAAACCAAAAAATTTCATCTTCATGCAAAAACAAAAAATAGTATTTTTCCGTCAAAACCAAAAAATTATTTTCTCACAAAAATCGAGAAATTGTCTATTCCCACCAAAACAAGAAAAAAAAATTTTCTCGTCAAATCAAGAATCACGCATTCCTACCAAAACCGATAAACTACAATTTTCTGCAAAAACTAAAAATTGTATTATCTCCTGAGAAATTGTGTTTCCCACGAAAATTAAGAAATCATATTTTCCCTCGAAAACCAAAAATCAAATTATATGTCAAAAACTGAAATTTTGCATTTCCCATCAAAATCAAGAAATTGTTTCTTCCCGCCAAAATCGAGAAATTTTGCTTTTCTATCAACCCGAGAAATTGCATTTTCTGCCAAAATTGTCAAATTACAATTTTTCGCAAAAATCAAGAAATTACATTATCCATCAAAAACCAAAAAATTGCATTTTCTATCAAAACCGAGAAATCGCATTTTTCGTCAAAATTGAAAAGTTGCATTTCCCTCGCATTTTCTCGTCAAAATCAAATTTTTTATTTCTCACTAAAACTAAAAATTTACATTTTGCCACCAAGCCCGAGAATTCGTTTTTTTCCCCATAACCAAGAAACTATGTTTTCCTACCAAAACTGAAAATCACATTTTTCTACCAAAACCAAGAAATTCTCTATTTCTGCCAAACTTAAGAAAAATTGTTCTCGGTAACCAGTGAAAATGCGAATCTCCAAGCTGTGGTGGTCTGAGTTTATCCTCATTTGCTTTCACCTTCCATTTTTTTTTTGTAAACTTTGGGCTTTTTAATGGGTCAGCAAAATAGTAAATTAATTTTATTATTGTGTTAATAATATGTATTATTGTTATGTTTTTATTGGTTCAAATTTTTGTTGATGTGTGAGCTTCTTATAACATAACGCTTTTTGCATTATTGTTATGTAAGCATAGTTGATGATGAGTCTACATTTTCTACAATCATATATATTTCTATCAAGCAAACACATAGTTAAAAATTTTAATTTTTTTGCTGTTATTTATTATTTGAGTTTCGGTTTGGCAAATATATAAAACAAAGATTTAATTTTATTATTTGTTGTTATTTATTATTTGAGTTTGTTAAAAAAATAAAACAATTTTTTTTATTTGCTTTTATTTATTATTTGGGTTTGGGCTTGACCAAAAAATAAAACTAAAATTAACAATAAAAAATATTTGAGTTTTTAATGAGTTTAAATTTTAAAATTAAAATAAATTGATGACATGTATTAATGAAATGTTTTTAATTTTTTTCTGTTATTTATTATTTGAGTTTCGGTTTGACAAAAATATAAAACAAAAATTTAATTTTATTATTTGTTATTATTTATTATTTGGGTTTGTTAAAAAAATAAAACAATTTTTTTATTTGCTTTTATTTATTATTTGGGCTTGTGCTTGACCAAAAAATAAAACTAAAATTAACAATAAAAAATATTTTGAGTTTTAATTGGTTTAAATTTTAAAATTAAAATAAATTGATGACATTTATTAATGAAATATTTTTATTGGTGTTTTTTTTGCTGATGTGTCATCTCCTAAAAGCTTAAAAATGCTGATGTGTCAAGCTATGGAGAGACTTATGGGTTATTGTTGTGTTGATTATTTGGTCAATTTGTTTGTTTGTTTTCTCTTTATTTCTTTATATATATATATATATCATTTACCTTCCTTTTCTTTTTGATTAACTGTCTCTTACCAAGTTACCATGCATATATTAAATTATTTTATTTATTGTTTAGAAACTGTTTACTTATGCGATTTAATTTATTCCAGTAGCTTTATTTATCTTCGTTTTAACATATTTTGTTATATAAATTAAGTTTAATTATAAAAAGTAAAAATTCCTTGATTACTACTAATAAATAAAGGTTATTAAAAAAAACCACTACCTATAAATTAAGCCTTCTTTCTTTGTTGTTGTTGTTGATGTTATGCTTTAAAGTCTATTATTTTTTTTATAATTATAAACTATCTTACTATATATTTGGTCTTAACAAAACCCTTTCTCCAAAAAAAAAAAAAATTTGGTCTTAACAAACTCATAATTCTGCATCATCGCATCATCTCTTGGTATGCGTTTATTAAATGTTGTTGTGTGATTAGATACTTTTCTGTCCCGCTTATTTTTATCTTCCGTACACTACAATTCATTATGATAATTTTTATAACTAAGTAACTAACTTGTGACAACATTTGGAAAAAAAATGAAAATCACGTGCTCTTTCGCATTTGTCCGTTTTAATAAATATCTAAATCATTTGTTAAATTTATTACGAGAAGCCGAGAAGGCGAGAACCACATATTATTAAACATGGATAAGAAAAAAATCACATACTCGTATACTCCCCTCTATATAGTAACAACTAGAGAAGCTCGAGAGATTTATCAATTCTATAAATCGTAAGTGACACACACTCTCTTTTCATTTTAATACAAATGGCGGCGATGGAGGACAGTGAGACGTTTTTCTCGGCGGCAACCCCGGAGGCGTTTGAGAAAGGCAGCCTTCCGACAACCGTGATAACGGCGGATCCGTCGGAAAAGGATTCGACGGCACCGCCAAAGCCGGTGAGAATCACCTCCCCAACAGTCGCCGGAACTTACCCGGTGGTCTTATTCTTCCATGGATTTTATCTTCGCAACAACTTCTACTCTGATGTTCTTAACCACGTTGCTTCTCATGGCTACATTCTTGTAGCCCCACAGGTATACACTTATAAGTTTATATCTTATGTTTATAAAGTTTATCTACAAAATTAATTAATTGTATAATCTTTACAAGTTTATTTATTTATTGTTATGTGAATAAGCCAAAAAGATATCTCACTCATTTTATATATTGTAACATGAATTTATAAGATAGACATTTTAATTATTGTATATATTTTGCCTGGAATGACATTGACAGCTGTGCAAGATTTTGCCGCCGGGAGGGCAAGTGGAAGTGGACGACGCTGGAAAAGTGATAGACTGGACATCTAAAAACCTCAAAGCTCACCTCCCAAATTCCGTAAACGCTAATGGCAAGTACACCGCACTCGTGGGCCATAGCCGCGGTGGTAAAACCGCGTTTGCGGTTGCTTTAGGCCACGCCGCAACATTAGACCCATCCTTTAAATTTTCAGCTCTTATAGGAATAGATCCAGTTGCAGGAGTCTGCAAGAGCATGCGGACCGATCCGGAAATCTTAACGTATGAACCGGAGTCGTTCGAGCTGGACATACCGGTTGCAGTGATCGGGACGGGACTCGGACCGAAGAGGAACACGGTGATGCCACCATGCGCACCAGCGGAAGTGAACCATGAGGAGTTTTATAAAGAGTGCAAGGCCACGAAGGGACATTTCGTGGCTGCGGATTACGGACATATGGATATGTTGGACGATGATTTGCCCGGTTTTGTCGGGTTTATGGCCGGTTGTATGTGTAAGAACGGGAAACGAAAAAAGAGTGACATGAGGAGATTTGTGGGTGGGATTGTGGTTGCATTTCTTAGGTATAGTTTATGGGGAGACAAATCGGAGATTCGAGCGATTGTGAAGGATCCTTGTGTCTCTCCGGCGAGGCTTGATCCTTTGCCGGAACTGGAAGAGGCCTCTGGTTACTTCGTCTAGATTTGTGGTTTAGGTTATGTACACCACCAGAAGTACACGTATCGGTATTTGCACTCCAAGCGATAAATAATGTTCCCAAGTTGCTTTTGGCATTTCATTACCAAAAATACCAGATGATTATAGTATGTGAAAAAGTATGGTTAGAATGAGAATCAGTGCTCAAAAGTCTCAATAGATGACCTACTGTGGCAAAAATAAATCATATGGATATGAAGATAAGAATTTAAATGAGATCAAAATGACAAATATGAGAGACTCTAAACAAAGGTCCAAAAGAAAAAAGCTAGTACTGTGCTATATTTTTGAATTAGTCGTGTGTAAAGAATCTTGAATAGAAGTGTTATAAAACGGAGACAGATACACGTTTGGCCATTTTAGACTTTATTTGTTTGTCTGTATTATGACGACGAGATGGTCCTTATATATAGTTTTCTTGTGTGCAAAGAATCTTAAACAGAAATTTGATGAATGGAGACAGAAACACATTAAAGATCGTTTTGTTTGTATTGTGGCGACGAAATGTCCTTGTAGAGTTATAGATTGTCTGTATGTATACGATGAGGTGTGTGTGTTGTGATCATTTTACACATGGGTTACCACAAGACGATGAAATGAATGCCAACCAATTTTTTTTTTTTTTTTTTTAATGTGGTCTGTCAAAATGCCAATCAATTTTTGTTGTTTCTTGTGAAAAAAGTATACTACAGTAACTAACGTATCCTACATTCCTAATTATAATAAGAAAACTAGGTAATAACTCGTACCATGTGCAGGGTGAAATAATTATTATTTATTTAATATAGTATAATTTTAAAATTATATAAAAAAATACAATTAATTTTATATGAGTTGTTTATAACATTATGCTGTAATATTGACAAAATATTTTTTTGTTTATGTTATGAATTTTAGGGTAATTTAATTCTAATGTAAATTAGTTTAAAAATTAAATATATATTCACAATCTGGATAGAAATAAGAAGTCCTTCTTTATATTTTCTATAACCTATGATTAATAATATGATCTTAAAATTAAAAAAAAAAATAGAAGGAGTATATTTTGATTAAATTATTAAGTATCTAATAAAAAATTTACTACTTCTTCTGTTTCATAATATTAATTTTTTTTTAAGGTTTTGTTTTGTTTTACAATATAATTATTTTTTATATTTTTTACTACTTTCAATGAATACTATGTGACCGATTATATTTTTTAATTTTTCATAATTAGTTGAATTATATTTAATTTATATACTAAATGATTACTTTTTTAAAAGAAAAATTGCTTTTAATCTTTGTGCTTTAATACAAATAACTTATATTTTGAAATAGAGAGTATTAAAATTGTAAAAATAAAATTTGATTTTAAAATTTTATAATCGACTTTAATATTTCTAATACAAATGTAAATGCATATTTAGATTAACCCGTAAAAATTATAATCATAAGAATATTAACTTTTAAGAAAAGAAGATTACTGTAAAATTTATTTTAAATATTAAATATACATAAGGATTATATAAAAATAAATTATCTTTTTATTATTTTTAATAAATGATCTAAAATTGTATATAACTGAGTCAATGCTTATCCATTCTTAACTTTTTGATTTTATAAAAATATTTTTAATATCAAAAAGTTTAATAAAATTATTATATAATATCCTTACAAAAATATTTTAATTTTTTACCAAGTTATTTTGTTATATAAATTAAAAATAATAATATCTATTAAATTAAGCTTTCTGTTTTTTTTATCATTTATGTATTTTTATATTGATTTATGAATCATCTATCTATACATCTTTATTTTCAACTTTAGTCTTTTAAAACATACTTTTATTTATTAATCATTTAAGTAATTTATATTTATGAAATTCGAATTATAATACAGAAAAAAATATATATATATATATATATTTTACTATAAGAATGATGTGATGATTTATTTTTCTATAAAAATAAGAGATAAAATATAATATTTAAAAAAATAAATAATATGATATATTTTTGGTAAGAAATAGAAAAAGAGAATATCTTGATTAATCATCATCAATATAATTGATATAAACTAATGTATAACCAAATTAATGTGAGTGGCATAACATGTAATTAATCTAGTAACATAAGTCTATTTATATAACTTTGCTAAAAATAATTCTGGTGATGATACATCAGCAAAATGACACTACTGTAATATTTTATAAAATTAAAGTTATTTTTTAAAAATGTTTCTCTTTTAATATATAAGAGATGTGAGATTTTAATTTTATCTTACTGCTGGTGGAACCAACTTATAAAATTGAGCTTATAAATATTTAAATGGGCCTAAGCCCAACTTTTTGACGTTGACTTCCAATCCAAAAACCAGTCTCTCACATCCCACTAATGTCACTATCCCCCGCGTCATGCAACAACCTTATCCATAACCATCCTGACACAGGCGATGTACACGTGGCGTACAATTTGGCTAAATTTATTCGGCGACTGTTACTTGATGACTTGTCAGTTTTTTACGAGTTAGCCCTTCACGTCATCACGACTATACACCTGAATTCTCATTTTTATCCCTCTTTTGAGCCTCCTCCACGACCATAAGCAAAAATGCAAGAAATTGGTGAAAAGGGTATATTCGTCAATTGAGGCAAATATGGGCTGATAAATTCAACAGAGTTTCTCTTTCTCACTCATTTTTGCTCTTTGTTGATCTGTCTGTGCGGGATACTTCCTTTGGTCCTTTGTTGATCTATCCAATCAAATCTTACGAAATTGTAAGGTAAAACTCCACTTTTTTCTTGTATTTCGATTACAGGTTACTAGATAATATAAACTACTATAGTTTTTCACTTCTTTTGATCGAGGATACACCGATCGTTGTTATTTATTTTTGTTTCTGATCTTTTGTAGTGTATTTTTGAGATTAGTCAAATTAGCCGTTGTAGTTTTGTGTGGGATCAGTGATTTCTATAACGATTCGTAATTTTTTCTAACAAATAAACTACTAGTTACTATTTTCAGAATTTGTTTGTGATTTTGGGAATCGAGTTAGGGTTCAGAGATTTGGTAGTGTTGGATGCTGAAAGTTTCCATTTTTACAATTGAATTTTCATGGGTTCTGGATCAAAAGAGGAAAAGATGAGGTCGCTTCAGGCACCGATTGTTTGCCCTAATGTTCGTCCCAGACAAATGGGTGTCTCTGCTTCACTTGTCAACTGCTCTGTTTCGAAACCAAGGCTTCTCAAAAATCAATTTTGGGGTGATCAGACCAGAAATGTCAAGCCAAAGGTTGCTAGAGTCACTCTCCGGCTCCATCTTAGGAGGTGTAAGAGCATACAGTGTCTTTTCAGCTCGCATTCTGATGGTACCGGAAGCACAGCAGAGAATTTCAACGAGAACGATGAAGATTATGTCAAGTCTAGTGTACTGGAAGCTGGTAAAATCTTGAGTTAAACTTTCATCAAACCTTGAGTTCTCTCTCTCTCTCTCTCTCTCTTCTAATCATCGATGTCTTCTTGGTGTTTTTTTATTTTGTATATAGTTGAGGTAAGAAGTGGAGCAGATGGTTTCTTGGTCAAGATGAGAGATGGGAGGCAACTTCGATGTGTCCACAATAATCCTCAGGGAGGGAATCTTCCAAATTATGCTCCACACTCTGCAATCGTACTGAAAATGGAAGATGGAACCGGTCTTCTTCTTCCCATTGTCGTCTGTATGTCATTTCGAACTCATTCTTTCGTTTGCAGGCTCACATTGTGTTGAAACTTCCATCGTCCTCTGTGTTCTGAGCCTCATCCTTTATATTGGTTTTCATTGCAGCGGAGATGCCAAGTGCGTTACTTATGGCGGCGTTGACAAATGTTCAAATAGTAGGGCTTTTGATATTCTTGCGTTTATGCTTGTGTTTGAATCAGTCAAGTGTAGTTATGAAGAGTGGGTTGATGGATGTTTTTTTTGGTTACTGGTTGTGTAGGCAAGACCCACTATGTACCAAGTGGTGAAGGAGATGGTAGACAAAATGGGTTACGAGGTATGCCTAACTTACGGTTCCTCTCTCTCTTGTATTTTTATTCTCTCATTACCTATACAAATTCTGATATGAAGAATGTTTCAACTCTTTTATCTGCAGGTTAGGCTTGTAAGAGTTACCACAAGAGTTCATGAGGCATATTTCGCACAGTTATACATATCAAAGGTTTGCCACTTCTGGCCTAGAGTTGCATCTCCCATTTATTTTTCTTCAAATGCTGTCTTGATATTCGAAATCCGTATCTCATTTTCATTTCTTCTACTAAGGCTGTTCTGAATGGGATTGCAGGTGGGTAATAAGTTGGATTGTGTGAGTTTCGATCTTCGTCCTTCAGATGCAATTAACATAGCTGTCAGATGCAAGGTATAGTTATGTTACCGTACCTATATTTAGGGGTCCCTTCCATGAGATCATCTTTCACAGTACAAAAATATGTCTTGACTTTGGGAAACTTGTGCCAATGCTCACTACTCTTTAGGTACCTATCCAAGTCAACAAGTATCTAGCTTATAGCGATGGGATGAGAGTTATCGAGTCTGGAAAGCTATCAAAGCAAACACCTGGTTCAGATGGTTTATTATTTACTGAACTAGACCGGTAATTCTAAGCCCACTGATATCAGTCATTTGAAGATCCTTTTGGTTGAGAATTTGACAAGTAACAAAACGTTTGTTTGCATTGTGTAGGCCAAATGGTCAGCCTTGTCTTGATACAAAAGAGTTTGATCTGTTGAGCAACATGATGCAAGCTGTTGATGAAGAACGGTATGATGAAGCCGGTAAGCTTACTCTCATTCTCCCCATTTCAAGATCATTTTCTTTTGAGTAATTTTGGAAGTGATCAAATGAAATCGTTAGTGAATCTTGATCCTGCCGTGAGTGAATTTTTATGTTCAGTGAATTGACGATAATGGTATGAGCAAGTTTCTTGGTTCTCATGTTATTGGGTCAAGACAAGAATTAAAGATCAATGTCCGGTTTTGTTGCTACAGCTGAGTGGAGAGACAAGCTTGGCCAGTTTCAAGCAAAACGCAAATTAAGGAAATATACATGACAAGGTATGGTTTCAAAATAAAAAGCTCTTCCTTTATACGCAAGCAAAATTAGTAATTTTTGTTGTGTCTTTTTTTCTTCTTGAGGCAGCTTTGGGAGACGAAGAATTTATGTAAATAATAAAAAAGCCATTGCTAGAAGCTGTGTGATCAAGTGGTGGAAGAAATGGTTGCAAAGAGACATCTTTCTTCTTCCTTTTTTTTTTTTGTCGACAAGACATCTTTCTCTATCTACTACACTTGTGCACGTCGTAAATTCCAAAAAAAGGGGCAAAATTTATAAAAATGTAATGTAGCGTGATCGTGAGTCAGTGATGTGTATCACGTGTACATATTATATACATGAATCATCTGTAATATCCGGTAAGTAAAAGCTTCCTCCAACTCTAATGAAATTATGAATAAGTCTTATTGACAAAAAATGCTTGATTTTTTGTTTTTGACATTTGTCCTTACCACATTATTGCACAGGCCGGATTACCGGAAGTAGGGCCGCACGTATAATGATAGTCTAATAAATTAATGTTTATTCAAATTTTTAACGCATTTTGATTATAATTGAACTGGAAAATCGATTTAGATGTCTATGGACATTGGACATACTCCAAAATTGATCTGATTCTGAACAAACTCTAATCGAAGTTGTGAACTCGATGGAAAGACAAAAAACGGAATTCAAGTGTGACGGCAAAACTGGAATCGAGTTCCCGCCAAGAGCGTTCACACGTGTCTTTGATGTTTGAAGGCAATTATTAACTAACCACTTTTGGGGTTAAGAAAAATAAAAGTTAATAATCAAAGGAAAACGAAGAGGCAGACGAAAAAGAAAAAGGGAAGAAGAATCTTCAACATTTATGGCAGAGAGATTTCTTTGTCTTTCCGGCGTCCATGAAATTACTACTGGACATTTATTTCGACATTGATTAATAACTGCACAAACTTTAATTTCCTCAGTAACTTCTTCCTCTACCGTTTCTTCCTTCAAATCTCTCTCTGCTTCTCTTTCTCGATTTCGAAGTTTCCTAATTCTAAGACTCGATTTATTCAAGTTCCATCGGTTATCCTCATGTCGGGTCCTCTTGATCGATTCACAAGACCCTGTAAGTCTTCTTCTCCTTTTTCTCACATCCCTTGATCGTGTCTTCGATTTAGCAGTTTTGCTAGGTTTCTATAGTTACTAAATCGGTTCTACTCTGTTTCGCTCCTCTCTCTCTCTCTCTCTCTCTCTCTCTCTCTCTCTCTCTCTCTCTTTCTCTCAGGTTTTGAAGGTTTCTCCAACAACGATGAGAGAAGGGAACGGAAGTTGGATTCCCAAGTTTCAGAGGATGAGAAGAAAACTAGAATCGGAATCTTCAAGAAGAAAGCATCAAAGGCTTCTAGCAAATTCAGACACTCTCTCAGCAAGAGAAGAAGGCCAAGCAGGACCAGAAGCATCGATCGGACTCTGTCTCTTACTTTCGAAGACATACACGATGCTGATGAACTGCGATCTGTCTCTGAGTTCCGACAATCACTCATCTCTGACCATTTGCTACCTCCAACGCTTGATGACTATCACATGATGTCGAGGTCAGTTTCTCTTTCCCATTTTAGCAATCTTTCTGCTGTAAATAGTAACATTGTTTGTTTCATGACATATTTCTTGTTCTTTCTGCAGATTCCTTTATGCAAGGAAATTTGATCTTGGAAAAGCAAAGTTAATGTGGGCTAACATGATTCAATGGAGAAGGGACTTTGGTACAGACACAATCTTGGAGGTATGTAAAGTTAGTTCCTTTCCATGTGTTGTTGTGAATAACATTTGTGCCAAAACTTCAAAACGGTTCTTGTAATAGTTTTGCTTGGCTGATATCTTTGTCTCGGTAGGACTTTGAGTTTCCTGAACTGGATCAAGTTCTCGAGTACTACCCTCAGGGATATCATGGTGTTGATAAGGAAGGAAGACCTGTTTACATTGAAAGACTAGGAAGAGTCGACCCTTGCAAACTCATGCAAGTCACTTCACTGGAAAGATACTTGAGATATCATGTTAAAGAGTTTGAGAAAACTGTCACTGTCAAATTTCCAGCTTGCTGCATCGCTGCTAAGAGACACATTGACTCCAGTACAACTATTCTTGATGTCCAAGGCGTGGTACATGTCTTTTTCTTTCATTGTATGTTTGTGCGGTTTCCTTTAGACTCTCTATGGATCTTCTGAATATGTTTGCAGGGCTTTAAGAACTTTACTAAATCTGCGAGGGATCTTATAACCCAGCTGCAAAAGATTGATAATGATAACTACCCTGAGGTATTGATTTCTCGGCTTACTTCCATTGATTTTTATAAGCAAAACCTGTTTTTGAGCATGAGTTTGATACAACATATGTGCAGACACTTCACCGTATGTTCATCATCAATGCCGGTCCTGGTTTCAAGATGTTTTGGGGCACAGTCAAATCGTTTCTTGATCCAAAGACTGTCTCCAAGATTGATGTAACTTTTCCATGTATCCACTTTTTCAAAAAAAAATTTCATTGTAGAAGACTGAATTGAATCAATGTTGATCTTAATAGGTCCTTGGCAACAAGTACCAGAACAAACTACTTGAGATGATTGATGCAAGGTAGTGTTCTGTTTTCTCATCATAAATCTCCAGAATATTAATCAACCATATCTGACTCATCTCTGGAACTTGTTCAGCCAGCTGCCAGATTTTCTCGGTGGCGCTTGCACTTGTGCAGATCAGGGAGGTTGTATGAGATCAGATAAAGGGCCGTGGAAAGACCCTGAGATACTAAAGGTCGAGTGCTTTGTGTCTTGATGGTTCTTTATGTTTCTGTTTATGTATATGTTCATCTAAATAATTTTCTTAGCCTTCATGCAGATGGGTCGCAGTGGTGGAACGTTCTGTAGGCATGCCGTTGCTGTTCTAAGCAGTGATTCCCAAATATCGTCATCTGATAAGCCAACTTCTTATGGTGTAAGAGTCTTTTTTATTTGGGTACTTGGAACATATTTGATCAGATTGTAATAGTATAACCTCTCTTGGCTCAGATGAAAGCTAGTGACACATCAACAACAGAGTCAGGGTCTGAACTGGAAGAGATGGCTTCACCGAAAACAAATCATGTACCTAAGTTGACTCCTGTTTCTGAGAATGTAAGCGTTTTTAACGTATTAAAGTTTTTTTCACTTCTTACTGGACCTGACATGCTGTTAATGCTTACTTGTAGATCAAGGGCAACGGTAAAATAAGCCCTACTGTTTTATCTGAGTATGAAGACTGTGTACCAATGGTGGATAAAGTTGTGGATGTTGCTTGGCAGTCACAAGAGATCTCAAATGCTTCTGAAGGTAAGACATGAAACGCAAAGCTTTGTGATTTCAGAAGCAGGTGAAAATCAGACGTAAAATATGGAACCGTGTTGCAGGTTCGGAATATACATCAACTTTGGGCAAAATAGGAACGGTTAGTCATATCTGGAGTTGGCTAAGTGCGTTCTTGATAAACTTGTTCGCACTCTTGGCTTCTCTGTCTCTGCCACAGAGTAAAAGACAGTCACAGTTGATTTCTCCGAGCGCTAGAGCTGAGCCGTGCGACGAACGAAATGCAAGGGAATCTCGTCCTCCTTCGCCTTCTCGTGCAAGTACCATCACTGAAAGAGTTATCTTGTCCTCTGTTGTAAGCAGACTAGGCGATCTTGAGAAACAGATAGAAACCCTTCACATGAGGAAATCCGAGATGCCTCATGAGAAAGAAGAGTTGTTGAATGCTGCTGTTTATCGCGTGGATGCACTCGAAGCAGAGCTCATCAACACGAAAAAGGTATAAAAAAAACCCAATGATCTGATTCTAAACCGTCATTGTGAAACCTGTAAATAACCTAATATTGGTCTTGAGCAGTCATTACATGAGGCATTAATGAGGCAAGAAGAACTCTTGGGCTACATAGACAGACAAGAGGAAGCTAAGTACCGGGTTTGTTTTCTTTTGCAGCTAACTTTGCTTTTATTCTATTTAATCTTTCATGTATCTATATTTTAATTTTTGGGAATATGATGCAGAGAAAGAAGTTCTGCTGGTGAAGAGAACTCAAGGTTGAGAGGTAATTAGGTCTTGAACGCAAAGGTTTCATTGGATTTTGTTTTAATCTCTGTCTTCTAACTCTTGTTAAGACCTCTGTAACTCTGTTGAATGTGCTTGACACTATTGGACTGTGTGATATAGTTTGGTGTGATTGTGACATTGGATTCTGTATTGGAGGTTCAAAAGCAAGAAAAGAAAAAGAAGAATTAAGAAGAAAAACTCAATTGTGAGTTGTATTGTATAATGTATGGCCTTGCATGTTAGAAGAAAGGGACTCATCGACCATCCACAAGTTTATATGACCAAACAAAAGACTAGTGACAAGTTTCGGGTACAGTTTGTTAACCTCTTTTATACACGACAAATTTCCCTAAAAATAAGGATTCGTGCATTACTACACAATAATATCACACAATAATCGTTTTTCTTTTTGCTATATGAGCTGCAATACGATAAATTAGGCTCAACTAAACTTCAATCAAATGTGAATCGAATCTTAAAATAGTACATTATGATTTGACATAACAAGATTTATTAATTAGGTTATGATGAGTCTCTATCGAATTTAAATACAACTATACAAAAGATTAAACCAAACATAGCGAATATGAAAGTGACCGCTTTTCTTTCAACCAATAAAATCAATAAAAATGGTGGTTTTTTTGTTGGCGACGCCTTTGTAAATTAGTTAGTTACACCAACTTTGTGTCCACAATATTTGAAAATCAAGAGATATATATATATATTTTTTATGCAATTATAGTGTGGTTCATGATTAAGAGTTTTTATACTATGAGGTTTAAGAGTTCAACCAAATTATACAAAAATAGAAATTGATTTCACAGTCCCAAGTTGGATCAGGGATCTAGTGCTAGTTGATATCAGCTTTGTAAATCCCTTACTGGAATATGAGTTGTTGAGTTAAAAAAAAAGAGAAGAATTAATTGTTCTTCTGCGAGCATTCATTTGATAAGGCACAAAAATTAATAAAATGCCTGTATAAATTGAATGAGAAATTACAACGAAAAATGTTCTTGAAATCCGGTTTTGATAGCTAAACTGGTTGAATGCATAAATGTTTTTTTGTTGGAACATGCGGACGACGAGGGTAAAGACTAACTTACACCATGCTCTAGTCTCCAGCAAAGAAAATATTGAATCTTTAATTTTTAAAAATATAAGAATTTAATGAACTTCAAAATAAACAAATATCATCAACTGTATATACGCATGTACTCAAGAAACTTACACAAAAGAAACGCGGTCAGAATCATGAAAAGGTTAGACCATTATTGTGTATCAAGTGTGTACCAAATTATATCATACCAGAAACATGTTTTGCCTTTTCTTTGATAGTTTTTTCTCGTCTGAACTCACCGAACAGGTAAGCAAACACGAGCTAGACTTGAGTCCTTTATTTCTCAATCATCTATAGTTAACTTCGAAAGATTTTTTTTTTTTGTTTTGTTTTCTGATAATCTTTATCGGTTGATTCGATCGGTCCTGGTAGATAGAAACCTACCGAAATGCTACAAAGTGGACTTCTGCTTAGTTTAATGGACACCATAAACTCCAAACTCAACAGGTCATAAAATTCATGAAATCCATATTTGAACTATCATACTATTTATTTTGAGTTTGAAATACTTTCCGACTAATAATAGGAGTAGCTGAATCACTTGTTACCGAATTGTTATATAAACTGCATGAACCTTTGGTCCAAACCCACTTTCAACACAAATGTGATTTTTGTTTTCAAGAGGTTTGTATTCGAGTAGACTGCTGTAACATATTTCCAAACCACTGGACCACAGACGTGACGTGCGGACTCACTTCGAAAGTTTGCTTTATCATTTCTGTCATATACAAATATTCACAAATAACTAAATACTGAAAAATAAATCAATCCTTCCAGAGAATTTTTTGTTATTTGTTTTTTTTCGAAGTCTCAGCACAATAAAATTATAAATACTATTTTAAAGACACGTTATCCTTGCAATGTCTACTAAGAAAACAACAAATGTCAACCATATCTAGTAATATGATAATGTGATTGAAGATTCTCTAGTGACCATATTTAAGCAAAATTCTAGCTTTCCCCACTAGTAAAAATGCGAGACTTACCACCGATCGTAATAAATCAATGCAGCGCTTGTAACTCTGCTTGTAGACTGGTCTCAACTCTCAAGTTCGAAGACTAAATATGGAAAGGAATGAATTACGTATTTACGTTCCAAAAAATATTGGAATCAAAAGCTGGTATATTTTCTCAATCTTTATATATAAAGAGAAGGCTTATTGTCAGAAGGTGAAGCAGAACGTTCACGTGAAATGACTACCTTCATTTGGCAATCTATTCGCGTTGGAAAATTACTTGGCAGCAAAGCCCACGTGGTTCACGAAAAAAATCCCTTTTAAAAAACATTTGAATCGTTCTAATAGTATTATAATAAAAATAAAATATCAGTACTTATGGAGACGGATAAGGAGAGCACAGCTTGATATTTTGCATGCAAGAAATAAGATCGAATAAAAAAAAAATCAATATATTTAAAATATTACTTAAAGTTTCGATACTATATAATTTCGTTCTTAGATACCATTGTACCAATACCTAAATACCCTAGACCGTCTCTCTATTGTGTAAGCGGAGCAACAACGTGACAAAATTAAGAACGTGTTCTCTCATGCGTGCACAAAATATTGTTTTCAGGAATAATATTTCGAATACCATTTGAAATAACATGTTCCACGAATCATATGCCGTGGTCCAAGCGAAAAGAAGTCAAATCAAATATGTTTTAATTCGGATCTTTATTCGGTTTATAGTAATCTCTTTTAGATTTAATCCTTTAACACAACAGAAAAATATCTTCAGGTTTGTGCCCTCTATATGCCTAGTTTGATATATCTCGTATCTTTCTAAGTATTGAGTTGGGGCCTCACTCTTGTGTTGATCACACGGATTCTTAAAAAAGTCGGTCGGTATACGTCTTATGTGTTGACATGCATTATTGATTTTAAACTCTATATTTATTTATAAAATAAAATATGGGACCAAATTGTTGCTCATACAATACATACAAGTGACCTAATCTGTTTTCTTTTCTTGCCTACCTTTTTTTTGCTGTTGAGATTTCTTGCCTACGTTAAGAGTTCGAAAAGACAAAACCAGAACAATATAAGTTTAACAGTAGCATGCAGACGATTTAGAGCAATCAGTTAAAATCGATCAATTTGTTGTACAGTTGTCTGTTTACGATTAGTCGAAATCACAAAATTGGTTTTGATCATGTTAGTAGGAATAGCTATTGTTAGATAAAGTTACTAGGACATATAAGTTTTATATATAACTACCTATTTAGAAGTTGACAGTCGAGATTAACACTATGATCCTTCATCAGTTAGAATCAATCAAGAAGTTTTACTTATAATTGTTTGCTTGTGGTCAGTCGAAATTGTAAAATTGTGTTTTAAAGTCCAAATAATTAAGTTCATGTCACTAAAATGTGACATGAGAGCTTGAGTTTATATATATAACAACAAGCCTTGTATGAGTTAGTGTTAACTGTACAAATGATCCTAAAATGGAAGCTTACTCTTTAACTACTTGATTAGCCCTACCTATTATTAATCAATATTATATTATATATCGTAATTAATCACAATGAGTCCAGACCAAGTTTTTATATTAATTTTCACCAAGAGGATCTTTGTCTAATAGCGTTTTGGTGTGTTCTTCCAAAGAGTTTGGTCCCCAACACCTAGTTCGATTTCTCATGGGAAGCCCTCACGAAACTCTGCCAGGAAAAGGCATCGGCTTCAACCTAGCTAGAACTCATTGATGTTAGTTCCAATTTTTTGTGTGAGTGAATATCAAATTTATTCAATCAAAAATCTTTGTTATACATCAAGTGCTTCTATGTTTTGAGAGTTTATTTGAAATTGCTAAAACATGAAATAACTAAACCTGTGTGTGAATCCCAATCTACAGTAACAAACAAACAATTATTGATTTTTGTTGACCTAATTAACGAAAAAGAAAACGCCTCCATATCCAAGAGATACCAAATAGAATTTGTTACGTTATGCTTTGTGCATGGATACACATATTTTTGGGTATATAGTTTCACATATAAAAGGGTCTCATCTTATCAACAATTTTTCATATTTTTTAACCATCGATCGTGAATATGAAATATTCTTGTTTTCTTATTATTGTTCCACTATGCGCGCGGTCGATACAAAATTCTCGGATTTTACATTCGACTTTTCATATTAGACTGATAATAGTAATATAATCAATATATTTATACTACGGATCACAAACACAAAGAATAGATCCCTTAATTATTATCATCGATTAATACCTGTAAGACTAAGAAAAGAACAAATACTAAGTGTCGTTTCAAAAAAAAAAAAAAAATTATGTGGTCCCAACCTAAAGAGACCAATTTACATGCCACGACGACTGGTTCTTGTTATGTGCTTCCATTTTTACGGATTAATAATTTGTAGAATCTTTTCCATTTAGTTTTCCGCGAAAACGATATGAAAATCAGATGTGGTTAATAAGAATCTATCTTCGACCTCAACAAACACGATAGATTTTGATTATTAGACTCATATTATTTAGATTTTCCCTTATAACTTAGTTGTCTTTTTTTTTTTTTTTGGTATTGCAACTTATTTGATCGATATATGCCGCGAAACCCAAACCTTTAAACTGTATCCGTACCGGTTGGAAGGAAAGATTTCATTTTTTTATATATAATATACGAGAATGACTTGCATACTGATTTTAAAGTACGTTGTATAGTTACTATTAGTATAAAGGATACACGTATAAAAGATACCGTATTATATTTATATATATGGAGAGATAAATACAACGTACATAAGATGCATGTGGCTGTCATAGAACTCTCTCTTGTGACACTTTGCCTCTTTCCTTATATATATACCGACCCAGCATCACTTATTATCTTCATTAACCTTCTGCCTTATAGAAAGAGACACAGAGAGAAAGAGAGAGAGAGAGAGAGAGAGAGAGAGAGAGAGAGAGAGAGAGAGAGAGAGAGAGAGAGAGAGAGAGAGAGAGAGAGAGAGAGAGAGAGAGAGAGAGAGAGAGAGAGAGAGAGAGAGAGAGAGAGAGAGAGAGAGAAATGGAAGTAATGAGAATTCTTCACATGAACAAAGGAAACGGTGAAACGAGTTACGCCAAAAACTCCATCGTTCAGGTTGAATTTTATATCAAAATTCAATATTATAGCATTGTGTACACATATATATTGTAATGTCAAAAACCATGCATATATATTATATATTTTTTTGGTTAATGGACCTAAAAATAGAAAGACAAGTGTGTATAATGTTTATGAAACACGCAGAGCAACATAATATCTCTAGGCAGAAGAGTAATGGACGAAGCCTTGAAGAAGCTAATGATGAGCAAACCAGAAAGTTCGAGCATTGGAATCGCCGACCTAGGCTGCTCCTCCGGTCCCAACAGTTTCCTGTCCGTCTCCAACATCATAGACACAATACAAAACGTTTGTCATGACGTGGACCGTACAGTTCCTGAGCTCAGAGTCTCTCTCAACGACCTCCCTAGCAATGACTTCAACTACATCTTTGCTTCTTTGCCAGAGTTTTTCGACCGGCTTAATGAGAGAAACAATAACAATAAAGAGGTTTTAGGGCTCGACCGCAGAGGAGGACCACCGTGTTTTGTGTCGGCGGTTCCTGGTTCCTTCTACGGACGTTTGTTTCCTCGCGAGAGCCTTCACTTTGTTCATTCTTCTTCTAGTTTACACTGGTTGTCTCAGGTGTGTTTTTCTGGTCCTCTATGCGGAATTTCACTTATTAATATATTATATTTACGAGCATATATTTTAAAAACGCAAGAAGGAATGTTTACGAGTATATATTAAAAAAGGTTCAAATTAATGCCATCTTCCAAGTTCCAACTAGCATTCTTAAGAATAAAGTACTAAATCGAATATACTATTATGACTGTAATATCGTAGTTACAATAATTTTTTTTATTAAAATATATATTCTAAAAAAATAAAATTATCTATAATATAGTAATTTTGATATAGAAAAGGGTGTTTATGATAATCGCGATAGTTTTTTATAGTGTTGTTTTCACGATACAGTACGAATAAACTATTTACGCAAGTAATATACCTTTTATTAAGCGAAATCTTAGTGCGTGGGAATCTTTCTTATTCAAGAAACCAAAACAAAACAAAAAACAGAAACTTAGTGGTTCACACATCACACAAACAAGAAAATACAAATGTGGTCCACATGCATAATATGTTAACTTCATCAAAATATCACGTACCGTCTGGTAAACATATTTAACTATCATTCATATACAAGGTTCCATGTGGTGAGGTGGACAAGGAAGATGGGGTGGTCATAACAGCTGATTTGGACAACAAAGGCAAAATATACATATCAAAGACAAGTCCTAAGAGTGCACATAAGGCCTATGCTCTTCAATTCCAAACCGATTTCTCGGTGTTTCTGAGATCACGATCCGAGGAGTTGGTTCCTGGAGGCCGAATGGTTTTATCGTTCCTCGGTAGAAGCTCACCGGATCCTACAAGCGAAGAGGGTTGCTATCAATGGGAACTCCTAGCTCAGGCTCTTATGTCCATGGCCAATGAGGTATAGTGTTGTTTATATGTTTACCTTTAATTAGAACAAAACATGTAAATAGTCTCTTAGGACTGTATACATATATGGTCCATCTATATTAATTACTCCTAGATCTGACCGTTGCTTGTTACTCGACCAATTAAGTCCTAGTAATGTGTCCCCATGCATGTGTTCTTTTCCAATTTTGTTGAGTTTCTCAGACTATTTAATTTAGTCGAATTGTGTAGGGAAAATTGATACATTTAAACCGCATTACCCAAAAAAAACAAAAGATGCTGTTACTAAATTTTTCTAACTATGACAAAAATACATACACGTTTTTGTAGAAACCCAATTATACAGTTAAGAATACTTATGAAGGAAACCATCTCTATCACTCAATTATTGCAGCCTAGATTTTTCTCTAAAACCATTCAAAATTAATTCCTATGGTTTTTCTAGATATTTGATCAAACTAATGCTAATTTTCGGTTTGCTTCCAAGATCTAGATTATTGGATCAATAGATAATATCCCAACGATACGAATATTGGATCAATATATAGATAAAATAGCCCAATCAAGTTTAATTCTCAATAAGTCATAGATGCATGACCAAAAGGTGCCTTTTTTTTTCACCTAAAGGGTATCATCAAAGAAGAGGATATCGATGCTTTCAACGCTCCCTACTATGCTGCGAGCTCCGAAGAGTTGAAAATGGCGATAGAGAAAGAAGCTTCTTTTTTTATCGATCGACTTGACATCAGTCCGATTGATTGGGAAGGTGTAAGTATCAGCGAGGAGAGTTATGACATAGTACGCTCCAAACCAGAAGCCCTAGCTAGTGGACAAAGAGTGGCTAAGACCATACGAGCCGTGATAGAGCCGATGCTAGAACCTACATTTGGTCGTAATGTGATGGACGACCTTTTTGAAAGGTATGCAAAGATAGTGGGAGAGTACTTCTATGTGAGCTCGCCTCGATACGCTATGATTACTGTTTCACTCGTTAGAACGGGTTGATCATGTTATATAAACCTATGCTTATTTACATGTCTTTGGACCTACAACGACATGATTTGGTATCTTTTAATTAACGAAGTATATGTAATATGTCATTTGCTTCGAGAATAAAATAAAAATAAAAATATCAGATCCTATGGAAGATTTAAATAAGTCAAAATAAAGATGTACTTATATATATGCTTTGCTAGAAAAAAAACAAAGAAGATTTTAGTTGGTTAATTTGTTGTTTAATTCATACTCAAACAAATTATAGTGAAATCATTTACTGTTGATTAACTGATTTAGGTACAACGTCAAATCTAAGAATGTGTCTCTAGCTTTTTGTTTTATTCGTACATTAAATCGGTTGTTAAAACAAAAAAAACTACTCACTAGTCACTAATTAATGAACAAATATGTTTATGTTTCTCTCGTTATTGATGCTTTTACAAAAAATCGAAGAAAAAAACACTAGTTGTTTAATATTTCTACTACTATCAGATTTTTGCATTGTCAATAATTTAGCATCCAGAATCTGAAACTTGAAATGGGGATGCATATTGAAGCATCAATCGAATTATTCAAATAGGAGGATCACTTTTGGGTAATCACACGCTTATTTGGTGTTCTTTTTATCTTTTTTTCCTTTGAAAATGGAGATTAGACCGGAATGTGACGTGGGAGTGTTAAAAGTGATTATCACTTTAATTGCCACTTAGGAGTTGTGCCTTCACAAGTGGAAAACAAGTTAATCATGGCCACTCGTGAGTATGTAGTGCAATACCCCAACATCCTCTCTCTACCGTCCACGTGTCTACCATTTTATGCTTTTATTCTTATTCTACTGTTCATTTTGTAATAACTTTCAGCGCATCACGTCACAGTCCGATGACCAAGACAATTTTATAACCAGAGCGAGAAAGTTCCATGACCACGCCTTTAAATAAATACCAAAACATTTTGTTTTATAGCCGTTGAAACGTTTTCCACATGCTCATGATTTTTATACATATTCTTGCCAACGATCGTGATTAATTTTCACAATATAGTGCTGGCTTAGACTCTCAAATGGCAATATCAATGTAGATTAGCAGAACTGGTTTTCTAGTTCTTTCTGATGGGTTTTATGTCAACAAAATTTTACACGAAATTTTACATAACTTTATAATCTTGATTTAGTATGCATTCTTAGTAGTGTACACACACACACACGAGCAAAAAATATACTCATTAGATTTGTATAGTCTAAAGAAACATCATGAGATGAAAGAAAAAGATCAACACCCCACTCAGTACTTACAAAATATCTCCTTGTATTTATAGACTCGGTCCACCATATCGTATACTTAAAATTCATAATTAACTTTTCTTTCCATTTTGGACGAGAAAAGAAACTTTGGAAAGAAAATTAAATGGACCATCTTTGCCTCTGTCCCCTCGTAGCTCTCATGCTCTGCGGCTGCGCGGTGATACTAACACTGAGAAAAATACACAAAATCGTGATCCAAGATCGAGAGAAATCAATGGCTGGTATTCCACCGGGAAGTCATGGTTTTCCGGTGATCGGAGAAACACTTCAGTTCATGCTTTCCGTTAATAGCGGCAAAGGCTTCTACGAATTCGTCCGTACTCGCCGTATCAGGTAAACATAAGAAGCCTCTGTACCATCTAGAAGGTTTATGTTTTACACCTTTTTTATTTTCAATAATATATTTACTTTCGTTATAGGTACGGAAGTTGCTTTAGGACAAGTTTGTTCGGAGAGACGCACGTGTTCCTATCTACGACCGAGTCAGCTCGGGCGGTTCTGAACAACGAGTCAGGGATGTTCACGAAACGATACATTAAGTCCATAGCTGAGCTTGTAGGTGATCGGAGCCTTCTGTGTGCATCTCAACACCATCATAAGATTCTTCGTAGCCGTTTGATCAACTTGTTCTCCAAAAAATCTACGGCTCTGATGGTAAGACACTTTGATGAACTCGTCGTGGACGCTCTTAGTGGATGGGAACACCATGGTACAGTGGTCTTGCTCAAAGAATTGCTCCAGGTTTGTTTCACATGCTGCATAATGGGCTGAATGGTATGAGGCCTTCGTCATAGAACATTTTGCTAATGAAACAAGCTAGGCCCATAGTATAACTGGACTATGGCTCATTTCTAATTTTATTTTTCTTCTGTGCTAATATACAAAATTTGAAACGGCTCGGACTAACAAAACAAAATAATTGTCAAACGGACTATGATAATTTACTTTAGTCAAATCAAAATTTCCATGTATATGACTAATGTGGTGATGGTGCAGATAACATTCAAAGCAATGTGTAAGATGTTAGTAAGTCTAGAAGACGAAGAAGAATTGGGTTCATTGCAAAAAGATGTGGGCTTTGTTTGTGAAGCCATGCTCGCTTTCCCTCTCAATTTACCTTGGACTAGATTTCACAAGGGCATCATGGTAATTTCAATCACACTAATCCAATCTATGCGATTATGTATCTAGTATTGGAACTAAAATTAAATGGAAATTAAACTGGGATTGGTTTGTAATTGTATGATAAGAAGAGAGACGTTATAAATGATGCAGGCAAGAGGAAGAGTTATGGAGATGTTAGAAAAGATTATTAGAGAAAGGAGAAATGAAACAAGAAATAGCCATAATAATAATCACCATGAAGATTTTCTGCAGCAGCTTCTTGCAGTAGATGACGACAAGTCTTCTTCGTCTTCTGATCATTCTACTAAGTTGACTGATGCTGAGATTAAGGACAATATTTTGACCATGATCATTGCAGGTCCCCATTCACTTTTATATTAAGACTCATCATTTTTTTACCAACTTAGAGAGGAAACATAAAAACATTATTTAGAAAAAGAAAAAAAACATTAAATCATATTGCATCCTTTTAAATTTATTATAAAAAAAAATGTAGGGCAAGACACGACGGCTAGTGCTTTAACATGGATGGTTAAATACCTCGGTGATAATCAGAAGGTTTTGGATATTCTTATCGTAAGTTAATATTAAATTTCACTTGTGGGTACACTATATACTATATTTTAACAATCACTTATTGCTTTTAATTTCTGTTTTTTCAATTTCAAATTAAATGGAGACAATTTTAAAGTGTTTCTGTTTTCAAATCATGTCATTCGTACTGGTCAACAGGAAGAACAATCTCAGATTGCGAAGAAAGCCTCACAGAAACCATTTCTTGAACTAGAAGATCTCAGTGAAATGCCATATGCATCTAAGGTAAAATATATAACGATGTTTAGACGTTTTTTCACTGGTCTATATATATATATATTTTTTTAAAGAAATTTCTGAAAATAGATGGTGAAAGAATCTCTGAGGATGGCGTCTGTTGTGCCTTGGTTCCCAAGATTAGTACTTCAAGACTGTGAAATGGAAGGTTTGCTTTTCAACTTCTCTTTGTTTTTCTTTTGTCCCCAGGTTCGGTTAAAAAGGATCAATTCTTCTAATCATTTTTATTTGTTTTAATAAATCATACATTCTTATTTTCTGATTTGAAAGGATACAAGATTAATAAAGGGTGGAATATAAATATTGACGCAAGATCCATTCATTTTGATCCTAGTGTATATAATGAACCTCACAAGTTCAACCCTTCAAGGTTTGACGTAAGTACAAGATAACGTTTAAGAAAACATATCTAATCTCACAGTACTTATTTTTATAGCGTAGTTTAAATGTTTTTGTCCGTACTTATTATTATTAATCTAAACGAAGGAGGAAGCAAAAGCAAACAGTTTCTTAGCATTTGGGATGGGAGGAAGAACATGTCTTGGACTTATTATGGCCAAAGCCATGATGCTAGTCTTTCTCCATCGTTTCATAACCACTTACAGGTTCGTACCATTATTTTTATTTATGAATGCAAAAACTGAATAATCCGGTTTAATTACAATAAACTTTAAATGCTTGTGACCAAATTCTTTTTGAAGATGGGAGGTGGTAGATGGAGATCCAAGCCTCGAGAAGTGGACATTGTTTGCAAGATTGAAGAGTGGATATCCGATTCGTGTGTCACGTAGATTGTAAATATATAAGTTTCAAGTAACAAACTCAACGAGTGTTCCTTGATACGATGTTTCATATCCCCAAATGTATGATATATTTACAATTTTGCATTAATTTCTCCATTCCGTTGATGCTAAGGAATGGCTCCAAGAAAGAAGATTTAGTCTGTTTTTTTTATTTATTAGAATAATATGATAATATTTAAGGTACAATAGTGAAAGTGGATAATATAGTTGGCCAAAAATATGATTAGTTTATACTTAAATTCCTAAACACGTCCAATTATGTGTCATGGACAGAACAAAAGTTTGATTAAAGAAGATCAAACAGGTTGTGGATCCTAGGAGCAAGTGTTTTGTTCTAATGTTAGCTTGTGAATAGGATTTGTATATCTTCTTTGTGCTATTACTAATCATTTTAACTACAACTTTAGTGTTCTCTTATGTGGGATCACTAGAGCATCACAGTTCTTTCCAAAACAATATAATTCTTTTGGATTGTCAATGACACATCACACATGCATATAGTCGGGTTCAGTAAAATTGCATTGCGAGGACATGGACTCGTATAAGCTAATGAAAAATATAATAGAGAAACAACAAAAGTAAAAATGTTGGTGACTTTGTGCCAATTATTTATAGAACAAACAAAGTAGTGGAAAAAAACAGGTCCTAGTAACCTTATATTTTATTAACAAAAACCGAATATAATATAACTTCATATTTTGGACAGAACATTTTGGGAAAATATTAGAAGGAACTTCTGTTGACAAGAAGTTCAACAACTAAACTCATAGCACGTCTCATTTTCTCAAATGTAAAGATCAATGTGGCTTTAACTTGTAGCGGCTTTCTTTAACATGTTTTTTTAAGTTGTCTAATTATAATTATAAAAAAATTGAATCGGTAGTAATCGTTTCATTATAATCCAAAGTCGTGACAGTTAATTCCGTCGGCTATAACCTATAAAAACAAGCACAAACTAATTAACAAGTCTGCATTCCTTCACGTGACCCCAAATTTCATAGCCTCATCAACATTAACCATACAAAAACCAACCAAGGTCAAAATTAATAACATATCTTATAAAAAAAACTACAGTAAAAATATACTTATATTTCTTCCTCGCAGATCCAAATATTCTAAATGACCTAAACTAAATCAAATTCAGGATGAATAAAACACCAAATTTGTTTTCACATATATTAGCGTCAGTCTAATTCGAAATAGCTAAGTACGAACTGGACGAGTAGAGGCAGAGCCCTTACGACTACGACGACTACGATGACGACTAGCTTTGTCGTCACGAGGCGGCTCTTGCCACTGAACGATACCGTTCTGCCGCTGGTCATGGTCATGGACGCCGTTTTGCAACTGAGGAGCGCCGTTTTGCCACTGAGGGACGCCGTTTTCCAGCTGATGAGCGCCGTTTTGCCACCGAGGGACGCCGTTTTCCAGCTGAGGAGCGCCGTTTTGCCACTGAGGGACGCCGTTTCGCCACTGGTCAGCGACGCCGTTTCGCCTCTGGTCAGCGACGCCGTTTCGCCACTGGTCAGCGACGCCGTTTTGCCACGGGTCAGCGACGCCGTTATACCACTGGTCAATGACGCCGTTACGCCACTGAGGGGGACCGTGTTCAGCTATGCCGTAATGTTGGTTAAACATCCTCTTCTTCTCCGTGATAAAAGTCTCCATCTTCAGACGAAACTGCTCGCTGCTCGACTCAGCCATCGTCGTCTTCTGCGACTTCAACGGCGCCGTTTTCATCACCTTCTCCGACTCCATTCTCCGGTACTCCACAGTCGTCGACTTCTTCCCCGTCTTCGTCCTCTTGTAACTCTTGGCACTGATCACCTCCACCGCTACTCGATCGTAAGAATCACTACTCTCCCTAACCGCCTCAACCGCTACCCGATCGTAGGAACTCGTACTCTCCCTAACCGCCTCAACCGTCGTTTCGACGTCGTTGTAATTAGGGTTGGTACGATATCCATAATCATCAATATCTCTAGCTTCCGAGACATTAGAATAACCATCCCGCCAAGGACGGTCGACGGTGGGAGCGACGGCGGCATATCGATCGTAGAGATCAAGCGGAAGCTGTTTTTGTTCGTTGTACATGTTGTGCAGAAAGTAGATAAGGGCGACGAGAAGGGTGACGATGAGGAAAATGAAGAAAAGTTTTTGTAGAACCACACGGAACCAATCGAACCAATAGATGACCACTTGCAGTGAATTAAGCGCCGGGAGACCGTAGAAGCAGATGCAAACTACGGATAGGACGGGGGATACAACTTGCAATAAGCTTAACGGATTGTAGTTTCTCTTCATCGCCTCCATTTTTTTTTTTCTTTTTTGAGGTATACAGAAATTGTGAGTCAAATTAGGTGTGTGTGTATATATATGTATGTATGTTTTGTGTGTGTGTGTGAAATAAATTTAGGGAAGATTTTCCCGGAAAATGAAACGGGGAAGTGAGGATATATGATCAAAGATTTCGGGGAAAGTGGGAGGATTTTAGAAGGAAAGCTTCTGATTCCTTTTATAGACTTAAACAAATTAATATAATAATATGGTGTAGTTTAATACTGATTTTTTATATTATATTTAATATATTTCTTAAAAAACTATTTGAATAAAAAAATATAAAAAATCAATATTAAATTAATAAATAAATAGAAAATACTTAAAAAGTAAATAATTATTATTTTCTTAATACCTGTGAAACATATAAAACATCATACATTCTAGAACGGGGAGTAATAAATTCTCGTTCTTCTCCATGCTACAGTATTGTGAACATTTGACCAGTAATGTCTCAGTTAACTTCTTTTTTATTTTTACCTAACGAATTTTAAAATTATAGTCAGTGGATTTATTTAGTACATAGATTTATGGTTGTTTGCTGTCTTTTTTCTATTAAGTTTTCTTATGTTTTCGACCAATGAACTGAAAATCTCAATGGCCACTTTATATAGATACATTATTATGGTGTCAATACATTTAACTATTGTTATAAAAAAACTATTTTCCAATTCGTAAGAGAAAATCATATATTTTAGACATTTGCTTGATAAATTATTTTGAGTTTTAATAAAAATATAAGTTTTCCATTTTATATGCACATTCATTAATAGATATATTATTCTACACTTTAAATTTATTGAAAAATGGCATATTTAAAGATCCACTTATCGATATAGCAAGTTTTCCCAAACGAAAAGAGCCTTAATATTTAATGAACATCTCAGTAAGTATATATATATATATATATCTACATTTTCTTCTTCTTTTTTTTTAATCGTTCATGAAGTAAAATGTTAGTTTGCTACTTTGCTTCAAGTAATAATGAATCATATAGTTTTAACTTTTAAATTCTATGAAGTAATAACGTTATCTCTAACAAAAATGTCAATATGTTAACAAGATAATATATAGTGTATAGTTGAAGAACAGCAGTTAGCTATAAATGGATGTTGGTGAGGATATAGAAACTATAAAGTCTATGAATCCACTTGTAAGCTCCTCAAAGCAGACACATGAAAGCCACGCGCCGTCAATGGGAAGAAAACTAAGAACAAATTTATCCACACCACACATAATGATTCAGAAATGGTTTATATATCACACAATCACGAGGGTCATGGAATGATGGAAATCGAAAATGGTTGAGAATCATCCGAGAACCACGTGAGGTGAGATGAGTCACGTGCTCGAAAGCAGTTTTACAGTTTACACACATAATAAAGATGGAGATGCTGAATTCATTTTTTTCTAAAGAGAAAGGCTGAATTCAATTTTTTTCAGGAAATTAGAAGTGCTTAAGATAAATTATAGACAAAGTCTGGATTATATAATAAATGCTCAGCAGATCCACCTAATCCAAACACTGGCTGATTCTGTGGTCGCGATCAAACAATCTTTGTCATAATCATAACGTCTATTTTTGCATATATATATTCCGACGATTAATAATAGAATGTTGGCAGGAAAAAAAAAAGATTGAAGTAATTGACTATACATACGGTCATGTTCGATATAATTTGTAAAGCTTAGCCAGAGTCCAGTCCTGGTTTGACCACCGTTCACTTTAGTTCAAACAGTTTTGACTTAATAGACTTTCAAATTTTTTGTTGTTTTGTGGTTTGTGCCTGCATTTATGTATATAGTTGCGTTTACTTTTGAAAACAATACAATATTTTAAACATAAACGCCAACAAAAGATTAAATCAGAGTTTCGGTATAACGATTTTTAAAAAAGCATTTGATAAGAATCACATATTTGATTATTTGTTATATTTTGTATCGATAATAACATGTCCGAACAAATTAGACGTCAAAATCTCTGATCACAGAGTTAGTCAAAACTTATACAGTGTTATGGATAGAGTTTGGATAAATAGTAGGCTGGATAGTTTCTCCCCGTTCACACTCTACTAAACACAAAGACAGTTCTAGAGAATGCTTAATTTCAAAATCAAAAGACTAATTAAGCTCATTTGTACATACAGTATATAAAAGAGCTTCCAGCTATAGTGAGAAGTACCATATAACAAAAAGCCATGTCTTCTTCTTACACAGTTTTGCTCTTCCTTTGCCTCTCCATCTTCCTCCTTGCTTCCACTGGTATGATCACTCCACTCTTTAGTTTCTTCAGCTCTATGGTTTTTATAATTTCATTTATTACATGTTTGATATATATATCTTGTGTTTGGAGGATTTGCAGAGATGATGATGGCGGAAGGAAAAGTTTGCGAGAGGCGAAGCAAGACATGGACAGGGCTTTGTGCCAACACTCGTGGCTGTGACAGTCAGTGTAAGAGATGGGAACGTGCTTCACATGGCGCTTGTCACGCTCAGTTCCCGGGTTTCGCATGTTTCTGCTACTTCAATTGCTGAAGCAAGCAAAGACTTCTCTGAATCCTTTTAAAGTGTCACTGTGTCGTCTTCTTTTGTTCTGTTGCAAATACTAGTCCCTATGGCAAAACCATAACCTTTAGCTTCGGCTTCACTAATAAAAAGATTCCCTAGTGTTTAGGAGTTACCATATATGTGTAGAGTTTCTTGTGTTAAAATCTACAATAAGAGACTGTTTCGCAGTTTCGCTTATCTACTTCAGCAGGACAACGACTTGATTGATATAGCTACAACCAAAATTTTCACAAACGACTGCTACACCTTCACAAAAGCAATCAGATCATTAGCAAAATATATTTTCTTGAATAACTATCCAGCTTATGCTCCCATGTTTCGGTTCAAGGATTCACTTTCCCTAAACCCTAACTAGTCTCTCTCAATCATGTCAAACTCAGAATTTCACTTTGTGACATCCATTTTTTAGATATTGGACTAGTAACATAATGTTACTCTGTTCTTCAGCTAATGTACTAATAACAATACTCTGTTTCCTCGCTTCCTGATTGGACTAACAGTAATCCTTTTAGCCCAGTAGCCCAAAACTGATCCTTGTGAGCCACAGAGAAACTTACACCCTAATGGCCTAAAGCCTTCTTGCCTTCTTTTTTGCATATAAATTGGAAACAACGAAATGTCAACTGAATTAAAGTGAGACTTGGGTACAAATACACTGCACTTGCTTTAAGTAAATGCTGTGAGATTCTTTGTGAACAACATAGAGCATAAGAGCAGTTCAAATACGAAATCACTTTGAAATTTTGAAGCCAAAATGAAATCCCACAATCTGTGATGGTGACTGTGATCATCAGTTGCGAATGTCAGGAACAGGCAAGTCCTTCAACTGCAACTGTTTGTGCATCCATTGCCAGTTTTCTGGGGTTACTTCTCCTCCGAGAGCACGGATGACCGATCCGCCACTGCATGATCCCACATTGCAACATTCTTCCAAAGACAATCCCTTTATTAATCCATACAGAAACCCACTTGCGAATAGGTCTCCCGCTCCAGTGGCATCAGTTGCTAATGTCTCTCCTATGGCCGCTATTTGTACCACCTGTGTTCCAGTTAGGAGATTAAAACCCTGATCCGTATGATAAAAGGTGAAGGAGATTAAACACTAAAGGTTCTAGCTTCTTCCTTTTTTATAGTTGATTCATATATACTTCAATCCCAAACCACAACCCAACGAGAAAAGGTGAGTTTTTGAATCGCAATTTGAACTACGCCTAAGTTAAAACGTAAAGCTACCTCTTTAATGAAAAAAGACATACCTCTTTATCATGTTTTGCAATGCACCCTTTAGGCCCTAAAGTTACCACAGCCCATCTGCAATGTCTGCTTAGGAACTCAAGAGCAGCCTCCGGGCCCGCTTCTTGCTCACCCCTGAAACTCACAACCTTGAACTTTAGAGCATTTCATGGACTTAAAAAGGAAGGGACAAAAAAAGACCTTAGCAGATCTTGGCATAGGGTAGAGAAACATCAATTACCTTAGTAGCTCTGCTGCTTCGTCCTCGTTAGCAAAGCAAAGATCTATGTTACCAGACTCCAGAAGCTGTCGAAGCTCTGATCTATAGTTCCGGACCATCTAGTCACACAAAAGTTTTTTTTTTTTTAATTCAAATGTTAAAATAAATTTAAAGTGTGTTAAGCCATTAATCATGTTTAGAATTTTCTGGTTGGTCAAAAGGACATACCTCAAAACTAGCTAAATCCAAGGAAACAGAAAGACCTTCTTGCTTGGCAATTCGAATGGCTGCTTGGATTACTTCTAAATTAAGAACTGCATATCTCAGGACCAGCCACTGTAACAGAGGAAGACCATTAACAGTCTTTGCCTGAACAAATCTCCATATATGTATACAGTGCTTCCTATTGACAAGAGAGATTAGAGGAGCTAGGTACTAACCTTAGAGCCTGTGAAATCTTCTTTGCTCAGTTCATCTGCCTGGAAGAGAAATAGCTTTTACCATTCTTTCTTATTGACATGTTGTAACTATAAATTCCACAAAAAAAAGAGAATAAACAAACCTGAATCTTCACGGCACTCGAGAGACATGGCCGCATTGTTCGATTACCAGAGTCATCAACCAAGCAAACACACTAAACACCATTTATAGAAGATCAACTCCAAATCTTTCCAATTAAAAAAAAAGAAGAAGGACGAAGCACAATTTCACAGTTTTGGCAAAATGTACCTGAGCAGTAGAACCTTTCTTCTTCCTCAACCTTGAGATACTCACACCACTGAAACCCATGTTGCTCACAAATAACTGGCCTTGTTCATCGTCTCCATAAGCCCCGATGATCCCCGTGGCTACACCGAAACCAACACTCAAGCCTCGAACCGTATTGGTCACACTTCCTCCAGCCATCTTCTTAAACGGAGTCGCACTGATATGTGTATTAACCTCTTTCAGTATATGCTCTAACTCATCCTTTTGCACCTAGAATCAAACACAAGCTCTGAATTGTCACTGATTTCAAATCCAGTAGATACAAACTCTGGAATCCAGATTCCCATTAACCAAAATACGATTCAATTTTTTGATCAAACTTAGCCTAAAACCAAAATAGAATTGAGCTTACGGGAATGGAGCCACCACGATCACCGGGAATTTGATCGAGTAAAGACCAATCGACGGGAGCGACGTAATCGATAAGAGCTGCTGGTTGAAGTCCAAGTACGAGTGGAGCATCGGGGCTCTTGGGCAAGGCCTCGGCTACCATTCTGTGAGATCTCTGTCTCTCTCTCTCTATCTCTCTGTGTATCTGTGTTGTGCACTCTCTAAAGGCCTTGCCCAATTTTTTTTGTTCGGCTCCGTCTCAGTTTTATATATGGTGGAGACGAGAAGAAGAAGAAGGTGCATTGTTTATTTACGAAACTACCCTTACAGAAATCAGATAAAATACAGTAACTGATAAGATTTTTTTCTTGATTTCTCCCCTGTAATGATTTCGTTTTATTCATTCGGGTCAATTTCGATATAATATAGCAACGCATTGCATTTTGGCGCCGCTTTTTTAATAAAAGAAAACTAAGAATTTGCATTGTGTTACATTTTTATAAAATCAAAAGTACTTTCTTTGCCTTGAAATGTTATCATATGTTGTTAACTATGGTTTTCTTTAGTTTGATAATGTTAGCTATCATTTCTATCCTAGGAGCCTCGTTTCTCTTTTGGAATGTTAAACAAATGCTAGACTTATTATACCTTTTAATTTGAACGTACACAAACAATCATGGAAAAAGTGAAACCAATTTATACATAACCTAGTGCCTAAACATATTATAGTTTTATTGTTTCTTAATTTTCGTTTCGGTTATTATGACCACTTGGTTTAATTGATATCTACAAGGGGAGTAGGGAGAATCCCAATTATTCGAATTATCTTAAAGAAATGGTTTGATTCCTGCAGAAACGGCAACGAAAAGCTAGGAAACAAAGACAAATAAAAACAAAAGAGAAAAGAAACGGCGTTTGTCAAAGAGAAAGAGACGAATCATAATAAAAAGATACACGATACAAGATTTGATTTTATCCCAAAAGAAAACCGAAAAACAAAATAAAGACGACCAAGCAAGCGTAATTCACGGTAACAAATACCATCAACCCCACTAATAATTTGTAGAAATTATATAAATATATATATCAAGTTTGGATCTTTATTCTTCATGCTTGCCTAATAGCAACATAGGCGCACATGAATTAGCATATGCATCAGTCTATTATTATTCACTACTCATGTTTCATAGAGCCGATTCATAATTTCGAAGAACCAAAGTTTGTCCTGAAAAATACCATTCCCTAAGAAACCATAAAAAAAAAGTCGAGCAAAAGCTTCTCCAAACGCTGTTAATTCAGTCTACTCTACCTGCCATTATTCAAACAACAGACCGAAACATAATCCCCTTGAGCATCTCATACTATAAGGTTTTCATCAGAAAACATACCGCAGAAAGATCAGTTCACATTTGAAGGAGGCTTGGTTTCTTTCTCAGGCTGTATGTTGTTAGGGAGTTTGAGCTCTGGTGCAGTTTCTCTCACGATACCAAGCATCGAGTCATACTCCTCGTCTTTTCCACCATACTTCTTGCGAAGAACCTTCTCGAACTCTATCACATTTAGTGGCTTTGCATTCTCTGCAGCGTGAGCCTGTCCGAGGTTTGAGTAGTTCTCAGCCGACTTTGAGATGAAATCAATTTCATCATTCTTGAGCTTCCTGAGGAACTTTGCTGGGTTTCCTCCCCATACCTGAGTCATCGTAGACCAATGTGTTAAAAATATGTTAGATCTGTGAGAAAATATGGCTGTTCAATCGGTCATGATGAGATGAATACACCCTTTTTGTATTCATATGCTTGTAAACCGTAAACAGAAGAGTATTCTCGATTGTTTAAGATGCACTTTCACCTTAAATGACCATAACTATTGGTCCCTAAATGAGAATTGAGCTTCTATTACTTCATCTGAAAAGTAGAGAAATTATGTTATATCCAGATAGAGGAGAAGAATTCAGGGACTAGAATGTTTTTTAACTTCGCGCATCCAATCTCTTCAATAATCTCAGAATTAGAGATGATTAGCAGTGAAAGAAGACACTGTTAATGATACAGCCTATGATAAGTAGCGTAAGAAGTGTGTCAGCTCAAGTGGGTTATGGGTTTTCAGGTAATAAGTGTTTTACGCAAATTCTTACCTCTCCAGAAGAAATTCTAGTGTTTTGACGCACAAGCGCACCAGCAGCAACCATGCCATGCTTTTCAACCACGACCCCATCAAGAAGTGTCGCACCCATCCCGATAAAGGCTTCATCCTCAACAGTACATCCATGTAAAACAGCACTATGACCTGTTACACATCAACTTTAAAACTATATCCCAAATGCTTCACGGAGATGCATGAAATATTAGACAACTTCAAAACAAACATCAAGAATTTCCCACTAACCAATGGTTACATTGTCTCCGATGATGGTTGGAAGCACCTTCCCGCTCAAGTTTGACTTTGCCACATGCACAAGGGAATTGTCCTGAATGTTAGTTCCTGAGCCAACAGTAACGGTGTTCACATCCCCTGCGCAGAAAAAAAGAGAGCAAGTTCACACTGTATATTATTCCACTGTTTCTTGGTAAAGAACTACTAAGGCTTTACCACAGCACCAATGCTGAGTGACATTACAGCATTATATACGACAGGACAACCTAATTTTACTACCATTTAACCAAAAGAAAGGCATCATAACAGAAAGAAACAAATCAGACAAGCCTACACATACTTGCACTGAAGACCAAACTCAAATTCGATACAAGGGGATAATCTATACTTCATCAAGATAAGATGTAGCATAACTGTGTTGAGACTTGAGACTCCATCGGTAATGCTAGGAAGCTCCACATTGAGCAGTCTTATTCATCAATGAACCATAAAAGAAGACTAAAGAACATACATTCGTTCGCTACCTAGTTGACCTAGCTCAGGATACAGACGTAGATGATGATATCCCATAAACAAAACTTACGCTCACTATATAATAAAATTATCAGTCAAACACTAAAAACTGAAGCTTAGTAGCTTGCTCACCTCGTAATACGCATCCATACCAAATGGAAGATCCTCTTCCAATCTGCACGTTCCCAATAATTGAGGCGCTTGGTGCTACAAAAGCTTCCTTATCCACGATCGGAGCCTTGTCAAATACGTGCATCAGTGTCCGATGCCTGGACACTACACAGAAAGCCACGATTGCATATGAACAAATTTTTCGGGACCACAAGTAGCAAAAGATATCCCTATAAGAGTTCATCAATTAATCTCTTCTGCTATCCAAATCCAGAATCACTACACCTATCACAGAGACGTCAATTCCAGATCCCTAACCTAATCAGAAGAGCTGAGTAACCCAAGCGAAACTCCTCACTCGTGCGAATTCGAAATCGGAGTGAAAACTAGAGTTAAGCTGAAGCTTACATTGTTCTCGGAAGCAATTTTTGCCTTGAAGGCGACATCCGAGACGATCGAGAGCCTGGCCGGTCTCACGGATCCAAAATCCGACGGAGTAAAATGCTCTGCCTAGGGTTCCCATTGCTCGTCACCTCTTCGAGTTCACAGGAGAGGACCCTACGGTGTACAGTGAAGACTGAAGACTGAAGACTGAAGACTGAAGAAGGCGAGGACGGTCGAAGGTGAAGGGAAGAAATAGAGTATCGACGCGAGTGGGTCTTCTGGGACGGCGAAACACCCGAGTCCATGACAATTACGTTGGTTTAATCTGGTTCAAGCGAACCGCTATATCCAAACTGAATCTTAACCGGATAAAAATTAAAATAGCCGTACTATTCTCGGCGTTACCGCCATTAACGGTGTTGCGTTACCGCCATTAACGGTGTTACACCGTTAAATAAAACTATTTTTTTGTCCTTCGCATACATAAATTAGGACCATTTTAACCCAACAAAGCACGATAAAAAAAAACGCATAACTTATATATACAGGCATACAGCTCCAATAATTTGATTACTTCTAGTTTTAAAATCGTTTCAATAAAAAGGAAAATAGTTGTAAAAGTTTTTGAGATATCGGATGGCGAAAATATCAGTGGTTGTGGTGTTGTCGCTGACGCTACTTGTCTCGATAAACTTGATGAAGATTTTGGCAGAGAAGCAGCCGACAGTTGGACAGAAGATAGACACCGGCGTGACGGAAGCCACTAATGCCGTCAAGAAACAGGGTGGCTCAGATGCGGCCGTAACCTCCAAAGCAAAATCCGTTCATGGAAATGATAAAACCAAGTATGCCTATAATTCTTTATAATATTTCTAAATTGTTTCGAATGATAAGATAGTTAAAATGATTTTGATTGAAAAAAATATATAGTTGAAATTATTTTATCAATTTCGACATTCTGTGGTTTTTATTTCTATTATAAAATACATAGATCACATTACAAAAACTTAATTTTATATTCTATAGTAACATGAAAATATTACTAACTAATTACTGTGATTTTATGTAAAGTAGATTAGTTAAATAGTGACTGAGTTTTTAGAATAGTTTTTGGTTTTAGTTTTTGAAAAACTATTTTTTTAGCCATATAAGTTTTTAAGCAAATAGATTTCCTAAATTATAAGAAAACTAATTTTTCATGGTTTTTAATATTTTACAAACAAAAACCAAAAACCATAATTTGTGAGTTTTTTAAAAACTGATCATACTTTTTCGTTTTTATAAACTATGTATATATTTTATAGATATTTTTTTGATATTACTTATTATTTTCATAAAAAATAATATTTGTATTTATTAATAAATTATATTTATTTGGTTTTGGTACTGTTTGGTATTACTTTAAATATTTAATACAACAAAAACTAAAACAAAACATAAAATCATATCTTATAATTAAGTTAATATTTTATGTTAAAAAATATATGTAAAAAACAAAACAATCACCATTCAAGTTTTTTGTAAAAATAAAACTTACAACAAAAAAACCAAAAATTCGAAATTTAAAATCAAAAATCAAAACACCATGTCATCATTAATAACTCTCACACATTTGTTTTAATCATTTAAAACATATAAAACAAATTTTATCTTCATTTTTTATAAAAATCTCTAAAAATATGCAATAATAAGCTTATTTTATTTTAGTTTTATGACACAAGTTTATGTGCATTTTTACTGATAATTTTATCATTACTTATATTTTTTTGAAACTATTAACAATAAATATGTTAAAAACTAAAATTTATAAGCATAACAACATTTTTGTAAAAACAATTATAGGAAAAAACCAAAAACTAAAAAAGTTACCATTCAAGTTTTTTGAAAACCAAAATCTACTGCAAAAACAAAAATCTAAAACTAAAAACCAAAAACTCCAAAAATCTAAAACCAAAAACCAAAATCAAAACTAAAAACTAACATTCATCACCTTAATAGTTTATGTAAAAGCTACGAACAATAATAGAACCATTGAAAAAGACGCGATAACCTTTACCGACACGGTTCAGATCGTCTATCGCCACGCACAACACGTGCAAAGGATAACACGTCCTTCTCAAACGCTGGGCAAAAATGGACCATTGATTTGGTCGAAGCACTAGAGAGAGAGAGAGAGGGAGATTTTAGTTATAAAGCTTCTTTGCCTTCGCTGATTAACTCTATAATTCTTCGCTTGCTGCAAAAAGAAAAAGAAAGAAGAAGAGAAAGATCAAGAAGATGGCTCTCGAAGTCTGTGTGAAAGCCGCTGTTGGTGCCCCTGATAAGTTCGGCGACTGTAATCTCTTCTCTCCCTCTCTTTGTTTATACTTTGCATTAAGAACTTTGATTTTGCGAATTCTGAGTTTTTTTTTTTGTATCTTTGTTTCTACGAATTATATCTAATATATAAGTGTTTCCTTGTTTCAGGCCCGTTCAGTCATCGGGTTGTTCTCACACTCGAGGAGAAGAGTGTTCCATACAAAATGCATCTCATTAACCTCTCCGACAAACCCCAGTGGTCAGTTTCTCTCGCCCGAAAACACTAGATCGGTCTAACTTGAATCGTTATGCTTCTGTTTAAATTTGTGGATTATACTTGCTTAGTGCTCTGCAAAATTGATTCAGGGGATGTGTTGAGCTTATGTTAAGCTTTTACCTTGCAGGTTCTTAGGCATTAGTCCTAATGGGACAGTACCAGTGCTTAAGATCGACGACAAGTGGGTGTCTGATTCCGACATCATCGTCGATGTTCTCGAGAAGAAGTACCCTGAGCCATCTCTCAAGACCCCTACTAAGTTTGCCACTGTTGGATCCAAGATTTTCAGTACTTTCGGGTCTTTCGTGAAGAGCAAAGACCGCAATGACGGAACCGAAAAGGCGTTGCTTGATGAGCTAGAAGCTCTGGAGAAGCACCTCAAGACTCATGACGGTCCTTTTATCGCCGGGGAAAGAGTCAGCGCGGTGGACCTGAGCTTAGCACCGAAGCTTTACCATCTCGAGGTTGCTCTCGGCCATTTCAAGAGCTGGTCTGTCCCCGGGAGCTTGTCCCATGTACACCGCTACATGAAAGCTTTGTTCTCTCTCGACTCCTTTGAGAAAACAAAGCCCGAGGAGAAGTATGTGATCTCAGGTTGGGCTCCCAAGGTCAACCCCTGAAACTACTAGTATCGTTTAAGGTTCAAGGTCTCTCCCTTCTATCAGTCAATTAATGTTCTTGGACCTATATTGTGTTAGTGTGTTGTATTGTATCAATCAAATAAAGCCTGGTTTCAGACAAGATTTGCGTCTCAAATTTGAATCAAACGACCTCAGAGTAACAGTAAACGCAACATATATTATTCTTTTACAACAAAATCACCATCTTATTTGAGAAAAACAGTACACGCAACATAAAGGATCGATGTTTTTGTTCTCATACAAACCGGTCGAGAAACTCATCGACACTCGTGTACTTGACCTCGGGGTAAAGCTCAGAAGCCTCGACTCCAAAAGAAGGGTCTATAGTGAAGGAGGTAAGATCACTCTTGACAAGTACCGCATGGATCAAACCCATCACAAAATTCATTGGAGGCTGAATCTCTGCAAATGCAACAAGTGAAAGCAAAAGAAAAAAACACAAATACTTTTAAAACTCTTGAATGATTCACTCTATCCAATATCAAAAAAAAAGCAGTTGTTTTTATGGTTCAAATGATATATCACACCTTGGATGGTTTTGAGAAGTTCTTCCTCTGAAACATAAGTCTTGTCAAGAGTCTTACCAATCTTCTTCTCCCACAAGGCAACCACATCGTTCTGGGATACAATGTTCTTTGGCGGGTGGATGTAGAGAGTCTTGTTAAGTGTTCTCGGGTCATCAACAGCTTTCATTGTATACGCAACAATGTCTTCCTCAGCGTTGAAAATGGCTTTACAACAAAGAGAAGAAGAATCAAAAATACATACCGAATCTACACAAGTGTTGTAACGTTATCGAGTACCTTTGCCGTTGCCACTGTCGTAGATGGAAACTTTGTCTGTAGGAGGAGTTTTGAGCTGCAAGTGGCATTCACACAAACTGGGAACGAAAAAACCAGAAAAGCAAGCTGCGACCACATAAGTATAAGGTATCTTTGCGGCTTCAATGGCACGACGTAACTGAGCTTTTACGATGAACTCCGATAGCGTTGGCTCGATGGCCACCGTACGGTCAACGTCGTTGCCAAATTCCGACGGGAAGAATCTCTGTTAGAAAAAAAAAAACAGATTCGTTCTAATTATATTGAGACTCTGATGGATCTCTGTATATGTACATAGAGAAAAGTGAGAAAAAAAACGGACCTTGACATTTCCAGATTCTTTGATGGCGTCGATGATATTGATCTGATCTGGTATCTGAAGCCGACCAACAGCAGAAATCACGACATCGACGTGTTTAATAGCTTTCACTAAGCTCTCTTTATCATTCAAATTCCCCTGTTGTCATTACCAGAAGAAAAGAATTCATCGTATTCCAATCAACAAAGTTTCAATTTTCAGAACACCAGATTTCACAAATAGGTTTTAGACCAAAAAATAAAAAATATTTGTGAATATTTTGGTTTATTTTTATAAAACAATCCGTATATATTATATTTTTATCAGGTTTTCTTTAAATACTCTCATAGAAAAACTACTTCCATAAAAAAAATTGCTAAAAAACTAATTTCAATAATGTAATCCAAAAAAAAAAAACATTGAACCTTAAGAAGATGAAGACACGAATCAGATGTTTGACTAAGATAATAAAAGATTAAAATTAGACACACACAGAAGAAGAGAGAACAAGTGGAACGTACGTAGAGTATAGTGACGCCGAGATTTTTGAAGCTCTCGACGACTTTGGCCTTAGCGGGATCGGAGAGAGAGGACTCTCTGACCAGAGCGAAAGTGGCGTGGCCGGATTTAGCGCTTCCCTCGACGATTAGTTTTCCGATGTAACCTGTCCCTCCGATAACCAGAATCTTGCTCGTCATCTCTGATCTCTGCCACTTTCTTTTTTCGTCGAGTTAGATAAGCGAGTGAACGAACCTGCCGACGATGAAGATTTTTATCATCCTCGTGTCTTTATTTATTCGGGAGAGCCGACGACGAAAGTGTTCAGGTGAAGTTACCGGAGTACCCTGGTCTTGTTTGAGCCACCTTACTAGGTCGGTCAGGTTAGTAGTTGGCTTTCTCGGATTATTCAATGTATTTTGTTAAAGTTGTGTGAAAAACGTGAGGAAATAATTAAAAAGTAACGTTTTACTGTATGATTCCGCTGCCACGTACAATATTTTCAAAAATTTGTTTTGGGTTACACATCATAAAAGACTTTCAAATCCAAATCATGATTTAAAAAATGCCTCTGTTTCATGTTTTTTTATTTTTTAGACGTTTGTTACATGTTCTACACTCGGCATTCAAATACTAGCATGTCCAACACATAAGAATAAACCACCATATTATACATATGACACACACAATTATATTATAGCCGGTGATTAAAAGACGACTAATCACAATTCACACAAACAACACAAGAATGTGATTAGTTAGCCGGTGACTGCAGATAGCATCATTACTATCCCGCGATTTTGGCGATGTGAGCCACTTGGAACTGCGGCACGTAATTGTTGGGTCGACCTTCTTCCTCCCTCGGCTCATTCAGGAACGCCCAGTTGCTTCTTGTCCACCTACCCAACACATCAATCAGCTTATCATGTTTTGATCAATCTTAGTTTATGAGACTGATGTGAACCTATATATTTAGATTGTATCAAAATTATATTTTACCATCCACTTCTCTTGCTTTGGTTTTCGTAAGGATCTTCTACCACCTTCTCCTCTTTCGCTTGACTTCCCTCAACTTCCTGAAAACAATAATTAATTAAAGCTTATTGAGATCATTTTTTTTTTGGTAACTTATCACGCCGAAATCTTTGTTCTCCATAAAGATCACTGATGAAGATTTTCTTTCCTTTTTCGGCTGGATTTAAAGAATAAATAAAATGTAAGGTTGGTCTTCACCTGAGCTACCAACTTGGAAACGGCTTGAACATGTTCTTCATTCTTCTTCTTTGTTTTCCAGAAAACGTCAATTTCTTCTCTTGTTAGTGACTTGCACCTTCTCACTGACATAGTGACATTATTCATTTACATCAAAAAAATATTGGAACAAAAATCATCGTATAGTTGTTTTTGTGTGTGCGCAATATGATCGAACATAATAATATATATGATTTCATATATAGACCAACGCATGACCATTAATCCCACATATATATGCATGAGTATGTAATTACCTGAATTAGAATCAGCTACAGGAGAGTCCCATCCTGACATTAAAGAACCCATTTGCTCTTAATCTTTTCAATTGTCTCTCTTTAATTTTCCTGATCAGTAGACATATATGTCGATAGGATCATGTGGTAACATTCTTCTATATATAGATATAGTGGTTCATGCAAGTGCAACTCATCTAGATAATTCTTATCCTTACAGAAATGAAATTCATTTATTATTAGTAGTTATTATTATTATTATTATTATTATTATTATTTTACATCGCTATTCGGTCCAAGTTGGTTTTAGTTTAAGAAGAAAATCGAGATATTTTTGCTCTTGGAAACTCCAGTAAAAGAGCCCACAGATTTCAGTAGTGGATTTGATTAAATTATTAAATATATAGACGGAGAGACTTTAATATTTGCTACGTTATCTATTTTCCTCCTACCTTATCTTATATCTCGTATGATTTGATTACTAATATTGACGAGTTTTACAGAAACTAATCTATGGATTTGGATACCCTTAGCTTTCGTTGGAGTGACTTTAGTCCCTGGTTCCGAAAATATTTAGATAGACAAAACAATCCGAAATTTCTTTAAAACATAAACGATTATGACAAAGAAACATGACAAAACATAACATGATGTCGTAGTTTTGTCTTTTGGGGTAGAACGATCGAATGTCAAACGTAAAGAGTAGATAACCTTTGGAACAGCTTAAAAATGGAAAATTTTATCCAAAACACATTAACTACAATTGGTCCTTTTTTACTTCAATTACCAAATACTGCTAATCTATTCCGCTAAACTAGTCTCGTTTTTTTTATTTCTGTCCCAAGGAAGAAGAGGGGATATTAGCTGACACGTGTATGATACGTGGCAGACACATCATACATGAACTGGACATTATCTCCTTGAATTTCTTTAAAGCTATCTTCTATATATCCACTTGATGGAGGAAATTGTATTCTCGCTTTATACAAAGTTGAGGTTAGACGTCAAAAAGAAATCGAGGTCACGAAAAAAAACCAAAGTTAGCTAACAAAAGCTATTAAATTCAAGTGTCCGGTTAATGTTTTAGATTTGCGTTCGATGCGACTTAAAAAGCACCGGTTTGCATTGTGACCGGTTTAGACTATCTTTTAGAACTCAAAAAGATAACTTTTATGGTTCTTCCATGTTTTTGAATGATTTTTCTCTACAAATAAATGAAACGTAAAACTTTTCACATTTCAGACCCGAAATGGAACTGATTGCTTTCCTCGAACCAAGTAATATAGTGGGAAAAAGAAAACCAAAGATTCAAAAGCAAGAAACGAAGAAAACCTTGAGAAAGCAAAAAGAGAGTTGATTCAGAAAAGAGCTCTCGTTCCTGAAGATCTTGTTGGAAATAGAAATGGAAAAAGAAAATTCTCACAGCTAATAAGTAACGGTAGTAAATAGATTTCCAAAATTCCAAGAAACAAGATTATTACAGAACTCAGCTACAGTTTAATCAATGGAGGAAATACAAACTCTGGAATGTGAGTTGACTCGGAATGATGATGAAGTCTCAAAAGACTTATCCATTTGAGACTTCTATCGTCTCGCTCTATTACTAAATCCAAAAGACGGCGATGCACCCATATCGATTTTCAATCTATCTGAAGGTAAAAACTTTCGGGCTTCCATGTGCTTGAACATTCTTCTCGCATCTTTCTCAAACCCACCCATTTTCAATCCAGTTATAACTTTTTCAAACTCGTTAGGTCCCATTTGATCTTTCTTAGCTTCCAAGACCCCGAGAGCTTGTAGAGTCTTCTTCTCATTCCTGGCAATGGAATACATATAGCACAAGCTCACCTGGAGCTCAAATGGTGGAGCTTCTCCTAGCTGAGAGATCTTGACCAGAAGCTGCTCAGCTTCCTCGATGAGCCCGAGATTAGCCATCCAATCAACAAGAACTGTGTACGTGATCACACCGATTTCGATCCCATCTTTCTCAAGCTTCAGCAAAAGTCTCAGTGCTTTATCCAACGAGTTCTCTCCCTTATATGCTTTGACCATATTTGCAATGCACTTGTCATCGGGTTTGTGCCCACGCCTTCTCAGTAGTTCAAAGTTGGTTTTCGCTTGATCCACCTTCCCTGCTTTCGCGTATGCTTCCACAAGTAGACTGTATACTTCGAAACTCTGCGGATCCTTTGATGCAAGCTGCAACATAGAAACCCCTGCGACTCCATCGGCGTATCCCATTTGTGCAAAAGCTCGAAGCAGAGGCATGTAAACTTCTTCTGAACACTTTATGTCTCTTGCTTCCATGTCTCTCATCAACCTTTCAGCTAGTTTAGGCTTGCCGGCGTTTACATAGCCCATGATCAGGGATGTGTAGATCTTATTGTCTGGCCGTAAACCATAGCTCTTCAAGCTTTCAAATGCCTCGGTTGCACGCTCAAGGTTCCCTGATTTACTGTACATGTGAATCAATGCTGTGGCGGTTGAAATGTCAGGGAAGATCCCATTCTGAGACATTTTCTTTAGAACCCTCTCGACATCTTCAGTGTGGTTCTCTTTAGCATGGATATGTATGAGTTTTGAGTAGTCCGAGATACTTGCCTTGAACGATTTATCATCCAGGACAAGTTCTGCCACCTGTTGAAACATTACAAAACCAGCACCAATTCATCAAAACACAACGTGATTGCTCATCTTCCAAAGTTTGATAGATATATGCATATTCAAGTACCAATCATTTTGATAGAACAAACAACCTAAACTATCGAATTAAACAACAAAAGTTATCTTATTGAAAGAACTAAATCACTCAAATCACAGGACATAAAGGCCAGAAAATAGCCATAAATATACTAAGAAGCAATCCAATTAGCAATTTTAAAAGCTTTACTAGAACAGTTTACTCTGAAATCAGTCAAGAACCAACACTATAGGAGTATGCTATTTCCCTAAAACCATTATGCATCAACATTGATTGAATTATGAATTTCAGAAAGACGAATTTAGTGGAAGTAAACTAAAGGTCTTACCTTTGTGTATGCATAAGTGTTTGCTTCTCGCAACTGATTAAGTAAAGCAATCCAGTCCACACGTTGAGGCTCCAATAACTCAACCCATTCAGCAAGCAAGCCTGAGGGATCATCTCCTTCCTGCAGAGACTCGAGCTTCTCCATAACCAATTTGCATTTTCCAGTTACAGGTTTCGGCTCTCTCCAATCAGCTTCCTCCTCAGCTTCGTGGATCTTATCAGCTACTTCACTCCATTTTGAATCCGATAGTTCAAGCCCGTAGATCTTGTACTTGAACTTCCCCTTTCGTTTAGGAAGAGAGATACTCCGAGGTTGGGTTTCTTCTGAGGCCATAGCTCCCTCTTCTTCTTCTCCGTCGACTGTTTCGGATTCCGCTACTGAATTATCCAAATCGCGTTGCCGCTCTAAGCTCTCATAAAACTCGGCGTCTTCCATCTTCTCTCGTGCCCATTTGAATCTAAGTTCCCTAAGCAAATCCCCACGGATGCCGATTTCTCCAGCAAATCTACACATCTCCATCACTTCCGGAGATTGAACGTATTGCTTCATCTTCTCCTTCTTCCTCTCCTTCTCCATATCTTTCAACACTGTATTACTAACTTCCCAGATTGTACTCCATAGATCATCGCTGAACTCCGATGACGGCGAAGGTGGAGCTGATCCAACCTTGTTGAATCCGCCTCTTTCGATCTCCTCCACGACTTTTTGGACGATAAGCAGAAGCATTCCGTCAACCATCTTCTTGTCACAGTCTGGGTAAGCTTCAGAGACTTTGCCACGCATTATCCAAACGAATCGGGAGAGGAATTCGTTTGTGGTCCCATCTTCGTCGCCGTCATCTTCCTCCTGGTCATTCGAGTCGTCAATCTGGGAGGCGCTGGACTCACTGAGTCGGGACTCGCGAGTACAGTGGAAATATCGACTGAATGATGAAATGGGTCTAGGGATCTCGGCATTTTTGGATGGGGATAGTTCGTCATAGCTTCTCGGGTGCCCTTCAGAGTGAGAAATGGACGGTGTAATGGCGGAGAAGCTTCTGCAGAAAGTTGGGGTTTTTGCAGATAACAATGAAACACGATGGATCGCTTGCCGAGAGAGAAGGAGAGATTTCATCTTCTCCGAGGGGTTTAACGGAGATGAAGGTAGAACGAAAAATCTCGGTAAAACCCTATCCCTAGCTAAAAATTTTGAGTGGGGAAGGAACAAGTCAAGATCACAGAAATGGGACTCAAATTAGGGTTGCCTTGCCGTTCTCTTTTCGTTATTTGGTATTTGCGACGAAGAGCCCTCAATTTTATGAAAAATACTTAAGATACCCTGTACATCCTAATTTAAATTTTGACCCACATAGTTTTGATCCCGTATCAAATTTTACATGACATATTTTTTTCATGACATATTTATACTATTTTTTAACATATTAATTACCAATTCTTACATAATTATTTGAATCAGTCTTGTTTATTTATTTCACTTTTGTAAACCAAAAAAAAAAAGAATAATTCTTGGCTATAAGTATTAAGATGAGAAAAATACAACTATGATAAGAATCAATGCAGAGATAGGGATAATTGGAATTTTATCCCAAAGGAGATGATAATATCCCTTATGCTATTATTCCCTTTTCAGCAAATTATAAGTGGCTCTTATTGAAAAGGTTGTCGTCCAAACTTGGTTTCCTCCATCATCATCACACGAGATAAGTTATTAGATTCAAAGTGCCCAAGAGTTTCGATCCATCTCCTTCAAATTATTATTTGTCTATACATGTAACATATATACAACAAATGAAAAAAATATTATCAAAAATCTCTATATTGAAATTTGGTATACAAGATGACATATCGAACCCGTAATTCGATCTCTAAAATTTGTGCATCAACCCATTTTTCATTTTCTTTTCACATTAAACCATTATTAAAACTATTTATAATGCGAATAAGCTATTGAAATTCATCGTATCAACCCATTTTTATTACATTATAGCTAAAGTGAATCTGATTCATTGGAGTATAGAAGACGGGATGGGATCTTACTTGTCCAGTCTTATTTTTTCTGGATACCACTGCCTTGATTCTTTTTTTTTTTTTTTAGTTTTCAATGATTACGTTATGGCACACTATAGTTACTGATTCATTCCGATGACTAATGAATAATGAAACAACATTATATTAATCCGAATTTTCGTTTGAAACAGCATTATATTCATCTGAATTTGCGTTTAGGACGATATATATTCTGACTATAGAAAGTTCAAAACATAAATATTTGAATCAAATAACGTTTTCATAGAGTTCAACATATAATTATGAAACGTTAAATCAAATAATTTAATAGATAAATGAAGTTTTTATCTAGAAATTATCAGTTAAAAAGGAATTTCGTTTAAATGAAAGTATGATGAATGATAATATGAATATTTTTGAATTTTATAAAAACTGTAGTATATCTCTAATCATAGCCATTTTTGTTCTATTTATCTAAAGTTGTTTTACAAATGAACATTTTACAAAATAAAAACCGCAGAAAAAGTTGCCAATTTCAAATTTTATTAGAACTATTTATATGAACGGTTGACTTCTCAATACTATTATCCCAGAAAACCATATGGACCCAAAAAAACGTAGACCCATAAGAGCATTATACTCTTTATTTTGATATAGATATAACCTGAAAAAAAAAAAGGATAAATACTACAACTTGCGGAATCTATCAACTCTCTTTTTCCTCCATATAAGGAGCCTATCTTGGTATTCGTTTGTATTCGTAACTTAGCATCGATCCCTTTTGTTTCTCGTATATTGTTTTTCTCAGTATATAAATCTTACACTTTTTTTCCAAAAGAAGTTAAAAAGATACATAAAATGGCCTCAAGCTCTATGAGCTCGAGCTCATCTTGGACGTCTAAGCAGAACAAGATGTTTGAGAGGGCTTTAGCCGTTTACGATAAAGATACTCCAGACCGTTGGCAAAACGTGGCCAGAGCCGTCGGAAGTAAATCGGCCGACGAAGTCAAACGCCATTACGACATCCTCGTTGAAGATCTCATGAACATCGAACAAGACTTAGTCCCGTTGCCTAAATACAAAACCGTCGATGTTGGAAGTAAATCAAGAGGCATCAATGATTATAATTTGAGGTAGATTTATCTTTTTGGCCTTCTATAACAAATCTCTTAGAATTTGTGATCGCTGAGTTGTGCATTTTATTATGGCTAAGGCCAAATCTTTAGAATCTACATTCGTTTTGCCATCTCTATTATATATAATTAACTTGAAATATGTTTAGTGAAAATCGTTTCAAATTTTAATAATTTTTGGATTAATATGACTTTACTTTTACTAATATGAATTAGTTTTTGTGGTAAACATATACTCCATATACAGTATTATTAATATTAGTGATGAACGTTATTGGATTACATAATAATAAAATAGTAGTTACAATAATAAGAAACATGCAACAACACGCGCCATCCCTTCTATTTCCGGCATTCTCATTAAAGGGAAAGGAGTCACATGAAATCTAATCCTTCTTGTACATCATCACATGCACATTGTCCTCCATTTTGAATCTTATACATGCATGATAAGATGTTATGTATAAATCTATTTTAGATTATTAGTTGATGGTCAGATACGCGGGTATATAAATATACAAAAGTGATTCTAATTTTGCACTGGTCGGTGATCAAGAACAGGTTTTATTTTAGTGTCAAGTTGTTTATTGAGCAAAACTAGAGTTCGAGAAAGTTTTAATTAATTATATTAATCCTTAGGCTCTCTAACTTCTGATCATTAGAGAAACAATAGGAATCAAAAACAAAAAAATGAACGAATATCAACAAAATAAGGAGAGGAAATGAAATGTATAAAGAAAGAGAAATAAATATTTTTTTTGTTTCTCTTCAAATTTCATAAAGAATACTTTTGTTGTATAATTTCGTTTAGAATAAGCAATGATAAAGAATGATATGGAAAAAAAAACATTACTAGTAAATGGTAAATAATTTAAGGAATGAAGATGATTTCATTATTTCTCCTTATTCATTTGGTCACCCAATAAAGCATGTATTGTTTTATTCTAAATTACTCTATTATCTGTTGGACAGGTTAATTAAGAATATGAGAATCCAGTGAAGAGGATCCGGTGAAGTCTGTTACATTGATATGAAGATTTCTATGTATGTATACGTTTCTTCTTGCCTAATGCTTGTCGATGAGAGTATCGTTCCTTTTTCACTGTCGTCTACTTCTTTATTCTGCTTAATCTTATTTCGTATCGAATGTAGCAATTGTGGGCTTTTTTTTGCGTGTGTGTTTGATTATTATTGATCTCTCAATTTTGTTTTGATGGTTTTAGTTACTACATATAATTATTACGATTATAAAATTCAAAAGAATACGAATATATATCACAATGTGGACCTAAAAAACGGATACGAAACGTCGAAACCATAAACCTGTTGTTTAATTTGGAACTCGCATGAAACTATCCACCTCACGGTGTACTATTTTTGGCGTAACCGTCATTAACGGTGGATCGTTACACCGTTATATAAAACCAAACTAATTTTTTGTTTTTCCTCCTTCGCATATAAATTAGGACCATTTAAATTTAAAACCCAATAAAGCACGACAAAAAACGCAAAAATCGCATAACTTATATATAGACAGCTCGAATCATTTGATTACTTCTAGTTTTAAAATTATCATTTTGTTTCAATAAAAAAAAAAAAAAAAAGTTTGTTGGAGATCGGATGGCGAAAATATCAGTGGCTGTGGTGTTGTCGGTGATGCTACTTGTCTCGATAAACTCGGTGGAGATTTTGGCAGAGGAGCAGCCGACGGTTGGGCAGAGGATAGACACCGCCGTGACGGGAGCCACCGATGCTTTCAATGAACACGGAGGCTCAGATGCCGTCGACGCCGTAACCTCCACAGCAAAATCCGTTTATGGATGGTTCGGTGATAAAGCCAAGTATGTCTAAATAATATTTCTAAATTGTTTTGGAATGATAAGATTGTTGATATTTGATCTATTTCCACATTCCGTAGTTCTTATTTCGATTTGTTTTTTGGAATACATACATCATCACATTACACAAACATGATTTTATATTATATACTAACACGATGGTAATGCTGTGATTTTAGATAAAAAGAACAGAGAAAATGGGTAATTTTAATTCTTAACAAAATCAATGCCTCTATCTGTTAAAACATTATACGATCTGAAATCTGAATATTTATAGGGGAGAACAAACAAACATTATATAGTATATGATTTTGTTCCAATATTTTTCTAATTTCAATAATCACTTCTTAACATATATATACATACTTTCTTTTCCTTTGTAGGGAATTGGGAAGCCACTTCTAAAAGGAGGAATACGTAAAGAGTGTGCATGTTTATATACCCAAAAAGAGCTGGAATCAAAACCTCAACCTCTCTGTTATTGATTTTAATTATTTAGTCTTCAATGCATAGATATCTATATATGTATATGTACCCAATGTCATTAAACAAAATGCATGAGCTCGATTATCCCTCTAATCACAACGTAAATAATTTCCTCAACTAATCTCTGATGCGTCGTCAATGTAAAATCATTATTGGTGTGTTTCACATCAATTTATGTTATACCTAATCGGCCCATTTATGACGACCGAAAACCCAGGCCCATTTATATGTTCATCAACAAGGGTCTAGACCAAAATGATTGTGTGTTGGTGGATGCACCCAAAAGCTCAACCGTACAAGTTATCGACCACTTAATCTCATGGTTCAGACGTTGCCACGTAAAGATCCAATAAGAGCATTACACGTGGCATGATCTGAGCTCCTCAAACCGACCTTCACCTTAAACTCTGCGCCTCTTCCCAGAGTTCTGAGATAGCGGTCCCAAATCTCGGCTTCGCACGCACGCCTCAGCCGGCACGTGCCGTCTTTGCTGACTTGGTGTAAAGCGAGACGTGGCGGGCACAGATACATGGGCTATAGTTAAGCAACCAATTGTAGGCGATGAGCTGGCTTGACACGTGTCGATTTCTCACCATCGGTGGGCTCCTCTGGCATTTCCCTCTCTCCCTTTCTCGCTCTTCACAACTAGTCCTTTGAGGAGTTACAGTTTCTCTCTCTCTCTCTCTCAGTTTTTTTTTTTTTTCTTTCTTCTGGTGCTTTTTTTTTTTTTCAAAATCTTTTGTTTGAATTTTTTTGGTTTCTAATTTGATGGAGTTGGAGCCTATTTCGAGCTGTTGCTCATCGTCGTCTCCATCGGTTCCGTCCTCTTCCTCGTCTGGGGAAGATGCGGCGAACATGACGGAGCTGGAGGCGGCAGAGGCATTGGCGGATTTGGCGCAGCTCGCGATAATGCGAGAGCAGGTTTTCGAATCCGCGGCGAGCTGGGGGAGTAAAGGGAAACGAGTGAGGAAACGAGTCAAGACCGAGTCTCCTCCATGTGACTCGCGCCTGAAACCGGCTGACACCGAAACATTACCTACTCCGGATCTCGCTGAGGTCCCGTCTCTTCGCTTTCCCTTTGCTTGACTGTTTTCAAATATTTTCGGATTCTGACTTTCCCTTGCTTCTGTATTTAGAAAGTGCGAAACTACTATATATATCGTGTGTTTTAGATCCAAATAATCGAATTCGAATAGCCAGAAAATAGTGTTACGGGTTAGTGATTAGGATTCCTAGTGATTACACTTGTTAGCTAGAGAACATGATACAATCAATGATGTCATAATCCTAATATGATTTATCTGCTAGTTAAGCTACTAAAGAAGTTTCTGTAGCAGGAACGAGCAGTGAAAGAAGAAGAGGAAGAAGTTCAACCAATTAGTAGAGAACTAACTAAAGTTCCGGTTAAAACCGAAATAAATGGTGAGACACCTAAACCAAATCTTGCTTCAACACTAAGGTGTAGTAGATCAAGTGGTTGTGGCCGTTCAAGGCAGAATTTAAGCGAGGTATTATCATAACAAGTCCCAAAGTTTTCTCTTTTTATTTCCTTTTGCGACTCTTTTTTTACTGGGAACTTACGATGCTTCTGCTACTACTCTCTCTCTAGGCTGAAAGAGAAGAACGTAGAATCCGAAGAATATTAGCTAACAGAGAATCTGCTCGGCAGACAATTCGACGAAGACAGGTATATATTTTAATTTATACTGTATATTGGGGTTGGCATAATGATGACGGTTATACTTAGTTCTTTCACAAGTTTCTTAATAAGTATATGTTCCTTGTTTATCCAGGCAATGTGCGAGGAGTTGAGTAAAAAAGCAGCCGATCTGACATATGAGAATGAGAATCTAAGGAAGGTAAGTAAATAATTGGATTTTCACATTTGCCAAGCAACAGTGTGTTCTTGTATGACCCGTTGTGTGAGCTAATGACCACATTTCTGCTGGCAGGAAAAGGATTGGGCCTTGAAAGAGTTCCAGTCATTGGAGACGATTAACAAGCATTTAAAAGAACAGGTTACTACATATATCAATCACCATATCAGTATCAGGAGCACTATTGATCCCACTGTCATATCTCATGATGTGGTAATTGTTTTTTTACAGGTATCGAAGTCAGTAAAACCCGATACAAAAGAAACGCCCAAGCCATCTCAAGTTGAGATGTCTGCATCACCTGCTCCGTTTTACTTCTACAACCAGAATCCGTACCAGCTTTTCTGCTGGCCCCCTGTTACTCAATCCTCGAATCCGATGATATCACCGCCCGAAACCAGAAACGGCTTCGCGGCACCGTTCGCCACCTCCGGAGGAGCTTCTGCTAAAACCATGACCACCTCGCAGGAGCATGAAAATCCTGCAGATGATAACGGGCCGAAAACTCATTTTTACGTCGTGCCATGCCCTTGGTTTCTCCCTGCTCCTGATCAGAGCAACGGTGTCCCCTTCGCGTTCCAAGATCCACAAAGAGTTGTTTCTTCGAACGGTCACCATATTGATGATTCCTCTGCGAAACTCGTTGAGGTCACAAAGACTCTGCGGTCTCATTTACCGGCTAGAATCAAAGAAGAGGACTCCGGTTCGACGGAGACAAGACCCTTGTATGATCTCAACGAATCTGCAACTGAAGTCCTCTCAGAAGCTGGGGATGGTGTTCCTGCAACACAACAAGGTCACAGTTTGAAGCATGAAGATATTTCTGACTCAACTAATGGAGCCACGCCGATGCCGCCTGGTCACCATGTTTTGATTTCTCTACCGGGGAAAAAGCAAGGCTCTTTGGCCGCAGCGGAAGCCAGAAAGAGACGGAAGGAACTCACGAGGCTCAAGAGCCTCCATGGCCGTCAATGTCGGATGCAAGTATGACGACATTACAACAATTAGATTCATCATCTTTACCAGTTGCCAACACACTAAAAGGTACTACTACTACGTCATGATTCCCTTTGTTTTTGTCCGGGGCATTTTCAGATTGTTTCGGATTCTCTTTATCAAACACCAAAGTCAGAGAGAGTGATACTCATCCAACCAACAAAATTGGATTATTATTATACTCATCCAAGATTAGTGTTCGAGAGTTTTGTTTTATTTTACAAGGAAGAGCATATGTTGTACCATTATGTAAGATTTAGGTTTAAAAATGCCATTTTGTAAGATCATCCGGATTCTGTTTGCTTCTCTCACCTGAAGCTTCAGTTCTATAACATGTTTTCAGGGTTTGTTCCCTTTTTTTTTGGCGACAGAATCAAAAAGGTTTTGGAAGTTGGATTAAATCAAAGCTTCTATATATACTATTACAGGAAGATTCTATATTTTATTTATTCTGGTCAAATAAAATGATATAGATATTAAAAGTACCGAAGATTCTACACATTCATCTCTGAGGTCTCCAGTTTTGTTTAGCGACCGAAGCAGATGCAGCAATCTCTTGACACCGAACGATCCCAGCAGCTCCGCCATAACACAACCATCTCTCACTTCCTTTATTCATGTTCCACCTCACTCTGTGCATCGCCACCATTTTAGGCGGGAACCCTTCCGCTTTCACTCCGCTGCTACCGTTGCTTGCTTCCTTTCTTCTTCCTTCTTCTTCATCGTTGCCACTTTCTTTAACACAGACCAATGCCCCTCTGTACTCGTCCTCCTCTGTTGTCTTACTCTTTCCTTTCTTTGCCTTTGATTTTGATGCTTTGTTGTTAGTCCCCTCGGTTTCAGACTCTAACCCTGGATCCTCGTTGTTTGCTAAAGCTGCGAAAGTGTAAGAAGTTAGTTCATCAGTAAAATCAAAAACCAGTGCGAGATAAGGACTGAGGTGCTCAGGGTATTAACATCTATCATAGAGTGTTCAACTGACCTAGAGGCTGAACATCTGAAACCGGAGATGCGTATCGGTTAGGAGATTCATTCAAGAGACTTCGAAGGCATCTCTGTTTCTCACCGGTCTCGCTAACCGGTTTTTTCAAGATGATCGGTATGTCAGGTACTGGACTATGCACTATAAAAGTGGAATCATTCATTGTCAATCGTCCACAGTGGTAATGCGGAGTCCGATTTCTCGAGTCTTTTTCCACTGATTTGGTCGTAAGCTGTAATCCAGACAAAGACAAAAAGAGAAATCTTTAAAATTACAAAACTGAAGAGATGAAGTAATAATGCAGTGAAAAATCAATGACATTATAAAACAGACCTGGAAATGGAAAGTGGACCCATCGGCAGTGCAATAAGCTGCCATGCCTGATGAAGAGATTCAGTAAATGGTGTAATAAGTTAAAAAGAGTTTTAATTCTTGAGATAATGTGTTGCGGTGACTTTGTTTATGATGATGATTGTGAACAATAGCTAAAGAAGCTTTACCTGTTAGCCGTGATACTTGAATACTCCAGATGGGGAAAGATGAACAGTTATAAACGCTTAAGCCTTGCTGTTTTGTGTTAGGATAAGGCTTTCCGGTTGCGGGAACATCGTACGCAACCTTCACCAAGCTAAGGATTCTTATTGTTCCATCGTCAAAGGACAATAAGACGCATCTGAAGAAATTTGAAACACGAAGTTGGTTTAATCAGGACTTCAGACAGATTAATCTAAAGACTGTAATCAAGCTTAGCATATAGAAACAGTTACTACTTTGGGTCTGGTAACCAGTCGAGGCTGTAAATAAATCTTGGTACCGGGTGCAAATCCCATAAAGGACGGAATGGATCACTGCGGAAAAACCATAGAAAGCAAGCAATCAGTTATGGTATGAAATAACGCAAAAGAAATTCTAAAGAGGACTGTCTTGTGTATTGATTAGATCACCATCGAAGTTTAAAGAAAATAAACTAATGAAGTGTACCGTAAGTCCCAAAACTTCAGACCTCCATGTCCAGCGGTAGCTATTACGTTTGCACTTTCCGCATCACTGGATTTTTTCAGAAATTAATATAGTTAATAAGTGAATCCTCTCACCGAAGATTGTGTAGCGGTAGTTTGAAGTCCAAACCAAAAAAAAAAGGTTTTGTGTTATCCTATTCGCTTCTCCAAACTTGAGAACAAAGACTAAATAAAAGCTGAAAACAAACAAAGAGACTAACTGGCAAAATCTCATTAGCGGATAAAACAGGAAATTTGTGATTCAGTTTATCGTAAATGAAACGGGTGCCCCTTAACTAGTGTTCCGTTAGAATTATATATGCCCACTTAGACTCCAACTAAATGAAAACAAAAACAGAAAAGGAGAAATACTGATGTTTATGGATGTAACTTCATGTCACTGACCTTTCACAAGGAGCCCATGCAACTGCCCTAATAGGAGCTGTATCTGCGCTGAAGAAAAGTAAAGGTCTTGTATCTGCACAGAAGAAAAAATTAAAAGCAAATGTGAAATAAACAGATCACTCTCTAGCCATAGTGTGGAAACAAACAATCTGACATAGGGAAAAGCATGTCAGGTTGTAATACCTTCGGAAGATTTTGTTTTAGAAAATTTCCAGAGAGCAACCTGATGCAAGATAACAAAACAAACAGAGTCAAAGCAATTAAGCATTGCCATTCTTCTTCCTGAGTACATTTACAAATCTGAAAGAAAAAGGACATAAAAAAATCACGGAGATGATGAAGAAAGTGAATATTACCGTGCCATCGTGGCAACCAGCGAGTAAGAAATCAGGGTTCCCAAAAGTCGACCATTCAACTGTTAAGGGAATACTGTACGACAGAGACAGATATTGAGGAAGTATCAAAAAGAAACGTGAAAAATAAGTTATATGCTGGGTTTTTTTTCCCCATTTCGATATGTACTAACCTCTGCGCATCACCACACTTCAAGTTTGAACATTTGAAAACGGGAGCCAGTTTCACAAAACGAGGATCAGTCTTTTCTTTCTTTGCAGATAAATATACAGCTGAAATGGCCTGAGGCATTGGAACATCCCACCTGCGTAAGGTTGAACATCAATTTGCAGGCTAGTAAAACTGCTACATTATTGCATATTGTAAATATGATTACAGAAACTAAATTCTCATAATAAATGAAACCCAATATCTCAATACGGTTGAAAACAAAGACAATGCGGTGATGGAAAATCAAATCAAACGGAGAAAATCGTGTAAGAAGTAGCTGACTTACACTTCCAAAGATCCATTTCCCAGCAAGACAGCTAAATATCCCATTCTGTGCTTATTACGAGAATTATCTGCATATAAGGGACGCCATTTCATATCCCAGGCAACTTTTCCATTGTGGGCCAGGCATAAGACAACCCTTGGAAGAGCAATGTCTTCAGATATATCTGAGGATGGTTCGCCTGCTACGTTTCCGACAGCTTCACTATCTTCTGATAGCACGGGTTTGCAAGTTTCTTCAGCACGTTGGGTTTTCTGTCTCTTTCTCCGTACGGGAAGTTTGATATTTGCATTTTCTGAAGACAACACTAGTTCTGAGCTTTCATTGTTGATATTAGTTTCCGTTACTGAAGTTTCTCCTAGAATCCGAAGAGGAGTTGCGGGAACAACTGAATCTTCTGGATACCGAACAGACAAAGCTTCAACGTAGAGAACGTCACCATCAAGATCAATAGGAAGCTCACTAGTACTCTTCTTTCTAGGTCTTCCTCTTGGTTTCTTAGGCTCTGTTGTCTCTACCGCCGGATGCTTTCTGGGCCTGCCTCTCGTTTTTTTAGGTTCTGTTTTATTAGTAGTTTCGTCGGATGGTTTCTTTTGAGACTTTCCCGTCAACTTCTGATTCTTCCCTGATGTATGGGCGCTTTTTTTTTCACATGTTCTGTTTATAACGCACCATATCTGAATAAGTCCTCTACCTGAAAGCCGAACGCCTATCTTGTGACTGTATGATTCAGGCGGATGAGTAGCCACAGCCATAAACTGCAACAATAATAAATTCATAACAATGAATACCTGAGATTTCATTTTCTATCAAGTACCAAAAACAGAAAAAATATGACCTAATAATCACCTCACATTTTGCTTGAGCATCTGGATTTCCATGAACTCTGGGACACCACTCCAATGCCCAAACAGAACCTCCAACATGCATAACAAAATCCTTGCTGCAGAGGTCAATAAAATCATCACATAAACGATCATGACTAGTAAAACTCTCCTCGATAATTGAAAAAAAAGGACAAGAGCAGAGAGATTTATAGACAAACAAGCACCAATTAATTTAATCACTAAAGTCCGTAAATGATTTTCATAAAATTTGCACATGAGAATTAGCAAACTTGTGACTTTAAAGTCATCAAACGGGGAAAACATATGATCATCTCCCATCGTCAAGATTAATTGTACGTTCTTCTCTAATTCCAAATGATGCAAGATTTTAGCTACCTAGCAGAGCCCCTAGCAAAAATTTAAATGATTACAGGCCATATTAAATTGGATTATCACCTTGGTTCACCAAATGATGATGATTCATCGTCATATATCTTAACCTACACAAAGAATAAAAAAAACCGATATCCTTGAAGCGATTTAAGAAGCGAATGGATTGTAAGATTCAATGTCGAAAATAATCTTTTAGTGTAAAGATATGACACACCTTAGGAGCTCGTGCTGAAGAAAACTGAGGCAAAGTTTGCCTGTTGAAATCCTTTGGTCCACTGCTTTTTACATCCTCGTTATAGAATCCAAAAGATTTTGGTTCATAATTAAAATGCCTCCATTCCCTAAACATTTTTTTTCCCGCAGGTGAGATTAGATTAGTGAGTATCAAAACCAACGAGTAGGAGTTGTGGAACCTAATCTATTAACAATGTAATTCAAAATCAAATACAGAAGTTGCAAAAGATCTTTAACCACAGTATATAAACAGTAGTACTAAACCAACATAACGTATAGATGAATACAAAATAATTGACTCTTAGACTCACCTCAAGAGTGTAGCTGATGATGATAGTCTCTCGATATCAGACTCGTCGATATCAGTACCAGCTTCACCGCAGAGAACACTGATCGATTCCACTGCCTTTAAATGACTCTCAACAGAATAATCAAACAGTGATATTTTACATTCTTCTTCACCACTTCCTGAAGGCTCTCCTTCATTCATTGATCCGTTTTTTGGGAGTTCAGATTTCTTCCTGGAGCATTAAGTAGGAATCACCAATTAGTACGAAGCAGCAAGTAAATGCTGAGCACATAGATCGCCGGAGGTTTTTCAATTTTCGACAAAGTAGATACAGAGAAGAGCTATGGTTTAAAAGCTTAGCAGCAATCAAATTGCAGCTAAGGAATCTGGAATTTCGAAAAGAGGAGATCTATGAAAGAAGGGCCGAGGGAAAAGAAAGAAAAAACTCACCGGCGACAAGAGCGACGGTTGCGGCGAAGGCGGGCACAACCCTTGGATACTTTTTCCTCCCGTCCACAGATCGAATTGTGACTACTGAAATTTAGTACTTAAAAGTTACTAGATTTTTTAATTAGAGAGATTTGGGCCACATTTTAATTAGAGTTTGGGGCGTTAATGGGTCTCTATCCCGCCCAAAAATCTGATCAATTAACAAAACCCTGATTAATCCGCGAACGCAGTTACACAGGTAACATTTTGGAATGGTGGAATGGTGGAAAAATCCAAAAACGCAATAATTTTGCCAATCAAAAACACCTGCAGAAAAACGCAAAAACACAAGATCTGCAGAATTGCGTTTTTACTTACAGAAAATACAAAGAAATCTTCATTAAGCGGAAAAGTGTGTTTGGAATAGATTATTTGCAGAATCAATGTTTATATTATTCAATTATATAAATAATTATATTTTATTATTTAAATAAATACAAATAAATAATTTAGTGTTATAAAAAATTATTTAATGATAAAATTATATCTATTATTTAAGGTTTACAATATTTTTTATTTTGAAAAACAAATTATTAACAAGTTACAATTAGAATTATATCATTTTATAATAATTGATTGAATTATTAATATTTTATTTTTTATAATATATATTAAAAGCAGAATATTTTCAATAAGTATATTCTGTAATTCCGCAATTCTGCAATAATTTATCCAATCGTAAAAAAAGTTTCACAATTCCGCAATAAATTATTCCACAATTCATTTTTTCCGCCATTCCGCAATTTCGCGATATAAAAAATGTGTTACCAATCGGAGTAATTTAAATTCAACAGATGAAACCAAGTAAATTTAACAGCAGTAATTTGCTGCGGTTCATTAAACCATCAGTGACGACGATTTAACAAAGGGTTTGAATGGTATGCAGTTTTTTCACATTTTCACGTTTTGGAAACTTGATTCTGTTATTTTTTATCATTCATGTTATTCATCACGTTTTCACATTTTTTTATGTTTTTGAAACGTGATTCCGCTAGCGTGTTAAAAATATAACTAAAAAAACAAAACGTGATTAATCTACTAAAAGTAGCTTTTCAGCGTTTCACAATTATTCAGCTAAAATATTATTCAGTTCAGTTCATTCCGCTAGTAATTTTTCAGTTATTCCGCCATTATGTTATTCATCTGACATACCAGTCAGACCCTTTGTTTTTTTTTAGTTATATTTTTAACACGCTAGCGGAATCACGTTTCAAAAATATAAAAAAACGTGAAAACGTGAAAACGTGATAAATAACATGAATGGTAAAAAATAACAGAATCAAGTTTCCAAAACGTGAAAACGTGAAAAAACTGCATACTATTCAAACCCAAAACATGATTAATCTACTAAAAGTAGCTTTTCAGCGTTTCAGAATTATTCAGCTAAAATATTATTCAGTTCAGTTCATTCCGCTAATAATTTTTCAGTTATTCCGCTATTCTGTTATTCATCTGACATACCAATCAGACCCAAAGTGAAAATAAATGTCGATGTTACATATACGACGTCGCTTAACTACCAGTTTTCGTGAGTTTTTCTGCAATTTCGCTCGATATTTTGTTAGCGATGAATCAGACAGTTAGGAATGAGTAAGGGGTGAGATACAGACATGTGGTGCTGTATTAACATAAAGAATAAGGAAGCTCCGTCAAGAATATTGAAGAAATCCTTGTCAATGTCATTAGCTACTCTTTAAGTCTTAACATTACAGACTCTATGACTCAACTAAGATCATCATATTCCCTGGTCTTTCAGCTTGTGTCTCAAGGAACCCAGCCTAAAAAGAAGCTCCTTTTATTTTTTTTCTCCCACACTTTTTTACTAGACATTCGCCGAAGACCGGAACAAAAACTCCCCATAAGCCATCAGAGCATCCAGCTACGATTGTCCCCAAGCCCTGTGAAGGATCATAGAACGGCAATTAGACAAATTAGCGTATAAACATAGTATGTTACATCGTATATTGGTACATCGTGCTTCTTGAAATGGGTCAATCCCGAAAATTTAATCCCGACCAAACCTCAGAAATTGCGCATGGAGAGAAAGCAAGAAAAAAAAGATTTAAACCATGATTAATTGAAAAACAGTCTCATTGCCCATTAGACGGATATGTTGGAACATCACTCCTTTCAAGCAACTACTTTTTCTTACACATGACATGTAAGCTTATTCGTCAGTCTACTATTTACCTAAATGTAAACAACTAAACATTAAGCCTACTCTCGGAGCAGCAGTATATCAACCATTCCACAAATATTATTGGACAGAGCACAGATACTAATCTGAAGATTTACGAACTAAACAAATTAGCTCGCCTTCGCAGCAAGTAATAGCGGTCGCATGATCTATCTACCTAGCTTAATCACAAACTTGCTCACCTTTAAACAAAAAAAACGAAGGCTAAGTCAAGCTATACCGGATACTGAACACACTAAGAGGATCCAGAAGCTGTTGTTGTTGCTGCTGCTGCTGCTGATCTTGTTGAATGTCTTCCAATGGCGGCAACGACATAGCAGCAGCTCGGGCTGCAACAGTACCCGTTGATGTGCCCTTAGCTTCGATGAGCCGCCACATGTACCACGAAGCCACTGACCTGTACGGTCGCCACTTGACACAAAGCTGCTCCATCTGCGACGGCCGAGGCAGGTCCTCTAAGTTATACAGCATCTGCACGCCTTTCCTGACTCCGAGATCGTTCACCGGCAACACATCTGGTCTGTGAAGGGAGTTTATCATGAACATATGAACGGACCACGACCCGATCCCGTTGACCATTGTTAGCATCGTGAACAGAGACTTATCATCCATGTTCACAATTGCGGAATCCGACAAGATTCCGTTTTCATACTTTCTCGCGAGGTCGTGGAGGTAGCTCGCCTTCCGTCCCGATACGCCTATCTGACGAAGCTGCTGAGGGTTCAAGGCAAGGACGGTCTCGGGGACGACGGAGTGCTCGCCGCCGCAGAGAGCAATGAATCGTGTGTAGACGGAGTTTCCGGCTTTCGAGGCAAGTTGTTGGTAGAGGATGTTGCGTATCAGCGCCAGAAACGGAGTCGCGAAGGACTCTAAAGTCGGCGGCAGGTAAACGTCGATTAACGCGGCGAGCAATGGATCCGCATTCCGGAGATGGTGAATCGCCGCCTCGAGCTCGCCTTCGCATGTGAGAGGCCGAGCCTGGATTCTCGGCACGGTTATAGCGCGTGGTTGCGGCAGTTTATTCTTAGCGGCGGGTTTCCCGGACATCGTGAGCGGCGAGGTTGTCTCGGAGGGGATTTCATCAGCCTTACAGTCTTCCCCGCCGGCGTCACCGTCGATTGTAAGCTTCCGGATTTTCCGAGGACGGAGGGGGATTTTGGAAGGAGGAGACGACACATTGCCTAATTGTGTGATCCGTTGGGCGTCGATGGTGGTGGATGAAACGATAGCACCGGAAACTCCGGCTGAGTGGAAACCTACATCGCTGGATTCCGGCGGAATTAGGTTATGAGTTTCGGGTTGAGGCGATTGTGGTCGACTTTGGAGATGAGTCGACGGTTGAGAAGGGAATTGTTCGCCCATGTGGAAATCAAAATCAGAAGGATCAAGTTAGGGTTTTGAATCACTCCAGAAACAGAGAACGAACACCTAATCGGAGAACGGCTACGGCCGAGAATTTATCTACTTCTCCTGCTTCTCCACTTCTGCTCCGACGCTGTATATCTTTCCTAACGCGCCTTTGACGAGAGTAGTCTTCACGCTCCGATGGCCAATAGATGTGGTCCTAGTTTTAGGCCAACATTTCTGGGCTCTTTTAAAGCCCAAATAAGATTCTTTAAAGTGTTTAAGAGTTCAAATTAAGCCCAAAAGTCCAACGATAAGTCTTGTCTATTCACACACATTACAATGTTAATGGTACACCAACTGAATAAAGTTATCATGTGACTGAATAATACAAAAACAGTACTATAATCGTTAATTTTCATTTTACGTAGATAATGTATTGAAACTGTTTTTCAAATTAAAAATAGAGACTGTTATGAAATAAAGGGCATTGTCGACTGGAAAAATTCCAACTAAGCAGAGTGGGGACAATGAAACGGAAACGCTTGTGTCGGGATCCGGAAACGTGAACAGAGAACATAAGCACTTACACGTGACAGACGAGAACGAGACAATCAGACAACCACCAATGAGAATATACGAATCTACATTTAGTGGTCACCAAAATATTATTATTATATTTATATGTTACGCGATGAATCACAACCTATGAATCATAACTTATGATTCATATCATAACTCCAATAAAGACGTGTTTGGTGTGATATCTACTGTCTTCTTTTGTCGTGGCCTCATCGACCTAATTAGATTTCTCTCGATTTAGAACTTATTCAAAAAGTTACATCTTCGATAATAAAACTTCGTGTAACTATATAATTTGTCAGATTTTGTGACCTTAATTATGCATGTCTTGATACATCACTGTTTCCGTTGATATTAGTAAGTTACTTAATTGTTTTTGTAAATGCATTTGAAAAATATACTATAGTTATAAATTTTTGTTAACGTATTAAAATCAGGTTGCCACACAAGAAATATAAAGCTTTTTGGAAACACTGAAATAACATGTCGTTTTTTCTAATAAAGGATAACATGTCGTTATCTCGAAGGTTTTGAATATTGGAAAATGTAAATAATGTTGTGTCTTGTCTAAATAAATGTATTGATCTACAGTATTTGAAAATATTAACAACCATATATTTTTCATATACTAGAAAACAAATATCATTATTCGAGCTTATCTAAAATAATATCACTTGCATGTTCTAGTTTTTTGTTCTTTTAAATAGTGTTATTTTTTTTTTCGTTAAAACAAGTATTTAGTTAAACTTTCACTACAATCATTATTCTGCTTTAAAATATTTATTGCTACTACAACAAAAAAATCTTCGAAAAAGATGGTTTACCCGAAGAAAAAATATTAAAAAAAAACACAGTTAGTGGCACTGCGGCGATTGTTTAACAATTTCAATAAGTGAGACGAATTTTTGATAAATAAATTAAAGTGTGCAGTAGAACGAACTCTATAGTACCAAGACTAATTAAATTATTAGTGGTCGTATACGTGAACATGCGTCAATGATTCAATAAATCTATGCCAAAAAATCAATAATTCATTGCGATTATTATTATTAGATAAAAACTTCTAGTGGATCGTATATTTGTATAACATAATCATTTTTTTCGAGAAATCTATTAAATTGAACTGTTTGTAGATAAAAGATTATTGTTTTTATTTGTCGACAGACAAAAAAACAAACAGATCCCCTTGCGATTATTTCTAATTCTGAATTCAATAAATGGTTTTTTAAGGAGACGCGTCTGTGAGGTGGAAAACTCCGAAACAGTCTGCGTCTATCCACGCATTGGCTCAAACTCATGATGGATTTTTAACAAAACAACAAAAGATCATCGTTCGAACTTTTATCCGAGTTTTTTCCCCTTCATAAATTCCTCCAAATCAAATATTCCTAAGATCCTACGAAGCCAGAAGAAAGCTCAATCTGTATATTTTTCTGGCATTTTTTTCCCAGTTTTAGGATCGACGACATTCTCCCTCCTTAAAAAGCTTTTTGTTTCTCTGTAGATTACAATTTCTGTATAGGTTTAGAAGAAGAAAAAAACAAAAGATGAGTTTCAGGGATGATACGGAAGAGGGAAGGAATGATCTTCGGCGACCGTTCTTGCACACCGGAAGTTGGTATCGGATGGGTTCCAGACAATCTAGTATGCTGGAATCGTCTCAAGCTATTCGAGACAGCTCAATCTCTGTCCTAGCTTGTGTTTTGATTGTAGCTCTTGGTCCAATTCAATTCGGATTCACTGTAAGACCATTAACAAACAAACCCAACAAAAAAATCTCAACTTTCTTAATTTGATTAATGGAGCTGAGAATGTGGTGTTTTTCTGCTTTTTGCTCAATTGACTAAAACATTGAGAAAGCTCTGATTTTGATTTATCTTTTTTGTGCAAGTGTGGTTATTCCTCTCCAACTCAAGCTGCCATTACTAAGGATCTTGGTTTAACTGTATCAGAGGTAAAAAAGGTCCCACCTTTATATCTAACAACAGTCTGTTTTTATTTATTTATTTGTTCAGACTCTTGTTCAGTAATTTTCTGACTTTTTTAGGTTTCATGTTTGATGTTTAGTACTCTGTGTTTGGGTCTCTATCCAATGTGGGTGCTATGGTTGGGGCTATTGCAAGTGGTCAGATTGCAGAATACATCGGACGAAAAGGGGTAAACTAGTTTTTTTTTTCTTATCTTGATTCTTACATTGTTCTCATTTTGTGACATATTTTCAGATAATATCTTCTTTCTTGTTGTATCTTAATTAACTGTGTTTTTCTTTTTTGACAGTCTCTGATGATTGCTGCAATTCCTAATATTATTGGCTGGCTTTCGATATCATTCGCAAAAGTGAGTCTTCTGTCTCTTATATTGTTGGCCTTTCTCTCTCTTACTCTTAAGTCACTATACTTGGTTTTGTTTAGGATACTTCTTTTCTTTACATGGGAAGATTGTTAGAAGGTTTCGGCGTGGGGATAATCTCTTACACGGTAACACTAGACTCAACTAGTTCTTTGAGTTTCAGCAATGTTTATTTGGAATAATGTAATCAATATACTTACACACTCTGATTTTAGGTGCCTGTATATATCGCCGAGATCGCTCCACAGAACATGAGAGGAGCCTTAGGTTCAGTCAACCAGGTTTGGCATGTTTAAGTTAGCTTCACTTTATTCTTTTGTTGCATTTGACAACATCAAACATTGGATGTTTTTGTGTGTTTATAGCTTTCTGTAACAATTGGGATAATGTTGGCGTATCTACTCGGTCTCTTTGTTCCATGGAGAATTCTTGCAGTTTTGGGTAACTCTCATAACATTTTTCACTTGTCTTGAGAGAAACTATACCAGATTTTTTTTTTTTTAATTATCGATACGGTCTAATCACTTTCTTGATTGCCTTCTTATTTTTTAGGAGTATTGCCGTGTACATTATTGATACCGGGCCTATTTTTCATTCCTGAATCTCCTCGGTGGCTTGTAAGCCTTTTGAACCGAATTGCTTATAATTTTGAGTTTGTTTCTTTGTTGTTTATTCTCTGTTTCTTTGTGTGTCACAAATGTAGGCAAAGATGGGATTGACAGATGATTTCGAAACTTCGTTGCAAGTTCTTCGTGGATTTGATACTGATATTACCATTGAAGTTAATGAAATCAAGGTATTGACTAAACTGAACAAAATGCTAAAAACATGATGCTGATTTCAATAAGTAACGAGTTCAGGATAGCTAAATGTTATTTTTTTTTTCTCCAATGAACAGAGATCTGTGGCATCATCTGGCAAACGTTCTGCGATTCGGTTTGTAGACCTCAAGCGTAGGAGATACTATTTTCCATTGATGGTACAATTAATCTTGCCTCTGAAATGAATCTTGTCGTCTCAGTGTGAGAGAAACTCACATGTTTCCTGTAATCTGTGTGTTACAGGTTGGTATAGGACTGCTTGTACTACAACAACTTGGAGGAATTAATGGTGTCTTGTTCTATTCGAGTACAATTTTTGAATCTGCAGGTAATGTCAAATGTGTGTTTTGATTCTTGGAATGTTCCTAAGAGAGAAATAAACACATCTCTTATTTATGCTTTTTTTGTTTCATTTGATTCACTTAGGGGTCTCATCGAGTAATGTGGCCACATTTGGAGTTGGTGCTGTTCAGGTATATAACTTCAATAAAAAAAAATAATAACTTCAATATATGAAACATTATCAGATTTGATTACTAACCGTTTGTTCATTCTAAACCAGGTTATAGCGACTGCAGTAGCGACATGGTTGGTGGATAAATCAGGTCGTCGACTTCTGCTCATGGTGAGGAGTGTTAGAGACTCATACAAACTCTGAAGAATTTTATGTACGCAGACAAAATATTAATTTTGTTTTTGCTCTGAAAATGCAGATCTCTTCTATCGGGATGACTATTAGCCTCGTGATTGTTGCAGCCGCTTTTTTCCTTAAGGTACTTTTTTAACCTTTTTACTAAATTTTTCTACAATATAGAGTTAATTTCACTTAAATTTTGAGTTTGTAATCTTTTCTTAGGAATTCGTATCACCTGATTCTCAAATGTACAACATTCTAAGCATGGTCTCTGTTGTTGGAGTTGTGGTAAGTTTCTGTATATACATCCACACATTGTTATAATTCCTGGTAAATGTGTTAAAGCTTTTCTATTCTTTTCATTACAGGCTATGGTTATTGCTTGCTCTTTAGGAATGGGACCAATTCCATGGCTGATTATGTCTGAGGTATCTGAATATTGAGAAAGTGTTACTTGATCTTAAAAAGTCTAATCTCTTACTAATTATTATGTTGTCAAAACAGATTCTTCCAGTCAATATAAAAGGTTTAGCCGGGAGTATAGCAACTTTGGCTAACTGGTTCGTCTCGTGGTTAGTCACAATGACTGCAAACATGCTCTTAGCTTGGAGCAGTGGAGGAACTTTTACTCTTTACGCTTTGGTTTGTGGATTCACTGTGGCCTTTGTGAGTCTTTGGGTTCCTGAGACTAAAGGCAAAACTCTTGAAGAGATTCAAGCTTTGTTCAGATGATTCAAGACAAGGAGAAGAAGACAACACTTTATTTGTTCACTTTTTGTTTTCGCCATTACAGATCATATTCTTTTTGTCCTTCTCTGTGTCTTTATTTGCTTTGTTCAGTGTCTTTTCTTTTTTGGCATAGATTGTAAAAGCATATCATTTTACTTTTTTTAATTTGATTTTTAATGTGTGTGTAAGTGTATTATTTCGGATTCTTAAGATGAGTAGCAATATATATATTCACTAATGCATACATTAATTTTTACAAAAAGTTCAATTAGGCTAAAGAGAGACAAATTAGAAAACAATTAGTAATGAGATTAGATCCAAATGGGAAAGAAAGCATGTGATAACTAACGGCTTTGGGACTTTGGCTGTTTGGTGCATGAAGGGACTATTTCCAATGCAAACGGCGGTCCATTCGAAAAATAAAATATATCGGTATAATATAATAAAAAAAATTAATCATGCACTAATTCTTGGCAATTTTCTACGGTCTAATTTGACAACTCACTGATAAATTCTAAAGCGAAGTAAATAAAATTATTTAAAATAATAATACTAAGGTCACTTTCTTCCAAAAGTGATGGTGATACAAAACTAAGAAAATATCAACACAAATATCACAAAAATAAATATGAAAACGACATTAATAAATATGAGTATTTTCATATTTACAGGAGTAACCGTTATGACAGTAATAAATATGAAAACGACATTAATATATATCCATAATTTTTTTTTTTTTTTCAATTTCTATGATTTCTTCATTACACAACTAATCTGAAGACTCATACTCAAGAAATGTAACTCAAATGTCACAAAATCTCCCAAACATAATATAAATACAAAGCACATTGACATTGTCAAAGATCATCAAATCTAAGGCTTGCCTTTTTTTGTTTTTAAACTTCTTAAAAGAAACTACCATGGATGATGAGTCTCAAAGTACATCAAAACGAAGCTAATAGGTTAATGTTACCGGATACTTCTCAATACAATCTTCCCAGGGACTGTTCTTCGAAGGCTTCACATTCCTTAACGCTTCCCAAATCGCGCTATTACATTTAAATCCACTCCCAAACGCAATCTGCCAAACGCGGTTACCTCTTCTCATCCTTCCTTTCGCTTCGATATAAGCCAGTTCATACCAAATCGAGCTCGAAGACGTGTTCCCAAACCTATGAAGAGTCATCCTCGAAGCCTCCACGTGAACAGGCGAAAGCTGCAGATTCTTCTCTAGCTCGTCGATCACAGCTCTTCCACCAGCATGGATACAGAAATGCTCGAAAGCGAGTTTGAAATCCGGAATATACGGTTTCACTTTACCGTTGAAAAGCTTCTTCACAACAAGAGTCACAAAGAAGAGAATCTGCTCGCTTATCGGGAGAACAAGAGGACCCAACGTGGTGATATTGGTTTTGAGAGTCTCCCCTGCAATCGCCATTAGATCTTTCGACAGAGAAACACCTGTTCTTCCTGTATCGTCCTGTTCTTGGTACACGCAACGGAATGCCTTATCGTCTGCCCCACGGTGAGTCCTGACCACATGCACAAGCCTGTACTTGGACCGTCTCTTGTCGCTAGACTTGTTCGACAGCAAAACCGCCGAGCCACCGACTCGAAACAAGCAGTTCGGTATCAACATCGACTTCTTGTTACCGAAGTACCAGTTCTGAGTGATGTTCTCCGTGGAAACAACAACAGCGTAAGTCTTCCTGTGTACCAACAACATATCTTTAGCAAGATCCACGGCGATGACTCCGGCGCTGCAACCCATCCCGCCGAGGTTGTAGCTTCTGATGTTACCTCTAAGCTTGTACTTGTTCACAATCATCGCGGAAAGCGAAGGTGTCGGGTTAAAGAGGCTACAGTTCACAACGAGGATTCCGATATCCTTTGGATTCACACTCGTGTTTGCGAAGAGGTTATCTAAAGCACCGAACATGACTTGCTCAGCTTCTTCTCTAGCGGCGGCCATTGAGATTCTCGGTGGAACATGATGCATAGCTTCAGGGACATAAGTGTCTTCTCCTAAACCAGAGCGCTCGAGGATCTTGCGCTGAAACTCGAGAGCAGAGTCTTCGAAATCTCCGGTGAGTCTAGAGTGATCCATGAACCGAGTGAAGGGAGCCTTGAGGTGATCAGGCGGGAGGTAACAGGAGAAATCGACCAAGTAAACGGGTCTGGGTCGGGTCATGACATAGACGGTTAAACCGAAGACCAGAATCGCGGAGCAGGTGACGATACTGACCAGATTGTACTGGAGATGGATCCAGAGCTGACGGAGATCGTCTGGGTTCATCTGAGACGCTTCGACGGAGATAACGACGGCGAGAGGGAATAGACAGAGAGCCAAGAGATTTGAGATCACGTAATGGTAACCTAATTTGACGTACTTGAGATTCACGCTCTGGAGAAAATCCGGTAGCCTCCTGGTTTGTCGGATCTGTACACCAACGGAGCCATCACCGCCGCCGCCATTCCCGCCGCTTCCGCCACCGAGTCGTGATTCTCCAGCACCGTCCATGGTAAAGGGGTGGTCAAAGGACTGAGATTTAACAACTGTCACACACAAAAAAGAGTCTGATTTTTATACGGAAGCCGAACCGGAGAATGCTGTGATTATTAAATTCAGGCGTCCTTTTTTAAAAATTATTCGTGCGCTGGTGAAAAGGACCGTAAAGGAGACAACTTTGACGACGATGGCCCAACGAAACAGAGAGTTTTGAAATGGAGTAAACCGAGCTGGATTTGAGAGAAGAGAAATGACAGAAGCATGAGGTAGAAAACTAAGGGGGTTTGTGGAGAGGAAACGGAGAGGGAAGGGTTTTCGAGAAATCAGAGAAACGGAAACCAAAGGTGGTAGTGGAGGGTCCACGTTTTTGAAACGAATCTTGACGGGAAGTACAGCAAAATAGAGATGAGAACCGAGAAACGTGTTGCATCATGTGAGCTGTTTTTTTTCTTCCCTTTTTTCTTTTTTAAGAACTCAGCATTTTTTTATTAATAAAATTATTATTTTTTGTATTATTGTGGGAATTTGTTAAAAAGAATTTTAGCATCTTCAAACTAGATACTGTACCTGTATAAGAAGATACATATTTTTTCTTATTAGAAAATGTTTGAACGTATCCCAAAATGACCACATATTCTTTTCATACATCAAGTTTCACTCTTATAAAATTGGTTAAGACCTAACAAAATGACCGCATATTCTCCATTTGTACATCTTAAAGTGATTTTTTCTTTATAAACTAAAACCATACTTCTTAAATTGATTGATTTTTCTTTATAAAGACTATTGTGATTGAAGAAAGAGATCTAAAGTTAACAGCAATGTTGACTTTGTGACCATCTAAAAACTGTGGCAAATCTTGTGGAAGTGCTATCCAATTCTAATTGGAAGTGGAAGATGAGATCTCTACCACGCTTTTTCAAAGTTTTAAAATCTACGTGGTTAGTTTTGTTTTCTACATTCTCTTGAAACTGTAACTATGATTATGGAACAGTACACTACAGTGTATTTATTGTGTGTACAGTAATCACATACTCCATAATACACCGCATGACCCATCGAATTTAGTATTCAAAGCCCATTGGGCTTGATGGCTGATCTGTTAGGATGGGAGGAAAAAATTGCAAATCTCCGTCACCTCCGGCCATATCGCCGCTTTTTGCACTTTTCCGGATCCGGACAAAGCTCCGACCAGAACTCAGTTATTACCAAAAGGGAAAGCCTAAATTTTTCCTTTTCTTTTCATTTTCAACTTTCAACTTCACATGGAAAAAAAATTAGAAAAGGCTTTGAAGATAATGTTTAGTGTAAATCTTAACTAAAATAGTTGTAATTTTGAGTTGCGTGATTACATATTTCCCAAGCTCGAGTTTTACGATTTGATTTGGTACTGCAAATTTCTACTTTGTTTTATTCGTTCTCTTTGCGTTTTCCGGTGAGAAATCTGAGATTTGTTTTCCTCGACCAAATCTGTAAACTTTCTTCTTTTAGCAGCTTTTCCAATCTGGGTACTGCAAATTCCCATTAATTCGAGCTCAAGAATCTTCGAAACTCGCGTAGATCCTTGTTAATCAGTGAATACACTTCCGGATTTTTTGCTTAGCTTTAGCAAATCCTTGGAGTATTTGGAGGTCTCTGTTGTTCAGATGCGTTGAAGTGGTTTCTGTGAGATTTGAAATGGCAGAGAGAAAGAGAGAAATGGGGATTACTCATTTCGCGCGCAGGATTAAACAACCACGAGGGATTTGGGTGAAGATGGCGTTCATAGTTGTTTTGGGTCTCTGCTTCGTCTTCTTCTGGTCTTTCTTGTCTTCCTCTGCTTCCTCATTTAATGTCCAGAGAGAAAGCTTCGAGGATATAGCTGAACCAGTGTCATCTCGAACCAAATCAGCTCATAACGATGTATCTGAATCTAGCAGATCACATGAGAAAAGTAAAGTTGAATCTGGTTCGAAATCAAAAGAAGGGAAAAAAGTTGGTGGGTTTGTTCATAAACATGAAACCAAGAAAAAGAAAGAGCATGCTGTGACTCATCCACATAAGAAGAAGGATGTGCCAAAGCCTGTGGTAGTAGAAGAAGAAGCTGTGGTTAAGGAGGATCAAGAACATGTAGAAGCAGCATCTGACGATTCTGAGTCTAATAAGGAAGATGGAGAGGAAGGAACTGAATCAGACGGAAGTGAAGGAGAGTCTGATGGAAATGTAAATGGGGATGATCCAAGTGCATCAGTGGATGAAGAAGTGGAAGAAAAGAACGAGGAAGTAACCGTTAACGAGACAGGTAATAAGAGGAAGAAGAGAGGTCCTGTGTTTGATCCTAAAGCTGAGTATAGCTGGAGATTGTGTAACACTAGGAGCAAGCATAATTACATGCCATGTATTGATAATGATGGGATAATAGGGAGGCTTCAGAGTTATAGACATAGAGAGAGGAGTTGTCCTAAGAAGCCTGTAATGTGTCTTGTTCCTCTCCCACATGATGGCTATGATCCTCCTGTTTCCTGGCCTGAGAGTAAATCTAAGGTTTAATATTTTTTTGTTAGCTTCTCTGAATTTTTTTTTTATGTGGTTAAAGATAGTTTTGATCTAATGCCTTATTTATTAACATTCAGATATTGTATAAGAACGTGGCGCATCCAAAGTTAGCTGCATATATAAAGAAGCACAATTGGGTGAATGAGTCCGGTGAATACCTAACATTTCCACAGAACCAGACTGCGTTCAACGGAAAGGTTCTTCAGTACCTTGAATTCATTCAAGAGGTGAGTATCATTTGTTAACTCTTGGAACTTGATTTTGTCATTGGAGACAAGTTCTGTGTATAAAAAAACATGATTGGTGTTTGGTAGATGGTACCAGATATTGAATGGGGAAAGAATGTTCGTATAGTGTTGGACATTGGATGCTCAGAGTCAAGCTTTGTAGCTGCACTGCTGGATAAGGACGTTTTAACAGTGTCTCTAGGCTTAAAAGACGATCTAGTCGACTTAGCACAGGTCGCTCTTGAGCGCGGGTTTCCTACTTTAGTCAGTGCTTTGGCAAGTAGAAGGCTTCCTTTTCCTAGTGGAGTCTTTGATACCATTCACTGTTCTGCTTGTGGAATCCACTGGCATTCTCATGGTAAGTGTTTCTCTTGCAATGTCATTAGTGTCGATGTGCTTTTTTGAGTCATATGATTATTTGAGCTTTTTGCAATCTCAGGTGGTAGACTTCTTCTGGAGATGAACAGGATTTTAAGGCCTAATGGATACTTCATATTGTCAAGTAATAATGAAAAGATTGAGGATCATGAAGGTATATTGTCTTTTAACTCTCACTGAACAGAAACAAATGTCTTCTTCTGGAGATGATGAAATCGTCTTAAAATTTTCTTGTGACAAAGTTTGTCTCTGGTGTGGTTTTTTTCTCTTCAGCGATGACTGCATTGATAGCTTCTATTTGTTGGAATATTCTTGCACACAAAACCGAAGAAGCAAGTGAAATGGGAGTGCGAATATATCAGAAACCAGAATCAAATGATATTTATGAATTGAGAAGGAGGAAAAATCCACCTCTTTGCAAGGAGAACGAAAACCCAGACGCAGCTTGGTGAGTAAAAGCAATGGTGATAATCTAAATGGCATAACTTTTATTATTCTGATGAACTTCTTTTTCATGTTGCTTGATTCTTTGGATATAGGTATGTGCCGATGAAGACCTGTTTACATGAGATACCGTCGGCTATAGAGCAGCATGGAGCAGAGTGGCCTGAGGAATGGCCAAAGAGACTTGAAACATACCCTGAGTGGTTAACCAACAAAGAGAAAGCCATTGGAGATGCAGATCATTGGAAAGCTATGGTAAACAAATCTTACCTCACTGGACTAGGCATCGACTGGTTACATATCCGGAATGTGATGGATATGACAGCGATCTATGGCGGGTATGGAGGAACAAAAGAAGAGATCTTTATCACTGTTCTTAGAACATAATAATTTGCATTTGGTGATTCTTACTGGTTTTTTGAATCTTGCAACAAAAAAAAATCTCAACAGATTTGCGGCGTCACTAGTGAAGCAGAATGTGTGGGTGATGAATGTAGTGCCGGTTCATTCGCCAGACACGCTTCCATTCATATACGAAAGAGGTCTACTCGGTATATACCATGATTGGTGTGAACCCTTTGGAACATATCCAAGATCTTATGACCTTCTTCATGCTGATCATCTCTTTTCACGGCTCAAGAACAGGTAAATAACAAAGTACATAGTAGTGATCTTTGGATCTAGAATTGCTTGTTAAATGAGAAATCTCCATTTTTGTTTTCTTTGGTTGATTACAGGTGTAAGCAACCGGCTTCGATCGTGGTGGAGATGGATAGATTGACGAGGCCTGGAGGTTGGGTGGTTGTGCGTGACAAGGTGGAGATATTAGAGCCATTGGAAGAGATATTAAGAAGCTTGCATTGGGAAATTCGTATGACTTATGCTCAAGACAAAGAAGGTATGTTATGTGCACAGAAGACATTGTGGCGTCCTTGATTCTTTTTTACTTTTTGGTTCCTGTCTGTAAATCAGAGATTACTGTTTGAATTACTTGTATACACAACCTGTTGTCTCATGTCTGTCTGTTTGTGGTCGGAAAACGACGATCTCCTCGTGACGATTAACAAAATTTAGGCCGCCATTAAATAGTAATTAAGGTTTCGTGTTTATAATCGTTTTCGTGTGTATTAAAAACAGCGAACAGTTTTGGTTCTGAAAGGCTAAATGGTAAACCATTAAAACGATAAGATCGTTAGGTCAGAAGGAACACATCATCTTCATCTTCCACCTCACTGCTTCTGATATTTTTGTTTTTCCCCCCTTCATCATCAACCCCGTAGGTAGACTTTTCGTGATTTTACCGACATTTTAACAATAATTAAATTAGATAAACCAAAATACATAAACTATATATCTGGTCAGATGGGTCCATCTCGCAATCCTCGGACACGCGCTGCGTTCCCATTAGATCGAAAGAAAAAGCTGTGATCTTGGGTGGTGGGTTCGACAAGTTTAATCTTGGCCATAAACGAAATTTCCACTCAGATCTTTTTAATTTGTCTCCTTTTAGACGTTGACAAGAAGATTAATACTGTACACTAGGAGTCTAGACGAGTCAATTCACCGGATTTTGTGGATGGAATTTCTTCTTTAGTGAAATTTTTCTCTTTTATATTATTCTTTTCATTCTCCTCGGATCTTCATAGTTTTAGAAGCTTCGAGTGTTCTTAAAGGTAGTTGCTTTGTTGTTGAGGAAACACAGTTTCAATTTCAGAGCCTTCATTTCCTGCAAAAGTTTGAATCTTTTATTATTGCAGGTCTATTGTTTGTGTTTTGTGTGTTTTATGATGGGAATCTTCTCTTTTGAGACAGAATGATTCTTTTTTCCGTTTTAAGTATTCCTCGTCTCATGACCTTATAATAAGTTTTTCTGTTCCTCAAAACCAGGTCTCTCTCTCTTTTGGGGATTTTTCACCGGAATTAAGGCTTACACAAGTGTTTTCCGATCAGGTTTTGGAGTGGGAATTAACTTTGGGTTTTTACAAACACTTGTTGATCCTCTTCGTCTCGGATCATGGAGGAACCTTGTGAGACACTTAACAATGGTGAAGAAGCTTTTCAAATATCAAGATATCATAACTATAACCAGCACAGCTCCAGAATCTCCTCACCTTGGTTGGATTTGAGAGTGTTCTACGTCAGGATAAGCAATTTTAAGGTGGAAGATTCAACCCCTGAAGTCCTCACCATCAACCACATTCCTCTGGATCCAGACACGCTTTTGGAGATAAACGGTGTTAGGATGAGCATGTACTCGGAAGGATGCTCTTCACAGCTCAGGAGGGATCGTGTTGATAAGAAATCCGAAGAAGCTACTTATGTCAGCACAGACAATATCAGGTTAACGGGTAGTGTAAAGTTTGAGGTTTATGACAAAAACGAGCTAGTCCTGTCTGGAACTCTTGAGAAATCTGATAGTAATGGGTTCACTGGGGAATCGAAGAATCGATGGAGCATGAATTGCGAGGCTGAGATCACTGCAGGGTCTGGTTTCTTAAAGGAGAAGAGCATCAACGGTCACGAGTTACCGTCGTCCACATTGCCGACTATCGAGGTCTATGTCACTGGTTGCTTCTCAGGAACACCCATCATCTTAACAAAGACTCTGCAACTTGGTTTCAAAAAGAAGCAGAGTAGAAGATTGGCATTGGATTCGATTCCTGAGTATGAAACTGCAGAGCCTCAGAAAAACATCTCCTCTGAGCTTGATTTTCAGGTAACGTTTAAAGTAATCATTTGACATTTATCTGAATTCGTTCTTTACTGTCTCAAGATATAGCATATGCCTGATACAATCCTCTTCTTCTCAATCCCTCACAGTATTCTTGAAAATTTTGTATTGTGAATCTATAACAATTTTTAAAATGTTGTGATGTTTTTTTTCTCTCTCTCTTTTACGGTAAAAGTTTGTTGATAGTCTTTAGGAAGATAACAATCCATTAAAAAAAATGAAGTGGACCAGTCTCCTCCTGATGCATGTGGCATGTGGCTAGACACAGTTTACAATTGAAAGAGATAATTAGAAATCTTTGAGTTCTTATCCTTTTGTCTGCTGCTTCTATGACCCAATGCTTGTCCCCACATATGGTTACCATCCCCAATTATGCTTTGTTGTAATGTTGTGATTTAACGTCTGTCAAACATTTTTGGATCACTATAGGCTAAAGAGTGTCTCCTCTTTAACATTCACTATTACTGGTAGGAAACTAGTGTCTTATAGTAAATATAGACAATGAAAGTTAGTACCTGGCAAAGTTGATCCTTAAAAAGTATAGTTCTTTAAATAGCTTGTGTCCTTAAAGTATCATTCTTTTTGTCTGCAGGCAACAGAATACGGAAACTACAAAGAGGAATACGAAGGAGACATGTATTGGAGAAGTGAATGCATCGATGGAGAGATGTCATGGTTCAATGCAGGTGTAAGAGTTGGTGTTGGGATTGGACTTGGTGTCTGTGTTGGTCTCGGAATTGGCGTCGGCCTTCTCGTGCGTACTTATCAATCAACTACTAGAAACTTCAGGAGGAGGCTTCTCTAGTTCTGATAATATACATTTGCAGTTGTTTACCTTGAAATTTTTAAAGAATCCTCTTTTTTAAACGTTTGTATTTTGGGTGCGATGTGAATCAAACACACTGGTGTGGGATTGTTGGTATCTGTTTTGATGTAAATAAGCGATTGAGAGTGTAGCTTTTGTAATCAGAGTTTGGCTGATGAGAATAGATAGATTAGGTCTACAGATCCTAATTCTCTGAATACTTATTTAACTTAATCATTTTATATATAAGTCGAAGCAATCATCACTCTATCGTTGTATCATAGTTTTGTCTCATAGTTGTAAACAAAATGCAAATTTTAACGAAGTAGTTAATTAGTGTAGAAGTCAATGATAAACATATGTACACACAAACGGATTTTTATATATCTTTAGACTTCTTTTTCAAACGAAAATTTCAATTCATCTAAAGAGGAAGTTTCGCTAATTAAACTTCATGAGAAGGGAATTAAGCAATCATTCTCACGCCTTCATTTTTTTTATCAAACTCAAAGGAAGAGAGGAAAGGAAAATTCTCTTGCTTAATTATTTGGTGCTAGACTTTTGGAAGGGAAATGAAATTTAAAATTGTATGGTTGCTTGCGTTTTTTTAATTTTTAAGTTAGGACAACGGCGTTGACTAATGACTATTGGACCTTTGAGGTATTAGAAATTCGCCACTGGTTGTTTTATTCTGGGACGAATTCTGTTTCCGATCTTAAGATATCTTCAAGTTCTTATGAAAACTCGAGACATTTGATGTTGGTTTGTAACTTGTGTGGCAATTAACGCAACCTTCCTGTGAGCCGGTTGCTTGCATAGCAAGGAACAAATCCAATCCAGCAAAGAGAAGCAAAGCAACATCATGAGGTGCTATAAAAACTACTACTTGTCGGTTCTTGTCTCTCTTCTACAAATTATGATCATCCATGATTCAAGATGTCTCACTCTTTCAAGCTCGTGTCAACCCGTGTGTGGAAAAATAAAGATCCCATACCCTTTTGGAATCGAAAGCGGTTGCTATCTCGACGAGTGGTACAGAATCGAATGCAGAAACGCTACTTTGCCGTTCCTTATCAAGATGGGCATGGAAGTTGTGAACATCTCTTTGCCAGGTGGGGAAGATAGGTTTTATAATTCCGATTCCTACGGGTCAGTTCGTGTCAGAACCCCGATAACCTCCGTCGGATGTTCCGGAGATGGAAACGAGTCTGGATCGGTTTTGAATTTGAAGGATAGCCCTTTCTTCTTAGGGACTGGAAACAGCCTCGTAGCGGTTGGTTGCAACAGCAAGGCGTCGTTGACTAACATCGAACCCATCATGGTGGGATGCGAGTTGAATTGCACTGAAACTAGTGCAAGCAAAGAGATCCCTTTTTTCGACAAAACCGGGTGCTCAAGCGACGCGTTGCCTTATACTGACACTCAGGTTTGTACGAAAAACAAAGGGGCAGAAGAAAGAAGCTGCAACGGTAACGGATGCTGCCGCGCTAATCTACCGTTGGATGTTGAGGCCCAACAGGTGATCGGTGTTACAATAGAGACCTCTGATATTCATGAAAACTCGACAAGCAGAGAATGCAGAGTCGCTTTCTTAACCGATGAAGTCTACACGCTATCGAATGTGACCAAACCACAGAGCTTCTTTGCTAAAAGGTATGCTACAGTGACGATAGGATGGGTTACTCAGACGAAGAATCTTTCCTTCATAAACTCCTTGAGCTGCAAAAATGAAAAAGAGTACAATAACATTACATATACTGATCAACAAAGAACAAGTTGCGTGTGCAACAATATCACCATTTCTGGGACCAATTATGCAAGCTGTGGATGCAACCAAGGTTTTACAGGCAACCCATACCTCTCTAACGGGTGCCAAGGTTAGTCAATTAATTGTTTCTAAACTTCTCTTCTCTCTTTCTGAGTGTGTTATTATATCGTTAGGATTACAAGTCTTCCATGATCAGTTAGTTACAATCCATGTGAACTCTTTCATATCAATTATTCAGATATTGATGAGTGCAAACTACGCAAACCTTGCCCCCACTGCGTGAATGTGCCTGGAGGTTTTCAATGTTCGTTAGATAGGACTTGGGCAATAATTATGGGTAAGAAACTAAATGTATCTTCATGTTTAGTTAACATCATGACGATACTCTCCCAAATAATTTGAACATGTGAGTGAAATCATTAACATACTTGTTGGTGCGGTTTCAGGAGTAGGTGCAGGTTTTGGCATCTTAGTCCTAGTATGTGGAATTTGGCTGTTGAGAAAGTGTCTTAAGAAGAGAAAAATGACTAGGAGGAAAAGAAAGTTCTTCAAACGTAACGGGGGACTATTGTTGCAACAACAATTAAATACAAATAAAGGTAGCGTCGAGAAGACAAGAATATTCACCTCGAGAGAGCTTGAAAAGGCCACAGAAAACTTCAGCGTGAACAGAATACTTGGACAGGGTGGTCAGGGCACTGTGTACAAGGGAATGCTTGTAGATGGTCGAACAATTGCTGTCAAGAAATCTAAAGCTGTAGATGAAGACAAACTAGAGGAGTTCATCAACGAGGTTGTCATTCTTTCCCAAGTCAACCATAGACACGTCGTCAAGCTCTTGGGATGTTGTCTTGAGACAGAGGTTCCTGTTCTGGTTTATGAGTTTATCCCCAATGGTAACCTTTTCCAACATATCCATGAAGAATCAGATGATTACACAATGATCTGGGGCGTGCGTCTGCGCATTGCCGTTGATATCGCAGGAGCTCTTTCGTATTTGCACTCTGCTGCGTGTTCTCCTATTTATCACAGAGATGTCAAGTCAACGAACATACTACTAGACGAGAAGTATCGAGCCAAAGTGTCTGACTTCGGCACCTCAAGGTCAGTAACCGTGGATCACACTCACTGGACAACAGTTATTTCAGGTACAGTCGGATATGTGGATCCAGAGTACTACGGATCCAGCCAATATACCGATAAGAGTGACGTTTATAGCTTTGGGGTGGTCCTCGTTGAGCTTATTACAGGAGAGAAGCCTGTAGTAACCCTTTCAGATTCTCAGGAAATAAGAGGCTTGGCCGATCATTTCAGAGCTGCCATGAAAGAGAACAAGTTCTTTGATATCATGGATGCTCGAATAAGAGATGCTTGCAAACCGGAACAGGTGGTGGCAGTGGCAAATCTAGCAAGGAGGTGTTTAAATTCCAAGGGAAAGAAGCGGCCATATATGAGACAAGTGTTTACAGAGTTAGAGAAGATAGGCTCATCTCCGGAGGATTCATTGGTAGAGATTGAAAACGGCGATGGTGATGATGAAGAGGAAGAAGGAATGAATATGTTAGAGATAACTGATTCATGGACCATTGGTGTTACTGCTCCAGCCCCTAGTACTGTCGCTTCTTCATCTTTGACAGATGTTGAACCATTGTTTCCTCGTCCTACATGGTGAATCGTAGAAAGTGAAGGTAATTATGGAGTTTGATGCTACTTTCAAAGGTTTGGTATTTGTTGTACTTTAGATGTTGTTCATCGTTACGTTTGTCTTTTTTTTTTTTTTCACAAATAGAGTGAGAGATGTCATGCTCATGGTTCAATGCTGGTGTAAGGGTTTGTGTTAGGACCGGAGTTGGTGTGTGTGTTGGTCTTCTCGTGCGTACTTATCAATTATTAGAAATTTGGAAGAAAACTCTTCTAATCATTTGCATTTTGGGTGTGATGTGAATTAAAACACTGGTGTTGGGTTTGTTGGCATCTGTTTTCCTGTAATTAAATGAGTGAGATTGCTAGCTTTTGTATTTCAGAATTTGGTTAATGAGAATAGAAAGATAGGTCTAATGATCCTAATCCACAGTCCACTCTATATAATTTCAATCCTTTATATATAAGTTGAAGCAATCACTCTAGTTATTTGTATCTAGAAAATAATTTATTTTTTCAATAAGAAATGTTCTCTCTTTTTGTAGTCCAAATGTTTGTCTCAATTAATTAAATGGAAATTCAACAAAGTAGTTAATAATTAGTGTAGAAGTCAATGATAAGCATACATCAACAAACTTATTTAACTGTTCTGAGACTTGTTTTTCACACAAGAGAACGAAAGTTCAATCCATCTAAAGAGGAAATTTCGCCCATTAAACTTCATGAGAAGGGAATTGAAGCAGTCATTCGTCTCATGCCTTAATTTAGGTCCCCTATCTTTATCGTCAAAGGATGCTGAATACAAATTATTTGGTCAAACTTAAAAAAAAAAAAAGAGGCGACTCTCGTACTTAATAAATTGGTACTAAGACTTTTAAAAAGTATTGGGAGAAGGAGATAATGTAATTTTTAGAGGGATGAAAATGAAATATAAAGATAAATGGTTGCTTGCGGGTTTTTAAAAATTAGAACAACGAGGTGACCTTGACCTATCAGAACTCTCGCAGCTGGTTGATTTATTCTCGGGAGAGAAATGCTTCCGACACAGCACCCAAACCTGAGTTTTTATTACATCTTCAACTTCTTATGAAACTCGAGACATTTGATGTTGTTTTGTAACTTGTGTGGCAAAAAACCGGAACTTTCCTGTGAGTCGACTTGCTTGCATCTCAAGAAACAAATCCAGTTCAGCAAGAGAAGCAACATCATGAGGTGCTACAACAATTACTCCTTCACGGTTCTTCTCTCTCTTCTGCTTACGCCCATCTTTATTTCAAAAGTTGTCGCAAAGTGTCAAACCGAATGTGGAAATAGAAAGATCCCGTACCCCTTTGGAATAAGAAATGGTTGCTATCTCGACGACTGGTACGAAATCGAATGCAGAAACGCTACCTCTCCGTTCCTAGTCAAGATGGGCATGGAAGTCGTGGATATCTTTCTTCCAGGTGACGGAGAGTATTTTTATAGTTCGACGTCATTCGGGTCAATCCGTATCAAAAGCCCAATAACATCCGTTGGATGTTCCAGAGAAGGAAAAGAGTTTGGATCGGTTTTGAATTTGACGGATAGCCCTTTCTTTCTTGGGAGTGGAAACAGTCTCGTAGCGGTTGGTTGCAACAGCAAGGCGTTGCTGACTAATATGGAACCCATCATGGTGGGATGCGAGTTGAATTGCAATGCAAGCAAAGAGACGTTACCTAGCGAGAGCATCCCATTTTTCGACAAAACCGGATGTTCTAACAACATGCTGCCTTATACTTACAAACCGGTTTGTACAAAGAACAGAGGGGAAGACGAAAGAAGCTGCGATGGTAACGGATGCTGCCGTGCTAGTCTATCCGATGAGGCTGAGGCTCACCAGGTGGTCGGTGTTAGGATAGAGAGCTCTGACGATCATGGAAACTCGAGTAGCCGAGAATGCAGAGTCGCTTTCTTAACCGATGAAGTCTACACGTTATCGAATGCAACCAATCCACAAAGCTTTTACGCTAAAGGGTATGCTACTGTTAGGTTAGGATGGGTCATTCAGACGAAGAATCTTTTCTTCCTAAACTCCTTGAGCTGCAAAAACCCAGTAGAGTACCATATTTTAGCATATGATATTCAATCCAGAACAAGTTGCTTATGCAACAATATCACCATTTCTGGGACCAATTATGCAAACTGTGGATGCAACCAAGGTTACACAGGCAACCCATACCTCTTCAACGGATGCAAAGGTTAGTCAGTTTGTTTCTAAACTTCTCTCTTTTTGTGTGTGAAAAGATCTCGTTAGGATTACAAATCTTCCATGTCAGCTATTTACAATTCTAAGATCTTTCATATCCATTATCCAGATGTTAATGAGTGCCTACACTATCCTGATGGCAGTCGCCAGTATTGTAGAGAAAGCGACACTTGCGTGAATGGGCCTGGAGATTACGATTGCGTGGGCGATAAGACTGGGGCAATAATGATAGGTAAATTAGTGAATGCATCTTCGGCTTCAGTTGACATCATGATCACCAGACCTGTCTGTTTGTGCCATTTTCAGGAGTAGGTGCAGGTTTTGGCATCTTAGCCCTAGTAGGTGGAATCTGGTTTCTGAGAAAGTTTCTTCAGAAGAGAAAGGTGACTCAGAGGAAAAGGAAGTTCTTCAAACGTAACGGGGGACTATTGTTGCAACAGCAATTAAATACAACAGAAGGCAACGTCAAGAAGACAAAAATATTCAGCTCGAGAGAGCTTGAAAAAGCCACTGAAAACTTCAGCGAAAACAGGATACTCGGACAAGGTGGTCAAGGCACCGTGTACAAGGGAATGCTTGTAGATGGTCGAACTGTTGCTGTCAAGAAATCCAAAGTAGTAGATGAAGACAAACTAGAGGAGTTCATCAACGAGGTCGTCATTCTCTCACAGGTCAACCATAGGCATGTAGTCAAGCTCTTGGGATGTTGTCTTGAGACAGAGGTTCCTGTTCTGGTTTATGAGTTTATCCCCAATGGTAACCTTTTCCAACATATCCATGAAGAATCAGATGATTACACAATGATCTGGGGCGTGCGTCTACGCATTGCCGTTGATATTGCAGGAGCTCTTTCGTATTTGCACTCTGCTGCGTGTTCTCCTATCTACCACAGAGACGTCAAGTCAACGAACATACTACTAGACGAGAAGTATCGAGCCAAAGTGTCTGATTTCGGTACTTCAAGATCAGTAACCGTGGATCACACTCACTGGACAACAGTTATTTCAGGTACAGTCGGATATGTGGATCCAGAGTACTACGGATCCAGCCAATATACCGATAAGAGTGACGTTTATAGCTTTGGAGTGGTCCTCGTTGAGCTTATTACAGGAGAGAAGCCTGTCATAACACTTCCAGATTCTCAAGAAATAAGAGGCTTGGCGGATCATTTCAGAGCTGCCATGAAGGAGAACAATTTCTTTGATATAATGGATGCTCGAATAAAAGATGCCTGCAAACCGGAACAAGTGATGGCAGTGGCAAAGCTAGCAAGGAGGTGTTTGAACTCCAAGGGAAAGAAGCGGCCATATATGAGACAAGTGTTTACAGAGTTAGAGAAGATATGCTCATCTCCGGAGGATTCATTGGTAGAGATTGAAAACGGCGATGGTGATGATGAAGAGGAAGAAGGAATGAATATGATAGAGATAGCCGATTCGTGGACCATTGGTGTTACTGCAGTTACTGCTCCAGCCTCTAGTACTGTCGCTTCTTCATCCTTGACAGATGTTGAACCATTGTTTCCTAGTCCTACATGGTGAATTTTGTACATAGTGAAAAATAATCATGTTGTTACTTTCAAAGGTATAAATTATCAGTGAACAACTGATTACATTGAAAAATCCTCTGTTTTGTTTTAACCGTTGTATTTCGGGTGTCTTGTGAATCAAACACTTTGGTGTGGGTTTGTTGGTATCTGTTTGTTTTCATTATTTATCTGATTAGAACTCGCAAACTAGCTCTGTAAATAGATGGGTCTATGAGAATATCTCTAACAATCCCTTTAATCTCTCTTCATCAACACCTAACTTCTCTCTCAATTAGTCCTAACTTATTCTCCTAATTATGTCCCTAGTTAATGTCGTAGATATGCTTCCTTGTATCATCTTCTCTTGTGTGTATATAACGAGAGTTCTACACATCAATAAACTCATCTAAATCTCCATATCTCAATACGGTCTAGAAATTCTTATTCACTGAACTTACTTTTGTAGCCGTCTCGGTTGTATTAGTTTATGTAGGGTTTTGAGATAATAAAGCTCGAGTCTTTTGTACTACAACAATACATTCTCTCACTCTCAGTCACACGTTTCGTTTGAGATAAGAAACGATTTGGATAAGAAGAAAAGTAAAAACAGAGCAAGAAAGGTGGAATCTGGTTGTTGAGAAAAGAAAAGAAAAGACAAGAAAAGGCAACGTCGAGAACACTAGAATATTCACCTCGAGAGAGCTTGAGAAGGCCACTGAAAACTTCAGCGATAACAGGATCCTTGGACAGGGTGGTCAAGGCACCGTGTACAAGGGAATGCTTGTAGATGGTCGAACAGTTGCTGTCAAGAAATCTAAAGTTGTGGATGAAGACAAACTAGAAGTGTTCATCAACGAGGTTGTCATTCTCTCTCAGGTCAACCACAGGCATGTAGTCAAGCTCTTTGGATGTTGTCTTGAGACAGAGGTTCCTATTCTGGTTTACGAGTTTACCCCTAATGGTAACCTTTTCCAACATATCCATGAAGAGTCTGATGATTACACGATGATATGGGGCGTGCGTCTACGCATTGCTGTAGATATGGCAGGAGCTCTTTCGTATTTGCACTCTGCTGCGTGTTCTCCAATCTACCACAGAGATGTCAAATCAACAAACATATTACTGGACGAGAAATATCGAGCCAAAGTTTCCGATTTCGGTACTTCAAGGTCAGTAACGGTGGATCATACTCACTGGACAACGGTCATTTCAGGGACAGTTGGATATGTGGATCCAGAGTACTACGGGTCCAGCCAGTACACCGATAAGAGTGATGTTTATAGCTTCGGAGTCATCCTTGTTGAGCTTATTACAGGAGAGAAGCCTGTCATAACCGTTTCAGGTTCTCAGGAAATAAGAGGCTTAGCGGATCATTTCAGAGCTGCCATGAAGGAGAACAAGTTCTTTGATATCATGGATGCTCGAATAAGAGATGCCTGCAAACCAGAACAAGTGATGGCAGTGGCAAAGCTAGCAAGGAGGTGTTTGAATTCCAAGGGAAAGAAGCGGCCGAATATGAGACAAGTGTTTACCGAGTTGGAGAAAATATGCTCATCTCCAGAGGTAAAGATTGAAAATGACGATGGTGTTGATGATGAAGAGGAAGAAGGAATGAGCATGATACACATAGCTGATTCATGGACCATTGGTGTTACTGCTCCAGCTTCTAGTATTGTCCCTTCGTCTCCCTCGCTAGACGTCGAGCCATTATCTCCTCGTCCCACATGGTGAACCGTAGAAATGTAAGGTAATGGTGAATGAATAAAAATTGATGGTTTATTAATTCCAAAGACTTGGGTGAAATTTGTGGTACTTTGGATGTTGTTTGTTGTTACGTATGTCTTCATCTCCCTATACACTTCTGTAATAAATGCATTTCATCTTTCAGCATAGACTTTTGTCATTCTCTTTTAACCTAAATCATTTTCTCCCGTTCTGTAGTCCAAAATTTTCTCATAAATAATTTTACAATTTATCAAAACAGTTAATTGGTGTAGAAGCCGATGATAAGTACGCATTTTTCAAAAAAATCGCCACAGCCCTCAATGAAGACCCTCAATGAAAATGAGGTTGTATACATATACTTTTCTTTTTGTCAAATACATATACTTTTCTCCATTCAAAAAAAAAGATATACTTTTCATGGGTTTAAAATGGTCAAATAAATGCAAACTTCGTGAGTTGTTGCGAATTATAAATTTGGAATTTTATTTCCGGGATTAACTCTCAATTTACTCTCGGACGAAAACTGTTTCCGACACAGCACTCAAAACTTGTTAACAGGTTCCTACTAGTTTTAGCAAAGGAACAAATTCAGTACAGCAAGAGAAGCAACCACCATGAGGTTCTATAGCAGCAATTATTACTCCTTGTCGGTTCTTGTCTCTCTTCTACTAATTATGCTCATCCTTGATTCAAAAGCTGAAGCTCTATCGAGCTCGTGTCAATCCGAATCGTGCGGAGATGTAAAGATCCCGTACCCCTTTGGAATTCAAGAAGGTTGCTATCTCAACGAATTGTACAGAATCGAATGCAAGAACGCTACTTTCCCGTTCCTTATCAAGATTGACATGGAAGTTATGCATATCTCGTTGACAGAAGACAGTTCATTCGGGTCAATTCGTGTCAGAAGCCCGATAACCTCCGTTGGATGTTCCAGAGATGGAAACGAGACTGGATCGGTTTTGAATTTGAAGGATACCCCTTTTTTCTTGGGGACTAGAAACAGCCTCGTAGCTCTTGGTTGCAACAGCAAGGCATCGTTGACTAACATCGAGCCCATCATGGTGGGATGCGAGTTGAGTTGCACTGGAACTGGAACTGCAAGCAACGAGATGTTACCTAGCGAAAGCATCCCGTTTTTCGACAAAACCGGGTGCTCCAGCAACGCCTTGCCTAATACTTACACTCCGGAGTGCACAAAGAACACAGCGGGAGAAAACAGAAGCTGCAACGGTAACGGATGCTGCCGTGCTAGTCTACCGAAGGATTTTGAGGCTCAACAGGTGATCGGCGTCAGAATGGAGAGCTCTGGTATTCATGGAAACTCGACAAGCCGAGAATGCAGAGTCGCTTTCTTAACAGATGAAGTCGACTACAGTTTATCGAATGTGACCAAACCACAAAGCTTTTTTGCTGAAGGGTATGCTACAGTTAGGTTAGGATGGGTCCTTCAGACGAAGAATCTTTCCTTCCTAAACTCGTTGAGCTGCACAAACAGAAAAGAGTACGCTACTTATACATATAGTATTCAACACAGAACAAGCTGCCTATGCGACGACATCACCATTTCTGGGACCAATTATGCAAGCTGTGAATGCAACCAAGGTTACAGAGGCAACCCATACCTCTTTAACGGATGCGAAGGTTAGTCAATTGTTTCTCAACTTCTCTGTTTTTGTGTGTGTAAACATCTCGTTAGTCGTTAGGATTACAAATCTTCCATCTCCAGAGACTCAGTGTAATTTACCTATAGAAGATCATGATCTTTCATATCCATTCCCCAGATGTTAATGAGTGCATTTTACCTATTGAAAATGGCGGCGTGTACTGTGGTAAAAGACAAACTTGCGTGAATGTGGTTGGGGGTTTTCATTGCGTGCTCGACAAGACTCTAGCAATATTGATAGGTAAGTCACTGAATGTATCTTCGGATTCAGTCAACACTTGACATTATGTAGATACTCTCGTTAAGTTAAACAAATGATGGTCTAACATTCCTTCTTTTTGTGCGGTTTTCAGGAGTAGGTGCAGGTTTTGGCATCTTGGTCCTAGTTGGTGGTATCTGGTTTCTGAGAAAGTATCTTAAGAAGAGAAAGGTGACTCAGAGGAAAAAGAAGTTCTTCAAACGTAACGGTGGACTATTGTTGGAACAACAACTAAATACAAGAGAAGGCAACGTTGACAAGACAATAATATTCAGCTCAAGAGAGCTTGAGAAAGCCACTGAAAACTTCAGCGATGACAGGATACTTGGACAAGGTGGTCAAGGCACTGTGTACAAAGGAATGCTGGTTGATGGTCGAACTGTTGCTGTCAAGAGATCCATAGCGGTAGATGAAGACAAACTAGAGGAGTTCATCAACGAGATCGTCATTCTCTCACAGGTCAACCATAGACACGTCGTCAAGCTCCTCGGGTGCTGTCTTGAGACCGAAGTTCCTGTTCTAGTTTATGAGTTTATCCCCAATGGTAACCTTTTACAGCATATCCATGAAGAATCTGATGATTACACAATGATCTGGGGTATGCGTCTGCGCATTGCCGTTGATACTGCAGGAGCACTTTCGTATTTGCACTCTACTGCGTCTTCTCCTATTTATCACAGAGATGTCAAGTCAACAAACATATTACTAGACGAGAAGTATCGAGCCAAAGTGTCTGATTTTGGTACTTCAAGATCAGTGACTGTGGATCATACTCACTAGACAACATTTATTTCAGGGACGGTCGGATATGTGGATCCAGAGTACTACGGGTCTAGTCAGTATACAGATAAGAGTGATGTTTATAGCTTTGGAGTTACCCTCGTTGAGCTTATTACAGGAGAGAAGCCTATAATAACTCTTCCGGGTTCTCAAGAAATAAGAGGCTTGGCAGATTACTTCAGAGCTGCCATGAAAGTGAACAAGTTCTTTGATATCATGGATGCTCGGATAAGAGATGCCTGCAAACCGGAGCAAGTGATGGCAGTGGCAAAGCTAGCAAGGAGGTGTTTGAATTCCAAGGGGAAGAAGAGGCCATATATGAGAGAAGTGTTTACCGAGTTGGAGAAGATATGCTCATCTCAGGAGGATTCATTGGTAAAGATTGGAACTGACGACGCTGATGATGAAGAGGAAGTAGGAATGAATATGATAGAGATAGCTGATGTACCGACCACTGGTGTCACTGCTCCAGCCTTCAGTGTTGTCACTTCCCTTTCCTCGTCAGATGTTAAACCATTGTTTCCTCGCCCCACATGTACATGGTAAACTGTAAGAAGGTATGGTTGGTGAATAAAATTGATGAATCTTCTTTTCAAAGAGATTTGGCTGAAATCTGTGCATGTTGTAGATGTTGTAGTATGTTGTTACGTTTGTCTTCATATCAATGAACAGTGTATTAATTAAGATATTGTTTGAAACGCATTTCATGAGGATCCTCTCTAATCGAATAAAAAGTGTGTAAAAACAAAGATAAAATTGGTGGACTCCTCAGTCTCCTCTTCTAGGCCCTTTAATCAAAACTGTTTGGGCACGTCATTTATGATTTCCACTTATCTCTCTTACACCAGATAAGCGTGTGCATGAAAGTATTTGAATCTTTTAAAAGGAAACAAAGTTATATAATTTCAGCTTACCATGCATTGACCCACAAATTAGTGAGAGCCTTTGAAGAAAGACTTTTCTCGGTTGTATTAATTTCGAGAGACGAAATTTTTATTGACCACTGGTCACTCCCTAAAGCTGTTGAAGAAAATACTTTAGGAGCATATATTTCAAAATGAATTTGTAGGGCATATTTTTAAAACTAAATGGGTCTTATTATAATTCAAACGAGGCGGCGTTGGTTGATTTTTACTCTTTGACGAAACCTGTGGCTGTACTATAATCAATATCTCCCAAAATTTGTTCTTATGAAACTCTGAGACATCTGATGTTGTTTTGTAACCTGTGTTGCAAGAACAACTTTGTGGGTCGGCTTGCTAGTACTTTTAGCAACGAACAAATTCAGCCCACCAAGATAAAAAAACATCATGAAAAATTACTCCTTGTCGACTATACTTTCTCTTCTACTAATTATGCTCATCCTTGATTCAAAAGCTGTCACTCTCTCGAGCTCATGTCAATCCGAATCATGCGGAAATGTAAAGATCCCGTACCCCTTTGGAATCCAAGAAGGCTGCTATCTCAGCGACTGGTACAGAATCGAATGCAGAAGCACCACTTTCCCGTTCCTTTCCAAGACGGGCATAGAAGTTGTGAATATCTCTTTCTCAGGTGACGGAAAGGGCTATTACACTTCCACCAGGTCATTCGGATCGATACGTATCAAAAGCCCAATAGCATCCGTTGGATGTTCCAGAGATGGAAAAGAGTCTGGATCGGTTTTGAATCTGACGGATAGCCCTTTCATATTTGGGAGAGGAAACAGCCTCGTAGCGGTTGGTTGCGACGGCAAGGCGTCCTTGACTAACATCGAGCCGAATAACTTGGAATGCAAGTTGAATTGCACTGCAAGCAAAGAGAGTTTACCTAGAAAAAGCATCCCCTTTTTGGACGGAACCGGCTGTTCCAACGATGGGTTGCCTTATGCTTACAGGCCGGTTTGTACAAAGGACATGGGGGAGGAAGACAGAAGCTGCGATGGTAATAGATGCTGCCAAGCAAGTTTACCGGAGGATGCTGAGGCTCACCAGGTGGTCGGTGTTAGGATAGAGAGCCCTGATCATGGAAACTCGACAAGCCGAGAATGCAGAGTCGCTTTCTTAACCGATGAAGTCTACACTTTATCGAATGCAACCAATCCACAAAGCTTTTACGCTAAAGGGTATGCTACAGCTACGATAGGATGGGTCCTTCAGACGAATAATCTTTCCTTCATAAACTCGTTGAGCTGCAAAACCTTTGAAGAGTACATTAACATTACATATACTGATCAATTCAAAACAAGTTGCATGTGCTACAATACCACCATTTCTGGGACCAGTTATGCAAATTGTGCATGCAATCAAGGTTATAGAGGCAACCCACACCTCTTTAACGGATGCACAGGTTAGTAAATTGTTTCTCTCTTTTTGTGTGTCAACATCTTGGTAGGATTACAAAATCTTCCATGTCTACAGACGTTAGTGTAATTACCTATAATACATGGTAAGCTAATTAACATTCCACCATCAATCATATCCATTATCCAGATATAAATGAGTGCCTACAAAAACCCAGTTCTGATGGAAGTCGCAGCTGGCACTGTGGTGAAACCGAGAATTGCGTGAACATTATCGTTGCGTGCGCGATAAGACTGTACCAATATTGATAGGTAAGTCACTGAACACTTAAGATCATGTAAATATTCTCGCGTTAAGTTAAACAAATGATGATCTAACATATAGTCTTTTTGTGCGGTTTTCAGGAGTTGGTACAGGTTTTGGGATTTTACTCCTAGCTGGTGGAATCTGGTTTCTGAGAAAGTATCTTAAGAAGAGAAAGGTGACTCAGAGTAAAAAGAAGTTCTACAAACGTAACGGTGGACTATTGTTGGAACAACAACTCAATACAAGAGAAGGCAACGTTGACAAGACAAAACTATTCAGCTCGAGGGAGCTTGCAAAAGCCACTGAAAACTTCAGCGATAACAGGATTCTTGGACAGGGTGGCCAAGGCACTGTATACAAGGGGATGCTTGTAGATGGTAAAACTGTTGCGGTCAAGAAATCCAAAGCTGTAGATGAAGACAAACTAGAGGAGTTCATCAACGAGGTCGTCATTCTCTCCGAGGTCAACCATCGACATGTCGTCAAGCTCTTGGGATGTTGTCTTGAGACCGAAGTTCCCATTTTGGTTTACGAGTTTATCCCCAATGGTAACCTTTTCCAGCACATCCATGAAGAGTCTGATGATTACACGATGATCTGGGGCGTGCGTCTACGCATTGCTGTAGATATCGCAGGAGCTCTTTCGTATCTGCACTCTGCTGCCTGCACTCCTATCTATCATAGAGATGTCAAGTCAACAAACGTATTGCTTGACGAGAAGTATCGAGCCAAAGTGTCTGACTTCGGTACCTCAAGGTCAGTAACCGTGGATCACACTCACTGGACAACATTTATTTCAGGGACAGTCGGTTATGTGGATCCAGAGTACTACGGATCCAGCATATACGGACAAGAGTGACGTTTATAGCTTTGGGGTGGTCCTCGTTTAGCTTATTACAGGAGAGAAGCCTGTAGTAACCCTTTCAGATTCTCAGGAAATAAGAGGCTTGGCCGATCATTTCAGAGCTGCCATGAAAGAGAACAAGTTCTTTGATATCATGGATGCTCGAATAAGAGATGCTTGCAAACCGGAACAGGTGGTGGCAGTGGCAAATCTAGCAAGGAGGTGTTTAAATTCCAAGGGAAAGAAGCGGCCATATATGAGACAAGTGTTTACAGAGTTAGAGAAGATAGGCTCATCTCCGGAGGATTCATTGGTAGAGATTGAAAACGGCGATGGTGATGATGAAGAGGAAGAAGGAATGAATATGTTAGAGATAACTGATTCATGGACCATTGGTGTTACTGCGCCAGCCCCTAGTACTGTCGCTTCTTCATCTTTGACAGATGTTAAACCATTGTTTCCTCGTCCTACATGGTGAATCGTAGAAAGTGAAGGTAATTATGGAGTTTGATGCTACTTTCAAAGGTTTGGTATTTTCTGTACTGCTTCTCTATCTGCTGAAGACCCGGCTCTAATAGAAACTACATCTGTAAATGATGGAAACGCTCCTTCGACTCTACATGCATTTCCTGCTGTACCTATGGTAACTCAATCTAACTCTTATTCTGTTTCGGAATCTTGCAAAGATATATCAGATCATTCTGATATGATATTGGATATTGAAGAAGTAGTTGAGGATGTTAGTTTTACTACAATGGAGACAAGGGAATCGCCTATGGATCCAGAAACCTTGCAGGGTGAGGAGACTTCTGCCCCAAGGTCTTGTGTGGGAAGAAATCTAAAACCAACCCAAAAAATTCAAGACCAATGGATTACAATTGAAGGTCGAGGAAAACGTGGTAGAGGAGGGCGTGGTGGTCGTGAACTTTTCAATAGTTAAGCTCCTGGACAATGTACTCCTTCCTTTCTTTATCTCTTCTTTATTTGTTAGCTTTTAAATAAACTAGATTAAGCTTTTGCTTAATTCTCTAGCTTCTCAAACTGTATGGCTTAATTGCCATAGCTTGTATTGTTACTTACTTTTAATTGAAAACTCTTTATTAAAAAAAAAATGTATTGGAGAAGTGAATGCATCGATGGAGAGATATCATGGTTCAATGCAGGCGTGAGGGTTGGTGTTGGGATAGGACTTGGTGTATGTGTTAGTCTTTGGGATTGGTGTTGGCCTTCCCGTTCGTACATATCAATCGACTACAAGAAATTTCAGGAGGAGGCTTCTCTAGCTTAGTTACTTACTACCACTGTGTACACATTTGCATTTGTAATTTGGGTGTGATGAAAATCAAACACTTTGGTGTGGGTTTATTTGGTATCTGTTTTACTGTAAAAATGAGTGAGAGTGTCCCCCTTTTTGTTTTGTATTCATAATTTTGGCGGATAAGATCTTTGCAAATCTATAGTACATAGACGGGTCTAGTTTACTGAAGTTTTTGGTGTGGGTTTGTTGGCATCGTTGTTTCAATCTAACAATTTAGTTTTGCAGAGTAGGAATTTTTAAATGGACACAAGTCACACAACGATGCCGACAAACCCACACCAAAAACTTCAGTAAACTAGAACTGAAATAAAAGTTTACATTAAATCGTTAATTAGTGTGATGATTATATTAAGTGATAGTATATTCTTATAATTCTTTCCACACAAAAAAAGGTTCAATTCATCTAAAGAGGACTTTAGTGAGAAGGGAGTCGTCTTCTCTCTCGCTCACCGTACATTACTTATTTCTACTCATACAACATAGGAGCTTGTATGTATACGTGAGTATTTGACGGTTTAGGAATTAGGAGTGACCACACAAATTAGTGATAAGTGATGTTGCACTACAAGACACACGGACGACTCATTATTCATTATTGACTTGCAAAGTCCTTCTATACTTTAGACTTTGTAGCCTTCTCGTTTTGTGTCATTAATTCCAATAGACTTTAAAGATCTTTTTATCAAGGATGCATTTATCAGAAACGTATTTCGAAAATGAGCGCACTGTACTGCGATGGTGAGAGGCATCTAAAAGTTAAAACAACGCGGGGTTGACTATTGACTTTGAGCCATCAGAAATTCGCCACCGGTTCGATTCTATTTATCCTTGGACTAAAACTGTTTCCGACACAGCACTCAAACTTGTTCACGGGTTGTGCTAGTTTTAGCAAAGGAATAAAGTCAGTACAGCAAGAGAAGCAAACATCATGAGGTGCTATTACTCCTTGTCTGTTCTTGTCTCTCTTCTACTCATGCTAATCCTTGCTTCAAAAGTTGTCACTCTCTCGAGCTCGTGCCAAAACGAATCATGTGGAAATGTAAAGATCCCATACCCTTTTGGAATCCAACAAGGTTGCTATCTCAACGAATGGTACAGAATCGAATGCAGAAACGCTACTTTGCCGTTCCTTTTCAAGATGGGCATGGAAGTTGTGGATATCTCTTTGCCAGGCGAAGGATATATTTCTTATTCTGCCACATCGTCATTCGGGTCGATTCGTGTCAGAAACCCGATGACCTCCGTTGGATGTTCGAGAGATGGAAAAGAGACTGGATCGGTTTTGAATTTGACGGGCAGCCCTTTCTTCTTTGGGAGAGGAAACAGCCTCGTAGCGGCTGGCTGCAACAGCAAGGCGTCTTTGACTAACATCGAGCCGAGAACGGTGGGGTGCGAGCTGAACTGCACCGCAAGCAAAGAGACGTCACTTAGAAGAAGCGTCCCTTTTTTGGACAAAACCGGGTGTTCCAGCGATGCGTTGCCTTATACTGACGAATGGGTAAATTGTACAAATAAGGAATTGGAAGGTGAAAGAAGCTGTGATGGTAACGGATGCTGCAGTGCAGTTCTGTCGGATGATGACGCTCACCAAGTGATCGGTGTCAGCATAGAGGACTTTGATTATGGAATCTCGACTAGCCGAGGATGCAGAGTCGCTTTCTTAACAGATGAAGTCTACACTTTATCGAATGCAACCAAACCACAGAGCTTTTTCGCTGAAGGGTATGCTACAGTTACGATAGGATGGGCCATTCAGACGAATGCTCTTTCCTTCTTGAACTCGTTGAGCTGCAAAAGCAGAAAAGAGTACCATAATTTTACAAAAGGTATTCGACACAGAACAAGTTGCTTATGCAACAATATCACCATTTCTGGGACCAGTTATGCAAACTGTGGATGCAATCGAGGTTATACAGGCAACCCATACCTCTTTAACGGATGCCAAGGTTAGTCAACTGATTGTTTCTCAACTACTCTTTCTATGTGTGTGAACATCTTGCTATATTTCCACGATCTTTCAACTCCATTGTCCAGATGTTAATGAGTGCCAACGCGATTCTGATGGAAGACGCTTGGCCTGGGATTGTACTGAAAGCGACGCTTGCGTGAATAGGGTTGGACATTATCATTGCGTGAGGACTGTAACAATATTGATAGGTAAGTCACTCGATGTATCTACGGATCCAGTTAACACTTAACATCATGTAGATACTCTCGTTAATTTAAACAAATGATGATCTCACATACCTGTCTTTTTGTGTTGTTTTCAGGAGTAGGTGCAGGTTTTGGCATCTTGGCCCTAGCTGGTGGAATCTGGTTTCTCAGAAAGTATATTAAGAAGAGAAAGGTGACTCAGAGGAAAAAGAAGTTCTTCAAACGCAACGGGGGGCTCTTGCTGGAACAACAACTAAATACAAGAGAAGGCAACGTCGAAAAGACAAGAATATTCAGCTCGAGAGAGCTTGAAAAAGCCACTGAAAACTTCAGCGAAAGCAGGATACTTGGACAAGGTGGTCAAGGCACTGTGTACAAGGGAATGCTTGTAGATGGTCGAACGGTCGCTGTCAAGAAATCCAAAGCTGTAGATGAAGACAAACTAGAGGAGTTCATCAACGAGGTCGTCATTCTCTCCCAGATCAACCATAGACATGTCGTCAAGCTCCTCGGATGCTGTCTTGAGACCGAAGTTCCGATTCTGGTTTATGAGTTCATCCCAAACGGTAACCTTTTCCAACATATCCATGAAGAATCTGATGATTACACAATGATCTGGGGCGTGCGTCTACGGATTGCCGTTGACATCGCAGGAGCTCTTTCGTATTTGCACTCTGCTGCCTGCTCTCCTATCTATCATAGAGATGTCAAGTCAACAAACGTATTGCTTGACGAGAAGTATCGAGCCAAAGTGTCTGACTTCGGTACCTCAAGGTCAGTAACCGTGGATCACACTCACTGGACAACAGTCATTTCAGGGACAGTTGGATATGTGGATCCAGAGTACTACGGGTCCAGCCAGTACACCGATAAGAGTGATGTTTATAGCTTTGGAGTCATCCTCGTTGAGCTTATTACAGGAGAGAAGCCTGTCATAACCCTTCCGGATTCTCAAGAAATAAGAGGCTTAGCGGATCATTTCAGAGCTGCCATGAAAGAGAACAAGTTCTTTGATATCATGGATGCTCGAATAAGAGATGCCTGCAAACCGGAACAAGTGGTGGCAGTGGCAAAGCTAGCGATGAGGTGTTTAAATTCCAAGGGGAAGAAGCGGCCGAATACGAGGCAAGTGTTTTCCGAGTTAGAGAATATAAGTTCATCTCAGGAGGATTCATTGGTGGAGATTGAAATTGAGGACGGTGATGATGAAGAGGAAGAAGGAATGAATATGATACACATAGCTGATGCACCGACCATTGGTGTTACTGCTCCAGCCTTCAGTGTTGTCGCTTCGTCTTCCTCGTCAGATGTTAAGCCATTGTTACCTCGTTCCACTTGGTGAACCGTGTGAAAAAGGGAAGGTAATTCTAAACAAAATTGTTGCTACTTTGTTGTGCTCTAGATGTTGTAGTTGCGTTTGTCTGTGGTGTGTCTATGTATTTGTTGCTATTTATTTTACTGTATACAAATGAATTACTCAGATCCTTTTGTAAAGTTGAAACAATCTTTCTGCATGTTCAACACAGCCTACCAAGGCTACAGCTTCGTACTATAAAGGCTTTTTATCAAACGCTTGTCATTTATTCCAACTCTTGAATTTTACAGCTTCATCTCTTTTCCACTTTTGAGGGTTACACTACACACGTAAAGAACACATACAAATGCCATAGTTATACTTTACACGCTCCATTCGGGTACTGCCGTCTCAAGCAGTCCAACTTTCTTGCCGATGGATCCAGTTTCCTACTTTCTCGTGTGTATGGCTTGCTTAGTTTCGATGGTCACTAAGTTACCTGTCACGAAAAAAACAAAATTTAAGCTTCCATGTAATTAGGACAAGTAACATTCAGACAAAAGTCATCATATCATGAAATTATGAACACGACAAAGGCTAATGACTAGATGAAATTAGAGAAACTACGCATTGTTCAATTACAGCAGTTACCAAAAACATTATGGTAGGAAGATAGTGGTTGATGAAGAATTCTTTCAAATCTAAAAGATACAGAGACCAACCTCTTCACAACTCTTCAGAGCTTTATCACATTCAGATGCCATTCCTACTTGGAAGATTCTTTGAAATTTAGTTGCACAACAATTGAAGAAGCACCATTCTTGGAACGTATCCATTACTTTCAAATATCCCGAGAGTTAAAACCCCAACAAGCAGCACAGCTTACAAAAAGGTATTACCACAAACCATTGACATCAAAACAAAATTTACTTGAGGCAACACTTGGAATCATTAATGCGCCTTATAAGCATAGCCACATACCCAAAAATGCCAATCCGAACCCGAGAAGATGGTATACAAATCCACAATCCATAAACAATGATCAATTAGGATATTAAAGACTTTGCCATGTTAACTTGAGAATTTATGAAGAATAGTAATCTGTAAACTTTATAAAAGAAGAGTATTCTGTAAACATATTCTGCTTTTTTCACAACCGCTTCCATATCTAAAGCAGGAGTACATATGCAACTAAGTAGCTGGAGAACGCCCATTCAGTAAAAAAGAACCAATCAACCAGAATAGCGAACTGTCTAGTCCCAAGACCACTACACCTTTTGTTTCTCCATATGCGTAATGTGATCACTTTGTTTCTGAAAAGAATGATTAACAGATAATTACCTTTATTTTGGTCATAAGAAGCTCAATGCCAGGTTTGTGATTCCCTTGCGAACATAGCAAATAGCAATAAGCATATTAAAGAGCACCAGTGATGCTCAATATTGGGCGAATGATTCACTTCCTGTTTGACACTGATGATTGATATGCAAGATGCACATTAGGGGGGGCACAAGTGATGCCTCAATACTGGGGTCTGTGATCGTCTTCGTGGTATGCAAGAAGCATATGAAAGAGCAATAAAACAAAGAGACGAGAGAAACGAGAGAGGGGCACAGGCACAGAGTCCGGAGGGAGGGAGAGCCGGGCAAAAAAAACGAATAATTTAACCAATCCCGTGCCATCTCCCATCCCTCCACCGAACCAAAAACTTCATCTTTTTATTAAGGGTCGACCTGCCAAGCAAGCGCACCTGTCATGGCAAAGGTCACATACATCCCCTCACTATTTTCTTTTTCTACATCTCTCTTTTCTCTTACTGTTTGAAAGCCCAAACAAAATCTGTGCTAGAGTTTAGCCTGTGAAGACAGATAACGCAATATAAGATAATACCCGGACCAAGATCGTTCCTCGAGAATTACGCACAGGCTTATGGTTGTTGATCAACGAGAATTGATCAGATGCTGTTTCATCCCCATTCGCTCGTGTTAATCCCTACAGGAATCCGAATCCCAAAAAGTGAGTCGGCTCTACTAACTACTACCCGAAAGATTCATAAACAGCGGCAGCAAAATCGAGAAACCTTAGGCATAGACGAGAACGTACCTCGATTGATCGAGAATCGCGTCGGAGGATCAACGACGTCACCCGAATCGAGATAAGTGAAGCCAAACCCTAACGGGAAAACCATCGTCCGACTCCTAACAAGGAGATTCGAAAGGTAATCAAAATAAACGAACAAAGAAATCTCAGGAAAATAGATAGTTAAATCGGAATTCGAAACGAAACTTATATGAAGAGAGGATGGAGAAGCGATAAGCGGGAGATTCGGGTAGCGATTAGAGAAATAAAGGCGACCATCTTTTATATAGACGGAGCAAAACCCAGAATCGGAGTCGGTTTTTAGATTTCGGGGATATTTAGAGATCCTACGGTTGTCAATTGTTAATGTGCAAGCAATCGACGGTACAGATGATAGAGGATGAGAAAAGGCGGTTAATATATTCGCGCGTGACTAAATTCTTGGCATGACGAACCAATTTTGGTGGATATTCAAAAATATTACACCTTTTTGTGACACAATAATATTATTGACAATGATTTTTTACCAGAAATGAATATAGAAGTAGATAATATTCTTTAACTATTTAATTTGAGTAAATCATTAGGATAAAATCCAAAATTAAAGAGCTGCAAAATAGACAGTGCGTATACACATTCAAAACAATTTGGTTACTATTTCTCAAAAATATTCAACCAAAACGCTTACAAATTATCATTTTATTTTTTTCATTAACCGATTTATTATGACTAGGTATGTACCCGCGCTATGCTGCAGGATGTTATTTTAAATTTTATATATTTTAAAAATAAAAAAATATTTTTTACAGTATTAATAAATATTAATTAAAAATAACATAAGTTTTGGATTTAGTCTCTATTTATTTCTCCATGTATATGGTTCATTTGAATAAAATTTAGAATTTTGTTTGTTTTGTAACAAAATTTAAAAAATATTTAGATGAATTATCTAGATGATTTTTCAAGATTTAGATAAATTTTTGAAAATTATCTGAATGAACCAAATTAGACCATCTTGATAGAGATGTTTTCAGTTCAAAATGACAAAATGACTAGAATACTCTTAAATTTAAAAATAAAATAAAAACTTAAAATCATATTTTTTGAAAAAACCACAAAACCTGAAAAATTATATATTTTTTTTTGTACTAGCAAAATCATATTTTCTGGTAAAATCGAAAAATCGCATTTTTCAATCAAAACTAAAAAAACACATTTTACTATTATAAGTTTACTTACGATCATAAATTTCACTACTCGCAGGTTATATTCATGTTTTTAATTATGAAACTTTTAATGCATGTTTTTCTTACACTAACTAAAATAGATATTTTAACATTAATATTTCTTTAGCATTAAAAGAATATTTAGTAAAAAACCACAAATATTTTTGCTTTCAAAAACTTAATACACTTTCAAATATTCATTCGTAAGTATACAATAACTTGATTAAAAACACTCATTCTTTTGATAATTAATTAAAATTTGATGCACTCTCTCTTTGTCAAAGTATAAAAAATGATTTAATTTCAATATATAGAAAACATAATTTTCTGGATTTTTTACTTTTTCTCATATCGTTGCTTTAAACATGTAAACATTAACATTATCATACCTAAACATTAGTCACACTTATATGTATATCTCAAACCTTCAAACTTCACACTATATTTAAATATAGTTTTATTAATAAGTTATAGGACAGATATGATACAGGAGTAACACCCAAATACAAAGGCCCAAAATATTAAAGTATTAAACGCAAGCCTAAATACAACTTAAACTACATTTGGTGTTACTGTAAATGGATATCTCATCCGTCTTTTGCATCAGGGACAAAGTTTTACGACTTTAAAGCTTTAACTTTCAGAAAATACATCATCACAATGCGATTGTAGATCTTTTTCAAACTCTTTCGAGAACCACCATATCTCCTGAATAGATTCATGGTTAAAAAATCCTTCTTTCCCAAAAAGTTGCCACAAAGTTAAAATCTTAGAATTGAAATCGTGAGTTTGATGAGGTAACAATATTAATTGATTCATTAGAATTTTAGGTTTGTTTGCCAATAAACGTTATCAATTAGTTAGATTAATTAGATAATTTCTAGAATAATTGAATTTGAAGAAGATAATGATAAGGAAAAGGAGAAAGAAGATGTCGATAATATACAATGAGCTTCAGTATGTTCTTTTTAAAAAAATTATAAAAAAACTTAAAAATTATAAAACATGTAGTACATTATTAAAAATGGTGTGTTTTAATTTTTGTCATCGATATAATAATAGTTAATTTTGTAATTATCCCAAAATAATAATATTGGACTTCAAATTCTATGTACCGTCCATATTGATTCTTATTAATGAAAAATTTTGATGATAAAAAGAAAAAAATTTGCCTATGTGCTAAAATATTTAGATGAAATGTATTAATGAAATGTTTTAATTGGTTCAGTATTTTGCTGAGTTGTCAATACATAAAGAGACTTATGGGTCATTGTTGTATTGATTACATTTTTTGGTATTTAATAGAGAGAAATCCTTTTATCTACAAGAAAGTCTTATGTTGTTCTCGTGGGCTTTGGTCTTCAAAACTCAATGACGATTGGGCTGGGCTTGAGTAGAGTCGGGCTTAAGAGAGCGAACAAGAGAGAGCTTCGCAATATCCGAAACGGCACCATTTCGAACGGCGGCTGAGTCACTGACCAGAAACTCATACGCCGCCTCGAACGCCTCTCGCCAGAACCTAGGAACCCTGACGCCGCCGGAGCGTCCGTACACATCCCACATCCGCCTCACCACTTTCTCTCTCTCCTCAATTTCCTGTCAATTTCGTAAAATCCCAAATTCAAAAATCCAATTCGGATTAAAAATTTCAAAACAGAAACCACAATCAAATTCGGTACCAGAACGTCGAGATCGTCGCCGACGGGAAATCCAACCTCGCCGTCAACAGAATGGAACAGAACGATTCCTTTAAGAGAGACGGAACCGGTTAACATAGATCCCAATGCCAAGAGGAGAACAGCGATAAGAACCCACAGCTTGTAACCAGCGCGTTTACGGTTGCTGCTGAGCCAACCGCCATTTACAGGTTTTCTCACCGGTAAGAGCGTTTGAGATTCTTCGAACTTCATTCCTTAACTGATATCCAAATCAAATTATGTTTATGGCCTGCTCTTGATAAAGGAACTAAGCTCAATGTGAAAAGAGAGACTTTACAAAAATGTCTACTGGATTTTTCAGCAAAATACGAAGTGGGATGGGCTAAAAGCCACGATGAAGTTGACTTCGTGTTGACTTTGGTAACGCGTTCCTATTATGACTGCGATATTTTAACTGGGTGAAGAGTGTATCCAATCCAGACGGTGGGTATTAAAGTCCCCGTGTCCAAACAGTCCTTAGACCAAACTAGTCTGATTTTGTTTAACAGTTCTCACCTGTATTAAATTATCCAAAATCAGCATAAACTCTTCTCTACTAAATGAGCTATTACTTCAGGAACTGTTTCAAGACATCAAGATTAATTATATGACCTGTAAGTCCATATATTGGATAATTCGACTTCGCCTCGATTTAATTATTTAGTGTATTGCGGTTTTCATTATTTTCAAATATACAAGTCAAAGATTGTAGATCTCTGAAATTGGGTAACAATATGAAGTTCAAACGCTTTGCAAACTCAATTCAGTGATTACTTTAACCCTATAGTGTTTAGGCGAGTGGATCAGAAACTCAGAGTTGCTAATGTAGCAAAAGGCAGACAATCAACATGGCATCAATTTCAGACCGCCCGTCTGCTATTATCTCATCATTGTATCTTCTTCACCATTGTTCTTAACATCGGAAGAATAAAATAATTTAAAAAAAAAACACATGGATTCGATTTCTGAAATCTACAATTTATATACTCCTCGAATTTGAAATACTGAAATTCAAAGGAAACTAAACACAGGTTCATAAATTAGAAAGAAAAAAAAAAGAGATTTGTCAATAAAAGAGTTTTAGGCTAATTGGCATCAGATAATAAGCAGAGATTGGTAGTCAACACTGATTCATCTGTATGTAGGATAAGATTCTACTCATCATTTGCCAATGAAAACCCTAATTACTTTAATCACTCGTATGAAAAAAAAAACATACTTTTAAATACATGAAGAACAAACCAAGAAGAAAACAAAAAGCAAAAAACTCTCGTACAAATTGAAGAAACAACTATGATCGATCGATGTGGAAACAGGGTTTGTTAGATATGCTTTTATATAACGAAGAGGTGAGTCAACTAAGCTAGGGTTTAGTTAATAATGGGCTTACTTTGATTGTAAAGGTCTAATGGGCTCCAAAATGTTTCAGCCCATCGCAATGGAAAATATGGTTTTTTTCTTTCTTTCTTATAATTATGTTTCGTATTGATGTATGTATTATGTATTATTATACATTGTTTATGTGTTTATGTTGATATCAATCATCAATGATTCTAAAAATGTTATTGGTAGTTTAGGAGTTGTAAGAGCCCAACATGTTTGACCGAACATGGCTAAAATGTGCGAACATTGTTATATTTCATATGCATGTGGGTGGAAACCAACAGTAACATATCCATAAAGAATCGTCCCATATGTAAAGTTCAAGTTGGGAGCGAGTCCACGAATATTCGATTTATATCAATTGTATATCATCGACCATTTTCGTTTTGTTTCTCTGATATACTTTAGAACAAACGTTTGTAAAATTAGAGAGCTGCAAGGTTAGACAAATTATCAGACAGCTTCAAAATTCATTATAGCTCTATATACTTTAAAGTCTATAAACATTTCTGGACTTTGGTCCAATAGATAAGGGACCATATATTGAGTAGAACACGTAAATCAAACCATATATATATTACCAAGCAAGTGGTCAGCTAAATTATTTGAGATTCATTAGTATTTTCTCGATTAGTAAATTGATTCAATTCTCGTTGTCATGTAAAAACATCAATGCTGATGTACTCATTAAAATATCACTAGGTATTTATCTGCGCTATGCTGCGGGATATTTTTCTAAATTTTGTATATATTTTTAATATAATAAAATTATTTTTAAAATGTAACTAAGTATTATATTTATTTTTTTATTAGCTTAAGTTATGTATTTATATGTTTTAAATCTGAATAAACATTATATATATATTTTTTCAAAATTATAATTTACTATTAAATTTAGTTAGCTAACTAATTATAAATGTATATATAAGAATAAAATGTATAAGAATAAAACAATACATTTTTAGTACTTTCATGCTAATGATAAATGTAATCTATTTTCTTCAATAAATTACCACATGATCCTCATTTGTAATTATATAAAGCAAAATATCATTTAAAAAAAATTTATTAATTAATATGATTATTTTAAATTATAAAATTTATTTTTTATCAAATATTTTATTATAAACATATGTTTTTAAAACTACCAAACTATAATCAATAACATTAATAGTAGAACTAAATAGAAAATTATGTTTGAACTTCTAAAATATCGTTTTAGTTAAAACTAAATAATTAAATTTTGGTTACTGTAAATATACTTTAATTTGGAAATTTAGCACAGAAAATTTCATTTTTTTCAAAAATCGAGAAATCGCATTTTTTGTAAAAAAAAAAAATTATTTTCCTATTAAACTGAAAAATCGACTATTCCCGCTAAAACTAAAAAAAATCATTTTCTCGTCAAATCTAAAATCTAAAATTTCATTTTTTCGCGAGAATCTGTGTTTTTCCACCAAAGCCGAGAAATTACGTTTTTCACAAAAACCAAAAAAATTTATCTTCTTGCAAAAACCAATAAAAAAATTGTATTTTCCTGCCAAAATCAAAAAAAAATTATTTTTCGTGTAAAAACTGAAAAATCGTCTATTCCTGCCAAAACAAAAAAAAATTTATTTTCTCGTCAAGCTCAGAATCACGCTTTTCTACGAAAACAAATAAACTACAATTTCCTGCAAAACTAAAAATTGCATAATCTCACGTGAAATTGTGTTTTCCTGCGAAAACTAAGAAATTGTTATGTTTTTATAAGTTCAAATTTTTGCTGATGTGTGAGCTTCTTATAACATAAGACTTTTTACGTTGTTATCATGGAAACATAGTTGATGCTGAGCCTACACTTTTTCAATCATATTCGTCTATGTCAAACAAAAAGATAGCTAGGATTTTATTTTATTATTTATTTGTTGTTATTTATTATTTGGATTTAGTTTTGGAAAAAAAAAAACAATGATTTAATTTTTTTATTTGTTTTTATTTATTATTTGGATTTGGCAAAAAAATAATAATTTTTTATTTGTTGTTATTAATTATTTGGGTTTGAGTTTGATAAAAAATAAAATAAAAATTAATAGAAAAAAATTTTGGGTTTTTAATGGGTTTAGTTTAAAAATTAAAATAAGTAGATGAGATGTATTAATAAAATGTTTTGATTGATGATTATTTTTGTTGAAGTGTCATGTTTATAGAGCTTAAAAAGCTGAAGTATCAAGCTATGGAGAGACTTTAGTGTTATTGTTGTGTTGATTTTGAACAAAAAGCTTCCGAAATTTGGTGTAAAACTCTTTACGTGACACTACTGGTAAGTCTGGTATGTATACACTAGCCTATATATTAAGTTGGTAATATAATATAAGATTCATAAGCAAGACTGACTGGCGATAAATAATAATACAATACATTATTGATTGTGTGGCTCTTCTCATATCATTCATACAAAAATTCGAAAAAGGAAAAAAGAAAGAAAGAAAGCAATATCCTATATATATGGGCGACAGCTTTCTTTCCCAACATCTCTCGTGATGGTACATTCTTTCTAGCTAACTCGGAAAAGATATAACTATAAGAATAATTCCACAAGATATATTTTTCATATAAGTATTCACAGAAAGCTCCATATATTCCCCGTTTACTACACAAATTCATATGGCATCATGACTTTTATAAATGTTCTCTTTCCTTTATGGTCCCAATTTCACTAGTAGTCAACTCACTACAAGAAAAAATGAATATTTTGACAAAAAAAATTATGACAAATTGTTTTGTCATAATATTGTGACTGTTTGTTTACGAAATTGTGATAAAATTATTTAGTAATAAAATTGTTACTATTTTGTCATAATGTTAATGTTGTGATAAGATCGAAGGTAACAAAATTTTGTTAATAATCATAACGAATTTGTTACAAAATATATAGTCACAAATATAGTTATAGATTTACGACCAAATTTAGTTATTAAATTATACAATTTTGCTAATTAAATTTAAGTCACTCGTAATTAAAAATATTTTGTAAGAACTTCGTCACACTTAATTACTATTTTGTGACTTTTACATTTAATTATAATATTGTGATATAATTATTATCATTTTGTAACACATAATAACTAAAATAATATATATGAAATAATAAAATGTAAAAAAATAATATTTAGATTTACAATTAATCGATATCAGAATTTATATTTTCAGCCTCAAATCTAACTTTCCCTTCTACTTCTATCTTGATGTGCAAGAATCAATTTGAACAATATAACAAAAAAATGAATATTATTACAAAAATTTAACAAATTATTTTATAATAATATTATAACATTTAGTTATAAAAATGTTATCATTTTATTACAATATTATGACTAGATTAAATGTAACAAACTTATGTCACAGATTCTACCACAATTGTTATAAAACATATAATCATATATTTTATTACAGATATACTACCAAATCTAATAAAAAATTAAATTTAAATCAATCACAGTTACTTACAAAAGTTTTGTAAATAATATCATCATAATTAGTCAGTATTTTTAGTGACCTTTGCACTTAGTTTTAAATTGCTACATAGTTGTTATAGACTAAAATCATAAATAAACTATATAAAAATAACTATAATTCCAAAAATAGAAAACTCAATAATATATAATAAATATAAAATAATATAAATGACATAATAATATGTAAAGAATATATGAAAAATTCTTGATGAATGGAAATATGACATGTGGTAATCATTCAAAATTAAAAACAATTGAGTGAAAACTTAGAGTATAAATTATAAAACTTAAACGTAAAAATTAATTAAAAGTACCCATTTTCAAAAATTCCTTATTTCTCTCATCCAGAAAACTGCCACGATTTACAACTTTGTTAAGATTTTCTTGATAAACTGTAATTTCAAACTTTTCATCTCCTATGTAACTTCCAATTGAACTCATTGTTTTCTCTATTTGATCTTCCTTTCTCTCTCTTTCACCATCGATTGGATTTATGTTTCTCATATTCATTCTTCTTTTTCGGTTTTTACTAATTCTGTTGCTCCTATTTCTCTCTGTATCAAAAAATATGGAGACAGGTTAATGATGTTTCCGATCTCTCGAAATAAAAGTCTGTCCACATCCGCATAGAAGTATTTGATTCTACAAACTTTTAAATTCTATTATTGCTTCTTATTGATTATTTTGACTAAAAGTCTCCACCAGATTTTGATTTTGCAAAACTACAAAACTGGTATTTTAAGCTTTAAGTCATATTCAGTACAAGCTTTTTCATTGTATCTTCTGTTTTTCATAGGTGGTTCGTCCAGCCCAGCCGTTTCACTTACCCTTGCCACCATTTTCATACATTGTTCACCATATTTTCTATACAACATCTGAAATGAATCATGATGCGCTACAACATATGGGATCTTCATTGGTTCAACAACTTTCTCTATGTTAACCACTGGTTCAAGAAAGATGTGACCGTAACAAAGTCAGAGTGGCTCACTATAATTTTTTTTTGTTTTATGTTTTCAATGTAATTAACTATTAGAGGAAATAATATTCAGAAACAGAAAATATTTGTCTCAGTTAATATTATGTATTCAATATATGATATGATTATCCAAAATATTACGAAAAAAAAATTTCATTTCTAGTATATATTAAGTTAATCTAGGTAAAAAGTACACACGCCTCCCTTATAATTTTGTAACGATTTTAGTAAAAAAAAATTACAATACTAATTAAATTGTGACAATCATGTGACTATAATGTAGTAATTAATTGTGACAGGTTTGTTATATTATTTTGGTTGCAATTTGTAACAGATTAGTAACTTAAATATAGTAATAACTAATGATTAGAATGTGATATTTTCTATCATAACTTGTAATTTAATTGTGATAGTATTTTTGTTACAAACTATGTCGTTTTGTGACTGTTTTAATGTCGTCACAAATAGTGACAAATCGTTACTATTATCAACCGTCACATTATTTTGTGATGTTTTTGTGACTAAAATAGGTTTGTGACGTTTTTATTGTGATCTTTAATAATATGTAACATTATCGTTACAATATAATTTTTGTGACGGAAAACTTATATATTATAACATAAAAATTTGTAACAATAATAATTTTTTTTTGTAGTGACTAGTAAGAAAGAGTAATGACTCAATAGAGATGATTAGGTTTGAAAGCATATTTCTTGCCATTTGAGTATTTAGAAAACTTGTGTAAGGAGAGTAGAAAAAACACATATGTATAGAGAACTAGAGACTGATGTTAGCTTGTGATATGCTAATATGTTGATCTTAAGCATACCAGAAAAAACTGTTGTAATAAACAAGAATCCCCCCCAAAAAAATATGGGTTTTGAGTGTATTCGGTTCTACCAAAAATAACTGAAACTAAATCTTCGTTTTGTTTAACATACACGAAATCTAGTAGACTTTTTATACAAAAATTAAGGTTTTTACATATTTAGTAATTTGTCTAATAAAATAACTAAAGTACCTTTCATTTAAAGTTTGTTTTCAATAAAAAGTTAGTGATTTTAAAAGTTTCTAAATATATATATATATATATATAATCGAACGATAATTATATTATTCATTCCTTGCATCATTTTTTCTTTGCACTGAGATCAACATTAAAATGGTTAGACATAAAGATAGTATGATACCGATATGGGCGAATAAGTAAAGGAAGTTATAAAACGTGGTCCACGAACGAACATAAGAAAGGATGAACTTAGAAAAAGATAACAATGTCGTTCACATGCCGTCCATCCATCTAGATGATTAAACACTTAGTTATAGGGACGAGGGCTGAAAATATCCCATGCTCATCTATAATGAATGATCGTTGTAATGTATCTGTAGTCACGTACGTCAGTCACAATATCAATTTGAATAGTTTTTGTTCTTCTAAACACTATCTATCCCATCCGAATATAGATCTACAACACTTAACTAAACAAACGTTCTTCTAAGCTCTAAGTAACATTAACATACGTAGCTAAGACTAAAAACGAATATTAAAATTTGGTTGACCAACTTGTTATACTCAGACCAGCATCCAATTACCAAATCTTGAAGAATATATTCCAACATGCCCATGCACACATGTTGGGTCAAACGTATTGTGTCCACTCCATGTCCATGCCGTCATGCCTATATATATACACATTTGGTATTAGAGTGTACTCATCAACGACATCACAAAAAAAGAGAAAAATACATAAATAGAAAACGGTGACATGAAGAATGAGAAGTTGTGTGGTAGCCAAGGATGACTTGCCTGCGTCTTTAACCATATCCATCAAAGACTCGATCGATAGTCTTTGAGTTGGTTAGTCGTTAGGCAGTCTCCTCGGCTATTCAGACAATTCTTTTTCTCCTCATTTCACATTTCTCTTTTTTTCGAAGACCAAACACGAAAAGGGTTGATATAATCGATTTTGTTTGGCCGTTCTAAACAGTTTTCTGTTTGGTTGGTCTCTAGATGAGATTGGGGTAGGACTTTGTCCATGTATAAGCATTGGGACAATGTGTTTTGAAAAATCGAGGGCTTTGCTTCACTGTGACCAAGAAACTTCACGTGGAGAGACTATGGATCTTGTCGCTGATCAGCATGTGTGCTTTCATCTTAAGTGGTAGGCGGCGAAAATATTATTTACTCTTGAGTATGTGATATCATCGTTTCGTAGTAAAGAAAAAGTCTCTAATCTTTTTAAATATAATATTTTTTCAGCATTTTTTTTTCACATAGACATGTACTAGCTACGTTAACGTATTGGTAATTTTTTTCATGCTCTTATTATGATCTTAAATCAATAAGCCAAATCGGTAAAAACTAATAAGGTACTACTCTCTCTTTTTCGCAATCGAGCTTATGGTTTTCTTTTACATGGACAAATTGGTTACCTCTTATATTATAAAGTTAGATCATATACTATTTGTTTATCATTTGAAGAAAATACATTTTAAAGTTTCTTCTATTTTTACCAATTGCTGTAGTTTCCAAGTCAAGTAATAATAGCTAACACAAAGTCTTGACATCCATGACAAATTTGATAAATGGACAAAAATATTTAAAAACATGGATAAATTTAGAAGAGAAAATATTATTACATCATAAATAGTCCCAAAAATATCTGAAGACACTTTCTGATATCTTCTTAGCGCCATGCTTCACCGTGACTGAAGACGACCGGATCGAAACTCCGGACAAAAAGGTCCCAAATTTTGACATTTTTTTTCCAAAATTTTCTTACTACACACCCAAAAAATCTAACCGGGCAAGACCTTCTTCTCGTTTTCCAGATCCTAAATCTCCGTCTCCTACAGATCTGCATAAATGGCGGTTACTCACTGATTCAGACACGGCAAAAAACGAAAAAGCTTTCTGCTTAAGTTTTGTATTACTTTTAATGGCGGATCCTCGAAACGGCAAGTCCTTCTTTTTCTTCTTCTCCTTTTCAATCTCCCTCGCTTTGCTTTTCATTTCGCCGTCGTATGCCAACCAGTCGCCGGTTATCGTTGATCCGACTCCGTACGAAACCGAAGATGTTTCTACCGGTGTAGCTGCTGTGTCGGTCAGTGAATCCAATCGACAAGATGTTCTATTGCATAAACTGGAGGAACTCGTTAAGAATCTGACGGAATTAGTCGCTAATCTAGATGCTAGGTTATCTGAAACTCTGGAATCGCCATTAACGGAGAAGAACGAGATCGGTAAATCACTTGACGAAATCGAAGGAGAGTATGAGAGAGGAGGAGGAAGAGCTAAGGCGTTTTCGGTGACTAAATACAGTCCGTTTTGGTCGGAGAGGTTCTCCTTCACATCAGCCGTGAAACTCGATTCCGATGCGACTTGTATCAATGTGTTACCCTTTAAGGATTTCGAAGGTTCGAGCAAATACTTTGCCATTGGGGATTCTAGAGGTACGGTTTATGTGTTCTTGAGAAACGGTGATGTTTTGATTGAGTTTCCCACCACGGTTGATTCTCCGATTACAGCTATGGTTTCGTATCTATCGTTGTTCAAGAACTCGAGCTTTGTGGTCACTGGTCATCAGAACGGTGCGGTTCTGTTGCATCGGATCCACGAGGGATCCAACGGCGAAGATTGGAACTCGAATACGGTTTCGATGGAAATTGTTGGGAGGTTTGATGTGGATGATTCGGCTGACCCCGTGACTCTATTGGAAGTTCATCATGTGGGTCGGGTTAGGTACATCTTGGCGGCGGATTTAAGCGGGAAGCTCACGGTCTTGACTGAGAACCGGACGGTTTATGGGTCGGTTATGCCGTCGAGTAGACCGCTCGTGTTCTTGAAACAGAGACTGTTGTTTCTTACCGAGTCTGGTGCTGGTTCGCTGGACTTGAGGAGCATGAAGATAAGAGAAACCGAGTGCGAAGGACTGAACCATTCGCTCGCGAGAAGTTACGTTTTCGATGCAACGGAACGGTCTAAAGCTTACGGATTCACATCAGAGGGCGAGATCATTCACGTACTGCTTCACGGAGATATAATGAACTTCAAATGCAGAGTTAGGTCCAAGAAAAAGTTTCAAATGGAGGAGCCAGTGGCTTTACAATCAATCAAAGGCTATCTTCTCGTAATCAACGAAGAAAAGGTTTTCGCTTTCAACGTATCGACTCAGCATTACGTTCGAACCGCTGGTCCTCGGCTTCTGTTCTCTGCGGGGTTAGAAGAGATCAGATCCGCGTTCTTGAGCCATCGTCAGTCGTTTTCAAGAACCGTGGCGGCAAAGGCGAGACCTTTGATAGCTAGCGACCGAGATAACCTTCTTGTGATCGGTTTAGGAGACGGTTACTTCGCGGTTTATAAATCGAAGCTTACGAGTCTCAAAGGAGACTTCAATACAATGCTTTGGAGCAGTCCTGTGTTCTTCTTCATACTGTTTCTGTTCGGAGCTTGGCATTTCTTCGCCAAGAAGAAAGAATCGCTCACCGCGTGGGGACCAGATGATCCTTTTACTCCGATGGCCGGACAGAACAGTACGGCGAAAGAGCCTTCTTTTACGGAGCCTTCTAGAAGAAACGATGACCTTATGGATCTACGTAGAAGGTACGTTGGTGGATCCGCGTACCGGTCAGTTGGAGCTAACGACCAGAGTTCGAGAGCTCCGGTGGAAGGAAGCTATAGAACAACCGCACAGGATCATAACAACTATCGTGGCGGCTCTGGTCTTGATTCGAGTGGGTTTGGTAATAGAAGAGATAATTTGTTTGGTAACAACAAAGTCTTGGACGACGAGAGCTAAGAATCTCTGGACTTTGCATTTGAATTTTGACATGTAAAATGGTTACACGAAGAAAGTTACATACAGTAATCTTCATAATCTTTGTAATTCTAAAGCTTTTTGTAACTCTTGTTCGTTTTTTAACCAGCATTTTCTTTAAATGTTCGAATAATGTTAATCTGGTCAAAGAATAGTTGTTCTTTGTTGCAATGTGTTTGACAACTTAACAAATCTCAATCATTTTGGTTTGGTCTATCATCATGTGCGTGTGATCGTGCTAGCAAGTGGATTATAGATGTGAGTGTTATTTAATTTTTTTTTTTTTTATATATCTCACATTTCTCCCAAATCTCGATTTATAATTTGTTAGGTTGACCATCAGATGATTCAACGGAATAGTCATCTCATCGAACGGTTGATCTTTCATCTTCAGCTTGTGGAATGCGAGAAAAGTAGAGGAATATTAGAAGCTTTTTGATTCATCGTTGTTTTCGTCGTTGCCTTCGTAGAAGAAGCCAAACAAGCTCTATATTCTTCTTCTCTCAAACAACTTCAAAAGCCGGGAGGTTTGACCCGAGACCACCGAAGAAAACAGCAACATTTCTAGGGTTCTCTCTGATCCAGCACATTGCACAACTTTCTTTTTTTTTCCTGTTTAAGGGAATCGGAGAAGATTCATTTTTTCATTCTAGCTTCTGGGTCTTCTCTTTCGATTTCGCTAGTGAAGAAAGGAGAGAAAGTTAACGGCCATGGCGGGTCGTAGAGATAGAAGCCAACAGCTCCGTGGATCTCGAATTGCGATCGCCATCCTCGTCGGTATCCTTATCGGGTGCGTATGCGCCTTTGTGTTCCCAAACGGGTTTTTCAACTCCAACTCGTCGCTCACAGTAAACGAACGCCTTTCGAAATCCAGCGACCAGGTACTTAAATCTTACGCCTTGGATCTCTAGAGCTCTTGATATCGAGTTACGTTGATCGATTCGCCTGAACTGAGAATTCGCTGCGCTAGTCTCTCTCAGCCATTGTAGCTATTTAAGTAGAATAGAATGTTTCTAAACATGGAAAATTCTTCTTGGTGTTGTGTTTGTTGGAGATTAGGCTTGGTCAATTACTGGAAATTGTATCTCAATTAGGAATTAAGTTGAGTTGTTTATGGATTTGGTGATTTGAGTTTGTAGTTTACTTGGTGAAATTTCATTACTTATTTGTCTTTTTTTTTCTTTCGTTCAGGTTGGATCATCGTCTTGTGAATCTCCCGCACGAATCAGAATGCTGAAATCGGACTTTGCATCTCTCTCAGAGAAGAACGCAGAGTTAAAGAAGCAGGTCAGGGAGCTAACAGAGAAGCTAAGGTTAGCTGAACAAGGATCAGACAACGCACGAAAACAGGTTCTAGCTTTGGGATCGCAGATCAAGGCGGGTCCTTTCGGAACTGTCAAGAGTCTGAGAACTAACCCAACCATCCTCTCCGATGAATCTGTAAACCCAAGACTGGCAAAGATCCTGGAGGAGATCGCCGTCGGTAAAGAGGTCATCGTGGCTCTTGCAAACTCAAATGTGAAGTCGATGCTAGAGGTTCAGATTGCTAGCGTAAAGAGGTTGGGCATAACAAACTACCTGGTCGTCGCATTGGACGATTACATTGAGAATTTCTGTAAATCGAACGATGTTGCGTATTACAAGAGAGATCCAGACAAGGACGTGGACACGGTCGGGAAAACCGGAGGTAACCATGCCGTCTCCGGGTTGAAATTCCGTGTGCTGAGAGAGTTCCTGCAGCTCGGCTACGGTGTACTTCTCTCGGATGTGGACATTGTCTTCTTGCAGAACCCGTTCAGTCATCTGTACAGAGACTCTGATGTGGAGTCGATGAGCGATGGACATAGCAACATGACGGCTTATGGATTCAACGACGTCTCTGATGAACCAGCCATGGGATGGGCTCGGTATGCTCACACGATGAGGATATGGGTTTTCAATTCCGGGTTTTTCTACCTGAGGCCTACGATTCCATCGATCGAGCTGCTCGATCGCGTAGCAGATAGACTCTCCAAGGCAAAACTGTGGGACCAAGCGGTTTTCAACGAGGAGTTGTTTTACCCTTCGCATCCTGACTACACTGGCCTGCATGCCTCCAAGAGAGTCATGGATATGTATGAGTTTATGAACAGTAAGGTCCTTTTCAAGACTGTGAGAAAGAATCCGGAGCTGAAGAAGAAGGTGAAACCGGTGATTGTTCATGTGAATTACCATCCAGACAAGCTCAATCGAATGCAAGCAGTGGTTGAGTTCTACGTAAATGGTAAGCAAGACGCGCTTGATAGCTTCCCAGATGGTTCTGAATGATTTCACCTGAAAAGCAGGCTAGGCTCAAAAGGTTTTCAAATTTCTTGACATTTGTGCTTCTAATTTCACTTCCTTAATGGTTTCTTCCATGTTTACTGCATCGTGCCTTCTGTTTTCTTTTTCTTTTCTTGTATCATGAATTTTGTGTAACTTATGGCTAAAGTCTCGATTTTTTTTTCTTCCTTCTCTGTTCTTTCATTGTCTCTCTAACTCTCTTAGGCTCTGTTTCATAGTTGGGTATATCTCAAGTTTGAATGATATATGTTCAAGTTCAAGCCACTTAATAATGTAATATATATATATATATATAATGTAATGTTTTTCAAGACCTAAAAGGAATGAATATAGAAACATACATCTTAACACATTCTATCTACAAATAATGCGTTGTGAAAATAAACTCACTGCCACTGGTACTATGAATACCGACCGATTCTAGTACAAAGAACCAAAACCATGAACTGAACCAACAAACTAAGACTCCAATCATTGTTCTTTCCTTCTTCAATCTCAACTAACGACCTTTAGCGTTCCCAAGTGTGAGCTCTAGATCCTCCATGGCCACATCATGGATCCTCTCCCCTTCCCATGGCTTAACTTGGCTGTTCTCAAATTTAAATTCCGAGCCTTGACCAATCTCTTGTGTTGCTGCAGTGTTTGGAGATAGCTGCTGAGGTACTGGAGGTTTCACTAGATTGAACGTAGGAGAGGCTGGCACTCCAGAGCCGCCATGGAATGGCTGTTGTGAGAACTTTTGAAAGCTTATCCAGTGACCCGAATCAACAGTGGAAGAGTCAGACTCGTCACATTCAGGTATAGTTGCAGGGGCGTTGAACTGGCGATGGTGAGTGGGACTCGCAGGTGCGGATACAGCGTAGAACGGGTAGTTGAAAGATGACATTGACTGTTTCGCAGCAATGGCCATGGATTGTTTGGCAAAAGACTCCCAAGTGGGCAGTGGTTTAGGGTTTTTAGAGGTCGGGGATGAGACTGGAGGAGTGACTGGAGCACTGTTTGAGATTCTAAGTGGAGGAAGCGATGAAGGAATCCCTCCGTTCCTGAGGAAAGGGAAGATCGTGGAGATGTTGTGTGTGTCGCCGCCACGAGAAGGACTCGGGAATGAAGAAGACGATGGACTGACTTGGTAAGAAAGGATGGGGCTTTCGAAAGGGCTTTGGCAATGGGAAGAGTAAGGAGTGGCTCGTGAGGATGATCCAGCCATGTCACCGAGAAGAGGCTTGTGTCCCTGATGGTCAAATTCAAACAACAATAGCAAAAACACAACCGTGTCGCAATCAGTTTCCCAGGAAATGAAGAATTATATAAAGACTTTAGATCAAAAGACCCTTTTCCACTGTAATAAAAAAAGCAATGACTGAGATTTTCAGGTACGCTAAAAAGCTAAGGGAGAGATCTAAATATAGTAACCCAGTCCTAAATCTCCACTCACTCTGAAATTAGTAAGAATCACCCTATATTCACCTTCTCCAAGTCAAATCAGAAGAAGCCTAGATCCACTTATAGAAATTCTTCCCATTTAACCAATGAAATTCATCTAAATGTTGGTGAAAACCCCAATCAAAATCGAGAAAACACATTTTTTGAATCAAGAGATAAAAAAAAAAAGACTTCAGATTCATCAGCTAAAAAAAATAAGAAACTTTTACAGATAAGCTCAGATCTAAATCGAATACGTGCGAAATTCACCTTGCGATAAGTGGTTCCGTCTTCTTCAACAACCCAACCAGCTTCAGAGCAAAGAGCCTTGAGCACTTCATTGTTGTCGCAGTGCTTGGGCAGATTGTAGTTACCTTGAGCTCTGAGACCGGTATAAATCTTCGCAGCTACAGCTCTTCTCCGCCTCTCCCTCCTCCGATTGTTCTCCCTCTCTCTCCACGACGGCTTCCTCCTTGTAGCCATCGCTGCTGCTGACGTCGACGTCGCACCGTCAGACGTCATTTCTTCTCCCACCCTCAAAACACCAACCCACCTTCAAAAACCGATCCGAATCCGGTAAAAAACGGTTCGCTTCGAATTGTATGCACGGATTGTGATTCAGCTGAAGGAGAAGACGAAGAAGAGTGAGAAGTTAGTGGTCACGAGGAATACGCTTTTCTCTCTTCGCTGGAATTATAGAAGAATCTTTTTTTTAGTTGTTTTATATAAAAAAAAAACTGAAAGAAGAACAAACAATTAAAAAAAAAAAAAAGCAAAAATTGGGTGATTTGGGTGAATGTTCGAGTGGGCGCAGGTTCACGTTACAGAATTTTACTGGTGATTTGACGTAAATCAGCCACGTGTCAATCAAAGTTTGACGAATGGTGAGAAAAGCTGTGGCGTACCGTAAGTTACAGTATGGTTTTGCGTAACGAATCAGTTGAAGCAGTACGTTATGTTTAATGTGTATGTATGTTTCTCTCAATGACCAGATTTATAAAGAGAAAAGTTGATAAGACATGTGGGGTCCGCTCATTGAAGCGGGTCCCTTTCTTGTATGACCCGAAAACACCCCATCTGATTGGTTTTTCGGCCATGTTAATAGAAACCAAATTATTTTAAGCCTCATAACATTAGTGAGTTTTTCTTTCTAAATTTAAAAGTAATTGTCACTATAGAACTATAGTATGAACGAAACAAAATAAATGCTCACTTTCGTCCTGATAAATTATCATGTTTCATCCAATGATTGCTACTTTTTTTTTTTACTTTGTTTGCTTTCTAACAAACTTATTGAAATTTGTGTATATGTTAATCTGTTGTCTTTTGAGGCGAATTATACGGACATATTCGTAAGTTTCAACCTTATACTATAATTTCACAGTTTAGTAAAGAGATTAGTAATTGGAAGAAGTAAGGACCGATATTTTTATTCACAAAACACTATTTTGTCAAACTGGAAACCTTTATGTTTGAATATCGGTTGATTTGTTTCTGTGATTTGTAAGCATTATATTATTTGATTGCTATGACAATCAACTATACTTGGAATTATTGTTGGGCCCTTCCCTTCATTGGTCATGATTTTCTTTAATTTTCATGTTTTCTGAAAATTGTAAAGTTCATTGAACATAATAGGAAAATTGGATAGTGGATTTGCCCCACACATTGACCCATCACAGCAGATATCATCTTCCAACGAGTATTATCTCACTTATTGAATTCATTTTACACGCTTTTGCCTTTAATTATTCATATTTTGTTAGAAAGAAAAAGAAATCTAGTGAATGGTGATCTTCATATAGTATGTGATCTTATTTTATTGATGATATAAATATTTTGTAACATCTGCGATGAAAACAGGTGAAGAAAAAGCTTACTAAGTTGATGGTATAGTGATGTCAAAAAAACAAAAAGAAAGATGGTACAGTTCTGAGACAATAATCTAACAGTAGCTGTCTCAGGCTTCTACGCAGATTCTAACGTTGGCTTCAACCGAAGTCGTTTTACAAAAATCATACCTTCTAATGCAATCCAAAGGTCTCCTCGCTGTTCTCACTCCTCACCAAGAAAATGAGCCATGGAGAAACAATCATGAAGCTTGGTCCAAGCCAGTATTCTTCTAGCTAAAACCTGTTGATGCACCCACTAATCTTTCAAGAAGTATCTCAAGTCCTGGAAGTGCAACGGTTCGTTTCCCCAAGAGGTCCATCCAGCAGCCATTTCCCTAGCAAATAGCTCAAGGCACCGAGCTGGTTGAGACCCGGGAACATGTTTCATTAGTATCTCTGCACAAAAATCCAAGTGAAAAAAAAAATAGAATCAGGGAACTGTATAGCCAATCGCAGAACAAAGCTGTTGAAATACCTCCAATAGGGGGTTTCCTCGAAAAATCTCCAGGGATGCTCATGATGGTTTTGTTCTCATCCAAGAGTTTAAAATCTGACCTATGCTTTGATTCTGAAAGCTAAGACAATACATACACGGCTGTGAAAAAGAAGCTCACCGTGTGCAGATTATCCAAGTAACAAAGACAAGAATTGGCTTACTTCCGTAAATCGGTAGCCTAGTAGAAGATATTCATACGGTTTATGATGGACCAGGTCCAGATCGCATATCAGTGTACCATCGGGTTTCACCTGAAACATATTACAAAGCCACCGTGTTTGAAATATCAAGTCATGTACGCAAACTCAGAAATCAAAATGGGAGAAGTGCAAGTTGGGCTCACCTTTAACCAATACATTGTAGCTACGTACTTAATCCCCCACGCAGGGAACAGCTCCTTCTCAACAAAGTTGAGTAATTTCTCTCTATTGGTCACCCATAAAGCCACGAGAGCTCCTTCAGGATGAGTAAGCTGATTGATTGGGAGGGATAAGAAGTATCTGTTTGGTAAAGTAGGATACCTAAAACAAGAACCAAAGAAACTATCTTTCAAATACAAAAACAGCCTATTCCACACTCATATAGTTTCACAGAGGAAGGAACGAACTTAGACTTCTGATGAGCGCTTGCGTTTTCCCAAGGTGGATCAATAACTATAAGATTGAAGCCTTCTTCAGGTTTAGCTGCATTATCATGTCAATAAGATAAACACATTGCTAAGCTCATTCGCCTACCGATAAGGTCATGACTGATCTTTTAAGAAAGAACTTAGGCCAAAAAACTCAAAAAAAGCAGCAAAAAAACGTCTAGATGGAGTACTATTAGCACAATAGTTACCAGGAACAAGGTTTCGGATGTGCAGTAAATCAGACTTCAAGGCAACGGTAACAAACGCGAGACCGGAGAATGAAGATTAAACAAGAAGAACCATATCACGCATCAACTTGGTCAAGTAAAAAAAAATCGATCTTTAGACAGCAATCATAAAATAGGCGAAGAAATTATCACAAACCATGTAGAAGCAACTCTTTCTGGGCAATATATATCTCCGGTTGGAAAACTCAGCTTCAACTTCTTCTTCTGCCTCGTTCACTACTAAGTTATTGAACAGTTGATACACTCTCTGCTCACTGAATTTCTCAATTGAGCAACCTATTAAGACTACAAAAAAGCCCCATCAAATTCATAGTTTCCAAGTAGGATATAGCAAGGTGAATTAGAGGAGAACAAACCTTCGTTATCGCAATGTAGATTCAAATCCAGTGTTATCTCATACAAAGGAGCTTGCCACACTCCTCCAAGCTCAACAAAAGAGAGTTCGTCGCCGCAACACTCGGTCAAAGTCAACAAACTCGATTCATCATCATCACTTAGCCCTTTCGTCAAACTCAACAGCTCGTCTTCCCGTAGAAGCGATTCATGCGCTTCCGATAAGAACAGCCTCGCTCCCTGGAATGTGAGAACCGTTTACGGTAAATCTCTAGTGCTCAATAGATAAGAAAAACTAACCACAGGGGAGTTATGACCTGATGACGAAGGTTCGAAGCTTGCTCTGCTGCACTAGGAAGGTGAGGGGAAGGCTTTTTCGGCTTCCGTTTCCGCTTTTTTGGATTAGGGTCGCTGGATTGTAGATTGAGATGCTTCGAATTGAAGAAACGAGAGTAGTAAGCAGAAGGTGAAACCCTAAATCGGCCATATGAACTGTTGATTATACGAACTGGGTCTAGGAAGAACCATTTGGAGTCGTCGGATTCGTAGATACCCGAATCAAGGAACCGAGCAAGCCGATCAGTCTTCGCCATTAACGAACGGCACAACACTCTCTTCTCTACCTCTCTGCTCAAACAAGGACTCGAAAACACGACAGACTTATTAATAATTTAACTCCTCCAAGTTTTACAACTGCTAACAATTAACCCTCTAATTTCGAATGTTACAAGCGACCCCAAAATTCGAGCAATCGAAAATTTGCCGGTAACCAACGGAATTTATTCATTTACTTCAAACAAGAAAAAACCCATTCTGGTCACTACTAGATAGATATATTTATAGCTTATGTTTAAATAGTATGATAAAAATTTTGATTTTGATGGGAGGGAAATGGTAAGCATTAAAAGTTATAAATAATTGAAGCAGGGGTTTGGTGAGGGGTCGCTTTGATAGTTTCCCCAAATATGGGGACGGTTTCATTTGTGGGTGGGCTTTGTAAACTGTGACTATGACAATGACCCCATTAAAGTTATGGACATATATAATTGATCCAAAGCTGTAATTACATATAGTAAAATCACATCTTTTATTTAGCTTGGTAACAAATTAAGATCATTTCTAGTTTTGATTATTATTAATCTAAAGTAGATATGATTTTGTAAATATACAATCTAATAGTTTGTGTTAGAGTGAATTGTTATGATTATTGGTTGAAATTTGAAACGACCCTTATACTGTTATGGTTTGTTGTATATTTGTGGTTAATCTAATTTATAATATTGTTTTGTTTTTCGTTAATGTCTTAGTACTTTTACAAACCATGGCATTTTTGGGGTGAAAGGAATCTAAAATAAAATAATTCAGGAAAGTTTTTGTTATTATATGAGTTTATATTTGTTGTTCAATGTTTGTTTTGCTGTATTTGGTCTATTTATGTCACTAATATTAACCACTACTTGTTTTCGTTAGTTTGGTTTATTTTGCTGTTTACAGAACGTGGTTTACAAAAAGTTTTTAAAAAACATATTATTTGTCTACAAAAAATGTTAGGAAGAGAGCAATAATTATATAAGAAAAAGAATTTACAAGATAAGGATTGGACAAAGTTGATCCAAATTTCAAACAATGGATGGTAAAAAAGTGAGGTGCAGAAGGGTAAAATCGTCATTCAATTATTAAATGGGTCCCATTCATCCCTGTCTTTATTAAACACCAGTCAACCATTCAGGTCAATCGCGTGTCTAAAATTACGAAAAGTACCCCCTCCGGTTAAATCCAAAAACAAAAACAAAAAAACCGGTTCTGTTTTTGCATAACGCATATAGAGAGTTTCAGTACAATGCTTACGTGGAGAGTTTCAATTGGTCAACGTGGTGGGAACCGGTCGCTATTATCACACTCTCTCTCCTCTTTCCCTCGCTTACTAGAATTACTTCTCTCTCTCTCTCTCTCTCTCTCTCACTTCCCTTCTCTCTCTGCTTTTTCCCTCTTTTTCTCTTACTCTCTCTGCTTCTTCCTGTGGGACAAACCCTAATAATTTGCATCGAAGTCTCTCCACTTTCCCGCTCAATCATCTGATTTTTCCCTCTCTCGCAATGCATGATCTTCGATTTTTTAGCAGTGTTGAGAGCTGAAATTCGAGGAATTTTTTATTTCCTCCTTGTGTCTAAATCGGGAAAGGAAAAAGAAAGATTCGAGAAGAAGAAGAAGAATGCTGGAAACTGTAGATAGCTCCGGAATCGTCAATGGAGGATTCCCGCAGATTCAGAGCTTTTGCGGCGAGAGCAGTAGCGAAGAGGAGTTATCGGTTTTGCCACGTCATACCAAAGTGGTCGTCACCGGAAACAACCGTACGAAATCGGTGCTCGTTGGTCTTCAAGGTGTTGTCAAAAAAGCTGTCGGCCTCGGTGGTTGGCATTGGCTGGTAAAGAAAAAATATTTTAGCTGATTTGTTTAATTTTTTCCCCTTTTTGGTAAAATGTAAATCTTTGTGATTTTTTCCCTTTTCGGTTTTTTTTCTCTGCAATCTCTGGATTTTACCAAGTTTGAATCCAATCTATTGAATCGATTTAGAGAATTTTGGGGGTTTCGAATTTCGAATTTCAAATATGGGTTTTTTTTTTCTTGGATTCCTAAAAAATGACTTTGTTCTGGGTATGTGTCTTACTTAAATGATATATCATCAATGCGCTTCGATTTACTATTTATTAATCAAATTCTGATGTTTATTATCATCAATTTACTTCTCTTCGCGTCTAATCATTAAACCAAGAGTTAAGAGTTTGTTTAACAAATCTGATCTTTTTGTCTTTGCCAATGTTAAATCTGTAATTTTCGAAATCTGGCGATTAAGCTTCTTGCATGCATGATAACACTTAAGTTACCATTATTGTTGCTGGATTTTACACTGTTCAACTTCCATTTGAGGTGTTAGGTTCTTCATGAAGCCTTCATTGATTTTTTTTCTCCCTATTAGTTTTTGTTTTATGATCAAACTTTGTTTTCATATAATAAAGCTTCTGAAACATCTTTTAGTATCTGCTTTGATGTTTCTTGCTGAGATTCAGGCTCAATTTGAGGAATCATCTAAAGGGGATAAGGGAATTTTTGAGTTTGTAACATTAAGTTAGGCAGAAAAAAGAAGACAACTTTATTTTCGCGCCTGTTCCAAAAAAACATCATATCAAATATGCACTTGTTATCTGATTCTCCATCATTTTTCTTGACAATTTTATCCTTCTTTTTTCGCCACTTTATGGATTCAAGCTGGCTTTTGAAATTTAATTGGCTTTGATCAATGATAATCAATTGTTTTAGGGAATTTTTTTCTTCTTTCTTTTTTAGTTGAGTCATTTTCGTCCCCAAGCAAGTGTCACTTCTGTCGTTTTTTTTTCTATCAAAACTTTTTCTTTTGGTTGGTTTAGTTTATATTATAAGTTGTTCTGCAAAATCTTTTTTTTATATAGTGTCTCTGTGTATGTGGACCAAAAGGAGTAACTTCACTACATTCTGGCTTTAAACTTTAAAAGAACAATCGAAATAATATACGATTTTCTTGACCATTACGAATATATTTTACTATCAGTGATATCACATTCCACCAGTTCGTGTCTCCCAGAATTCCCATGGAAATAAGAAAAAAAGTTTATTTATTAGCGAAGCATATCGTATCCTTCTTCTTCTGGAGCTTATTTAAATGAATATGTCAGTAGACAGTACTTGTTTATGAAGTAAAATAATTAATCAGAATCATTGTTGTTTTTAAGGTTTTAACAAATGGAATAGAAGTAAAGTTGCAGAGGAATGCGCTTAGTGTCATTGAAGCTCCTACTGGAAACGAAGAAGACGATGATCTCGATTTCGAAAACACGCAGAGGAATGGCTCCGATATGAGTAAGTTTACTTGCTTGTTTTCTTCAAGATTCTGCTTTTCAAAGTTTTTCATGAAAAGAAAAGTAGTAGTTGTTTTAAAGGATTCTGTCAATTGTACAAAAACATTGATAGAGAGGACTTCACTTGTTTAGTTTTCATTTTCAATGAGTTAAAAAACTAAGTGGGCATATTGTAATTTGGAGACAAAAGTGTTTCAACTGATTGTTCAAGTCTTGTTTCTATGACAAGTTGTTTCTTTTCCAGCATCTGAGGACACACTGAAGCCTCACAAGTCGAAGCAAAGAGGGCAGAGATCATCGCGGTCATCTCACAAGACGATGAGCAGGTCTCTATCATCTGATTCACAGTCCAAAAGCTCTGGTTTTACTCCCCCTGATAACATGGTATGCATCTATTCCACTGAACCATTGAACATAATGTGGCTAATCGTATGTTTGCTGATGCAATGCTATATGCTTTCACGCAGAAGGTTGATCTTAGCAAACTGGAAATGCCTGCTTTACTGAAATATTGGCGTCATTTTAACCTCGTAAGTTGTTTTCAAGAAGAAGAAGAAGAAAAAAAACTTGTCTTTACTCAATCTAGAACCCTTCTTTCTATGTGCTTGCTTCTGAATAAGTTTCTTGTAGGTGGATGCAATTCCAAATCCATCAAAGGAGCAACTAATTGACATTGTTCAGAGACACTTTATGTCTCAGGTATACATCGTCACTAGATTCGTCTAATGTTTTTCAATTTTTTTGCTGATTATACTATAAAATGTTTCTAAAACTGTGATATGAATTACAGCAAATGGATGAGCTTCAAGTTATTGTGGGGTTTGTGCAAGCTGCAAAGAGAATGAAGAAGGCATGCAAGTTGCAATCAAAAGAAGCCAGAAACACTGATCTTAACTGCATCAGCTAAAAAAAGAGAAGCCCTGACTTGTAACAGATCCTGTAAGTACGGTGTGCCAGACTTGCTTAACCATTTGTGTGGCTTGCTGCTAGTTTTAGTTCTTTCTCGAGATGTTTGGCTAAAGAGTAGATGTTGTTTCTTCTCGCTTCTCTTGTTTAGCCATGTAATTACCCTCATCAAGAAACCATAATGACCCTCTGGAACCAAGAAACATGTTGACTCTCTAATGCTCCCAAATTGAAACTTTCTGTTCTGATCCTATCATGGGATATATTGGTATGTGAGAATGTAAATACGCGTTGATATTTGACTTTTCTCGCTCTTTTTTTTCGTTTTTCAATTTCTTAACTTGGAAGTTAAAATCAAATTGAATGATGCAATTTAGTCCAATGAGGTTTGAAGAGGTCGTCGTTGTGTGTTTTACATTATTTTTGGTTTTTCGATTTTTAAATTCGAATGCTTGCAACAATGCTCATCTGAGAGTAAATTAGGTTCGGAAGTACAATGCCGAACGATCGTTTGGTTTGCGGAATACGTGACTATTCGAGAGAAGCACTCAAATTCTAAGATGAAAACTATACTATAACAGAGTTATGTTTTCAACAGTTTAAGTTACGATTTTAGTACTTTGCATTTATCGAGTGAGTAAAATAGTTCATGTTAAAAAGATATTAAATATTATTGATAATTTTGTAGTATATTATTCCATTACGCAAAAATTTACCAACCACACATTTTTCAGTACTCTTTATTCAATAATTTATAAATGATAAATTCAGTTTGCGGAAATTATCTCATTCCGCAAAACTTTTATTTGCTATCCGTCGATATTACCAATCGTCGTTGATAATATGGATCTATATAGCTACGTCGATCTAGGGACAGAAAACGATAGAGTAATTAGCATTGGTACAAGTAAAAGTGCTGGAAGCATCATCGTATGCGTAGCTATACGCTTTGGGACAAGCCGCTTTGAATATCTTCGAGTAGTCCGTGGGAGGACAAGTCTCCGGTCTATTGAACGCACCGGTGCAACAGTACTCCGGTTTGTTAAAAGCCTCGCAAGCGCTCTTACACGCCACAACGTTCCCACCGTCCATAACGCGTAGATCGTTAGGACAATTCGCGTTCAAGTCCGAAGTGCATCCGACGTTTTGGCAATCCCCTGAGCCTCCTGATGTCGTGATTCCCATCTTGACGTTGTAACCGTCGACGAGGCTTACGTCGTAGAAATCCTGCCCACCGTTAGTGCCGATTGTGAATTCCGCGAGTGTAACCGGTGGACGTCCTCCTGCGCCGGCGCATTTTAGTTTGTTGCCGCAGTCTCCGGTAACGCAGCTTCCGGCACCGGAGCCGTCAAAATTGCAGCCTGTTCGTCCCCAAAATCTCCCGGACCATCCCGCAGGTGCGGTTACAGCGACGGAAGCTCCTGGGGTTAAAGCAAATCCGCCGTCATTGAGTTGTGCGCCGTTTCCGGTGAGGACTCCGGCCCAAACGGGGAAATTGCACTTGTTGGCTACGGTGAAAACGGTGCAGGAGACGACGGAAAATGTCCCTTGCAAATATACAATCGAAACGAATTAATTAGATTAGATTATATTGTTTTCTCTGCATGTAACATGCAAACATATGATTCCTAAAACTCTGTGTGCAGTTTTAATTATAAGAAAAATAATTTATAAGAAATGTTTGTAGAGAAGAGCAAAATGTATGTATGCATACCTGTTGCTATGATGAAAGAGAAGAAGAGAAGAGCTAATCCGGAGAAAGTCGCCATTTCTAATCTCAAGTATCGATTGTGTGATGATGAATGGAAAGTTAATGGTATGGATTGCTCTATTTATAGTTTTTTTTTTTGTTCCATTGCTGCTACGTACCAATAGAGTTTTTCATTTAATATTATATTTATTATAGACTTTTTTTTTATAAAAAAGGCTTTCGTATTTATTATAGACTGATACGTGAAAAAAGGTTTTTTGTTTCATTGTAGCATAAAATTCAAAGTTCTGCCTTAAAAATTTAGTTACAAAAAAGAGACCTGCCATAACTAAAAACAAATTAACTTTAAAATACAGTAACAGAGCTCTAAAAATTAATAATATTAAGATTCTAAAAATAGATTCACTCATTTGCTGATTTTGTCTAAAAATATATGATAATTATTAATTTAAATATTGTTAGAAAATTAGAATCTTCTAAAACTTCTTTTGTTTGAAACAAAATACCTTTTTAATGTAGTTTATGATACTACTAACAGTATATATATTCACATGGAGAATTTGTTAAAATTGTTATTTTATTGATTTGTGTTAATATTTTGAACTGATCCAATTACAGTAAGTATCAGATTTGTATTATTGATTTATCATGTATTGATTTATAGAATTCATAATATATAAAATCACATCCTTTGTGTGGTCTCAGAATTAAAGTTTTAGGAGAAGGTACAGACAGAATTAAAATTCCGACCTTTGCAGACTTTTCTAAGTCAAGTAAATAGGTTAGGCGAGGACTTGACAAAGACGTACAATGTATCCTAGTGTTGTATGTATTTCTTTCTATTTTCTTCTTCTTAACAGTATGGTTGAATAATCTTTCTTTTTTTTTGTTAAAGATCTTTCTTTTTTTGTTACCTTATAATCGTTTATTTCTTCGGTAGAGTTATTTTTTTCTAGAGCATAAGAGAAGCAGTTTTCATATTACTTCTCGGAAGATTTTTAGTGACACCATTATTTCTATTCCATTAAAGTATCTGATTTAAAGAAAAGAGAAAACTCATTGATCCGTATGTTCATGCCATTCATTCGGTTTTGTTTTAGTCTGTATACCAGAAATTAAAACTTGGAGTTTCTCGATGCCGTTCCAATTCGTGTGTCCTCTTCTGCTAACGAGATCACAAGTTGAAGAAAAGAAATATTCAAAGATCCAAAACACACGACACAATTTTATTTTGATCTGAAAATAAAATGATAATTGATGACTACTTTTCCAATATAGTGATCACACATTTATTCAAAGATCCAAAACACAAGACACAATTTCGTTTTTTTTTTTTCTTTTCTACAAATTTATTTCGATTTGCGTTAATTTACCAATCACAGAATTTTTAATTTAATATAAATGTATTCTGTATAATACTCTCTATCTCTCTGTCTGGTCCCATTTTCATTTAATGAAATGACTAGTTGAGAAACGTCTTGCCTTTAACTGGCAACTGGGTTATGTAGTACTGTAGATAGAATATTTGTTATAACTTAAAGCTTAACGATCTTGACATAAAAGTTGAAATACATAAAACCGTTAAAGGCAAATCGAGATTTTGTAGTCGTTTAAGAGTTGAATAGAAACTTTTAGAGTATTTCTTTCTTGTTACTTTTTTTCCCCACAGAATTATACATGTGTATACTATTTTGCTTCTCTCCATATGGTTGCCTCATGAGTCATGACCATGTAACTTAGTAACTACAGATATGACATTGCCATGTATGAATATGACAACATAACATTCAAAGCTAATGCCGACATGAGAAATTTGAGTGTAGATCTGAGTCATTTTGAATTCCAAAAAACTTATTTTGCCAACAATATATATTATTAGATGATCTCTTAACACACTTGAATCAAACTTTCAAGTTAAAGGGGTAGAGATGACTGAATGGTGAAATAATAAATGTACTTGATTTCACAAGCACGGTTTTGAGATTTTAGTTTTTAATGACTCTTCTTCAATTAGATTCTCTACAAGAGTTTCAAAAGATTTGATTCCACAAATGTTTAGAAAACTTGCAGGAACAATTGTTTCTAAAGAAACCAATGATATCAAAATTAGAATCCACTATATTCTTATGACATTAGATAGAGGTTTTTGTTATTGCAACAAGGGTTATAAAGTTGAACTCTGATAATAATACAATGATAATATTATCACAAACTATTAAGCTACAACCTACAATCATGGTCATTTAGAATTTTATCAACTAAGGAAGCATTTAACACTTTTAACAGTCAAATATATATTATTTTTTACATGTATTTCTTTCAGACCAAAACAAAGTTTATAGAAAGAAATATTCAGAGAGTTTGTTTCAAAAATTATGTCATTTCATTTATTTACATATATTAAAAAATATGCACTTTATTTTATTAAAAAGCTAAATAAATTTATCTCTCTAATGAATATATTACTGTATATCAATAGATTTAAAACTGGTTTTTATTCAAAATTGTGCATTAAAAATCTAAAATGATGATATTCTTTGTAAAACCGGAGTTAAGTACTGTAGATTTCATGACCTAAAAGGAAAAAAAAGATAGATTAGCCAATTATTATCATCCAACAGATCTAACTCCCGATAAATGTTTTTTTTTCTTTCCACAGAAACTCGAGATGAATCACATTAAATGCGTTCCCACACGGGTTAAAAGAATTTCAGTATGCCACAGAGTCACATAAAATCCCACAAAAAGAAAGATTAGCCTATTACTTAAAAATTCACGTAGTATCTACCAACAAACTTGTTTTTTATTCTTAAAAAAGTGTAAGCAAAATAATCTAATGATCAATAATGAGTTTTACCAAGGGGCAACACAACGAATGTGAAGCCTAAACACTCCTCGTTGCACTGCAGATGCAAAAAAAAAAAAAAAAAACTCAAGAGTTCCAATCCTTTCTTGGTAGCTCTAATGGCTTCGTGTTTGTTACGTAACCTTCAAATGTGAATATAAACTTAAAATTCCAAAATTATCGGAAACGTCTCCTTGTTATATATCAGAATTGTCTAAGCAAACAAAAGAAAAATAAAAAAGGCTTCGTGTGGTTTGCAATATACACTCTTTGCTGTGGTTTGAAAGAAATAAATATAAACATTCCAAAATGCTTGATGACCTCTCAATTGCTGAATGCCAAATACTCTAGAGATTGTGGATGAGTCCTTTGCTTAGCTGTTTTATAATATTTTCCTCGTACATCATTTACAGCTTTTTCAAACGTAAAACAAAAATAGCTTAAACCAAAGCAGACGACATGGATTCATGGGCATTAGAAAAGTCACAGGCCCGCAAGAGAGACAATGTCCAACAAGCCTTACCGCGTTAGACTGTTGAAATTGACTGCCTTTAAAGCCGCCTTAACTCTTAAGTCGACGGTAATAATATCCTAAAACTTGTATAGTTTACTCGTTTTATTTATTATTAATCACATCAAATTAACAAGAGTAGTGTCAAATCATCTATCTACGGCACATCCAACGTTCAATAAGAAATAGTTTGACTTCAATAAGCCAAAGCTAGTTCATTCGTCCGTCACGTGCACACATGTGCTCACGTGTATATATGAGGACCAGTCGATGACACGTCAAATTCAAGGGTAGATACAGACAGTAGTTAAAATAATTTTTAAAAAGACAACAAAAATAAAAATAAAGTCAGTTAATTAATCTTCTCCCCTTCGATGATCCTCTTGTCTCCGGCTAGCCAATCTTAGTCAATCTTAAGCGAACGGTGTTCCTCGCAAGATTACGATCCATCATCGATCCGTTCATCCCCCGATCCAACTCTCTAATCGGTATTACTTCCGATTATTACTTCGTTTCAGATTATTCCAACTCTTTTCGTTAATTTTGCTTCTTCTTTTTTTTTTTTTTTTGTTTTTCCCTCTGTTTTACTTGTCGGATTCCATATTTGTGTTAGCGATTTTGCTTGATTTGGTGCGATTTCGATATAATTTGATATGACCGGAGATTGTAGTGGTTTTAACGTAGAGATCTGGAACTAATTTCAGTTTTTTCTTGCCCACGAGATTCGTTGATTAGTTAAAGTAGTCGACTTTGTTCATCTTTTCATTTTTACTTAATTCAAACTCCTGGTGTGATGAAATGCTATGTAGGAGTTAAAAAAAAAAAAGTGAGAGGTTATTGGGTGAATCATCATGTCTGATATCCCTTCTTGTTCTAGCGGCAATAACACAAACAGCGATGATTCTGGTAACTTTGAGTGTAACATCTGCTTGGACTTGGCTCAAGACCCGATTGTGACTCTCTGTGGTCACTTGTTCTGTTGGCCTTGCTTGTACAGATGGCTCCATCTCCATTCTCACTCCAAAGAGTGCCCTGTCTGCAAAGCCCTCATCGAGGAAGACAGATTGGTTCCTCTCTACGGTAGAGGCAAATCCTCCACTGACCCTCGTTCCAGGTCTATCCCGGGGCTCGAAGTGCCGAACCGTCCTTCGGGTCAGAGACCCGAGACTGCGCAGCCTCCTGAGCACAACAACCACCATGGCTTTGCTCATCACGGGTTTGGAGGGTTCATGGGCGGTTTTGCTGCTCCGATGGCGAGTGCGCGGTTTGCGAACGTCACGCTCTCTGCTGCGTTCGGCGGTTTGATTCCGTCGTTGTTTAACCTCCAGTTCCATGGTTTCCCCGATGCGGCCATGTATGGAGCTGCTGCTGCTGCTTCTGGTAGCTTCCCTCACGGGTTCTCGAACCCGTTCCATGGAGGACACTCGCATATGCATAGTTATCACCGGCACACGGGGAGACAAGGACAGCAAGACTATCACTTGAAGGCATTGCTCGGCTTTGTTTTCCTCATCGTTGTGGTTTCCCTTGTCTTAAGCTAAGTGAAGGGGAAATCGATTAGCTAGCTTTCACTTTTTTAAAAAATATTTATTTCGAGATCTGGTTTGCATTAAAAAAAAAACGCGGGAAAAATTTGCTGTGATTTGGCTTGTAATATTTTGTTTAGCAAAATTGTTTATATTGTGTTAATACGTGTCGGATTCTCTTACTGACGTATCTTAATTAAGGGTTTGCTTTGCGAGTCGTACGTTGTTCAGTTTATCCTCATAATGTTAGAAATCGATCATTATTTTATTCACCATCATGTCTTTTGTTTTCTTTGGGTTTTTTTTTTCTGTTTTTAAGGTGTTTCTTGCAAACACGTTTTGGGAGCTTCTGATCGTATAGAGGCTCCGATGAATCTAGTGATGGTTCAATCTACAGTCTACACAATGTTTGTTTGTTCGTAAAGGGATATTCTCTCAGTTTTAACTTTTTGTCTTCTTCCCATTTTGGTTAGGTTTTTGCAGCAAATAGATAGATATTCTCTACTGTTAAAGTTCTGGAAGACAAGACATAAGATGCTCCTCCCTATTACTTTAGTAGTAGCTACTAGCTAGCTACCAGAGGAATTGTCTGCCTTTGCGATAGAAAAGTACTAAATATATATAGATTGTCATAAATATATTTGAAAATGTTTACGTCGTTCATATTACAAAAACAGTTGTAAATGTATTATTTTAGACTCTAGTAGATTTGTAGATATTTCAGAATATAGCATATACCCAATTTTGTGAAGATTTCAAATTTTATACTAAAGAGGTAAACGAATCTGTATGATATCATCTGTGGGACGGTTCACGCACACGCACACATATACGCAATATCCACATCATCTGTTTCTAGTTACATATTTATTGCATATTTACATACATACATGAACACGTCTTAAAAGCCTTCCCTTCATGCACACATGAACATGCTTATTTATTGTTACGTTCGTTTCTATGTTTGATTTAATGTGCCATATGAAGCCATGCATATGCAAATGCAATCATCGATCACATTCATATAACCTGAAAAGATAATAATAGAACCCATATGTAGTTTGAATTAAGACAACAAAAGTTATTGAGTCAGTATTATTGTAGATACTACAAGTTTGTTATTGTCAGAATTTTACGTTTGTTCTTTGAAGCAGTATTCGAATTTAACATTTACAAGACATTGAACTAAACAAGAGTAAATGAGTAATCATGATACTGTAGTTTTTGAGTTTCGTGATTTCAAACTGTCGATAAATTAGTTTAGTTTAACATTTGTGAAAGGAAATAGAAGTAGGCAACTTGACAATTCTCGCAATGCTTTAAGTTTCAGCACCCAACTCCTTAGGAGATAAGTGAAAGAGGTTTTTTCAAGAAAAAAACGATGGCTCAACAGATCAATTTTTATTATTTCCTGGTAAGTTTTACATTAGTTTATAACTTTTACTCGATGAAAGTATATGAAAACAATTTTTATTATTTCCTGGTAAATAAGTTTTACATTAGTTTCTGACTTTTACTGTCGGTAACTATAGAAACAGTTCATTTACTCAACAATTATATTAGACGTTTGTAATTGGTGAACTAAGTTCTAATTAAGTAGTGGTTGTAGCCTTGTAGGGCTGAGATTCATGATCGATTCTTAGTCACGTTTCATCTGCTGTGCCTTCGCTATTATCTAGCAGTTGTGAATTTGAAATTTTGTTTGAGCTTTGATAATATTGTATGATTGTTCAACCTTTTCTTTCTACATCTGTTTTGTTTTATAACACCCAGTAATTAATTGGTACGATGTCGATGATATAGACTTCGAAACATTTTCGTGTATATATATATAATAACTTATTTTTTGGAGGTATCTCTTATGGTGCATTGTCTTAATCCCGAGTGTTTACAATATGAATTGAATTTTGAAAATAAAATGATCTTTAAAAAAGTGCAAAAAGGGATCTCAAAAAAGAAGGAAAAAAAAAAAAGACATTTCTAAACTCTAAAGACTAGAACCCAAAGTACTTGCGATTTCACATTTGGTGATTAAAGAAAAGTCGTACCACTAGGATTTGAGATATTATTCCATTTCACGTTTGGCCCACGCGTCTTGCTTTTCTGCATTTATATTTATGATCAATTTGATCATGGGTGATAAGTGTTTATTCTAACGTTTATGATATTTTACTTATTTGATTTTTAATTATTATTATTACATTGAATCTTGTTTATTCAACATATCTTCTATCAAAAGCACTATATAAAACGAGCTTATATGTGCTTATATTATGGACTCAGATGTTACTTATTGATATTATTTTCTTCGTAATGATGACAATAAGTTATATAATATTTAAGATGATACTGTTTTATTGCTACATTTAAGCTTTTGCTTTTCTAACATTTTTTCTTTTCCAAACGATGATGGTTAATAGTAAAACTTTTGTTAGTCAAGTTTGGTTTTTAACAAGACTTGTTTTTTTTTGTAAATTACATGGTACTTACAAAAAGTATATCGATTATTAGTTTCATTTTTTGTGACTATTATTAGATATTTTGAAATTTGAAAGGAAAAGAAAAAGGGAAACCCACTCCCTGACCATGTGCCCATACCCTCATGAAACAAAAAAAAAAGGTTTATTAACAAAATAAAGAAATAGAAAGAAAAAAAATTCAATCATTGAAAAATAAAAGACTACGACCAATAAGCAAAAAAACAAACAAAAGCGTGGTAGCAATATTGTAAAATGCATATCGGTTTATAATAAGATAAAATGGATCCAATTTTTATTACAATATAATTTCCTTTCACCTACAAATTTCGTAGTCATGGAAAGTGACAAACGACCATAATAGAAACTTCAAAGAAAAACTAACAAAACTTATAACAAAAAAACGAATAGATTTACTATAAAGTTCGAAGCTAAACATTACATCTCAACCATAAGAATTATTGACCAAGTCATGTATATAACAATTTTCTTTTAGAATGTTAAGATAATTTTCAAAACATTCCTTTCACGTTTTTTATCTTCCCCCCTATTCTTGTGCACTTGTGAATCGTTCTAGTACTAGCCACATAATTTTTATATGATCGTCCAGATATATTTAAATCCCAAAAATTGAATTCCAAATACTATTTGTATTTATTATATGCTCAGACAAATGTCTAATATTACGTGTGCGAATTTGATTTTGATAAGTACTTATCAGTGTCATATATATTAACTTCCATGTCTTTTTTTTTTCTTGCATCTTGTAAGAACATAATAAACGAAAATTACAAAGACTCAACTCTCACTAATATATAACTTAGTCACCAATTAATATGCATTATAGCCTATAATGTGGATCTACAATGATGTTCGGTAAACATGTGGAAGTAATAAATTCCCACACTTCTTCAATCATGTATAATAATAAGATTTAAGAAGTCCAAAATTCTAAAAACTAGTAAATTGTATTTAACCCCTCCTATTTTTTTATATAATGAAAAAAAGTAATTAAAAATGATGAAAAGGGCTTGGAATCTAATCAATTTACAATTAATTTTTTAGGAGAGAAACCCAAAATCTAAGCAAAACCCTTTTATCCCTCTCTCACACACACACTCACATGATAAAAAGTCTCAGAGACAGCTCTTCTTCAGTTGAGAGAAACCTTCCAATAACAATTAGAGTTTGAGAAAAAAAACATGTCCCAACATCTTCTTCTCATTCTCCTCTCGCTTCTCTTCGTTCTCTTTAATCCCATTTCCGCCTCTCCAACAATCCAAAAATTCAAAGAAGCCCCACAGTTTTACAATTCCGCTGATTGCCCCATAATCGATCCCGGAGATGATGACGGTGACGTGGCGTCCAATCCAATACTCTGCTCCCGTCGAGCTGTCCACGTGGCGATGACACTCGACGCCGCCTACATTCGTGGCTCAGTCGCCGCCGTTCTATCCGTCCTCCAGCACTCCTCTTGCCCTGAGAACATTGTCTTCCACTTCGTCGCCTCTGCTTCCGCCGACGCTTCGTCTCTACGCTCCACCATCTCCGCCTCGTTCCCTTACCTCGATTTCACTGTCTACGTCTTCAACGTCTCCTCCGTCTCCCGCCTAATCTCCTCCTCGATCCGCTCCGCCCTCGACTGTCCGTTAAACTACGCCCGGAGCTACCTCGCCGATCTCCTCCCGCCCTGCGTCCGCCGCGTCGTGTACCTCGATTCCGATCTAATCCTCGTCGACGACATCGCCAAACTCGCCGCCACAGATCTCGGACGCGATTCCGTCCTCGCCGCGCCGGAATACTGCAACGCGAATTTCACCTCATACTTCACCTCAGCATTCTGGTCGAACCCGACTCTCTCCCTAACCTTCGCCGATCGAAAGGCCTGCTACTTCAACACCGGAGTCATGGTGATCGATCTCTCGCGGTGGCGCGAGGGCGCGTACACCGCACGCATCGAGGAGTGGATGGCGATGCAGAAGCGGATGAGGATTTACGAGCTCGGTTCGCTACCACCGTTTTTGCTGGTTTTCGCCGGTTTGATAAAACCGGTTAATCATCGTTGGAACCAGCACGGTCTCGGAGGAGATAATTTCCGGGGACTGTGCCGGGATCTGCATCCAGGTCCGGTGAGTCTGTTGCATTGGAGTGGGAAAGGTAAGCCATGGGCTAGGCTCGACGCTGGTCGGCCTTGTCCGTTAGACGCGCTTTGGTCTCCCTATGATCTTCTTCAAACGCCCTTCGCTTTGGATTCTTGACCACTTCGGTTAACTAATCATATACCGGTACATACACATACATATATATATATGAATATATATAATCCAGGTGATTTTTTGTTTTTTTTTTTTATGTAAATTGATTCATCATAAATTGTGACAAAAAAAAAAACATTTTGGGTTTTGTTCGTTGTTGTTTTCATCGGTTTTGTTCGGAGTATATAAAAGTGAACGATAAAAAAATGGAGGCGACTAAATTATTGCGCGAGTTTAGAGGCAGCGGTAAAACGCTGCTTTTTGCGTTTGCATATTGGAATGT